TTTATTATCATTTGACTAATGTGTTGGGCTGCATAACATAACATTGCTGATGTGGTGAAACAATGCTCCAATTTGATTGGTAGGGATGGGGAAGGGTAATTGCTTCACAATCGACCATGTATGAATTTTATCAGTTTACTATTGGTAGATGTACTGTTTGACTGAAATAGGAAGGCATTCAGAATACGTAACCAAAAAATGTACTGAATAAATAAAGGTAAAATACAATAAGACGGGTTTTCTGACATTTCAACTCAGTGGTGTTGGCTAACACTGGACAACTGTCTACACTCTAAAAGTACAGGTTAAAAATACAACTGTCAGAAAAGCATATAAATTCAGTACACTTTCATGTAGAAATCTGTAGGAATCACATTGGGTAAAGAGCACAAATATGGATAGTGGACACCATAATTTTAATTCACTTTTTCTACTACCGACATTACAACTTAATTGATAGAATTCGTTCGGTACTGAAGATTTTAAGATAACATAATATTGTTTACCGCAGTGACGGATTATTATAATAGAATAATATCCATAACTTTATCATATAGGGGAATATATTTACGAGTTATTCTCTGTTAATCCTTTCTAAACGTAATTGTTGGTTTATATTATGGTTATCAACTAACTCATGTATGTTACAAAGCCTTTATTCGTTCCCGACGAATCGGGTCAACATAAGACGTGGGATGAATTTGTACCAGTTCATGTTATAGAGCCTCGTTTCTGAAACTGATAAAAAGAATAATAAGGAAGATGAGTTTATTTAGAGTGTAATGAAAATCTAGATAGAAATACAGCTCAGGAAAACAAAAAAAACAAATGAAACGGAAGAATGAAAAGTTAAGAAAATTTAAAGTAAAACAGAGAATAAGTGTAATTCCTCTGTTCCGACCTGTTTTACACCATTTCAACCAATGGTTCGAATCATTGATTACTAGCATTGGACTAGGCTTGACTAGGAAGCCTACATCTACCAATAAATGACTAGCAGTTATGACTTTATGGATTAATACCATGTTTTTTACTTCTTTGTTTAATGTACATAAAATCTAATACAATTGGGCAGCAAAAGTGGAAAGATCACACAAAATGTGGGGATAACATTATGAAAAAGAATAGAGGGAAAGGGAGTATATTTCAAGAAAATGGTCCTGGTTTTTTAAGCATAGAGCAGAGATGTTCTTACCAAACGTGTTGTAAACCTTTCACACCCAGATTACACATCACAGTGTAGTAAAACTGGCCCAGATTAACATAATCTACTCCGGTTTTCATCATACATAGATTAGCTTTATTAGTCATGCCACTATCAGTGCTCAAACAACTAACTAGACATGCAAACTTTTCAACTACTTATGGTTCATTAGAAACGATGAGTGGAAGAGCATGATTCTTCTAGTCTTGCAAAGGTACTTTGCATTGTGAAGGCGTAAATTACATACCATACTTGCAGAGACTCATTATCTATTGATTAAATGCTTATTACGTCGCATGTGTATCATCGCACATACTCATGATCGAAAGGTTTTTCTCCAGACAACAGATCTATATCACCATCACCTGCTTCTATTAGAGCTGTTTCCAGAATGTCATTGACAACGAAGTTGTTGAGGGCGAACACTGTTCTTTTCATCCCTAGTTATTTCTTTACAAATACTCTACAGAATAGATGTTTTTCTACCCCCCCCCCCTCTTTCTTTCCATTACTTTCTTTTTTCATTATTATTTCTAATAAAAGACAATTTCTTCTTAGTTAGTGTTGACTTGCTTTATATTTAATCTCTTCCAGTTATCTTCCAATCTTGATTCATTTGCTTTCCCACCGTATTCATTACATTACCATTATTATTATTATTATTATCATTATTATTATCATTATTATTATCATTATTATTATTATTATTATTATTATTATTATTATTATTATTATTATTATTATTATCTCTCATATACATATGTGTTTAACAAAATAATTCATCATTTAACTATACCTTCGTAATAATAATAATAATATGCATGTTTAGCCTTTGTTTAAGTTTGGAAATGATCAAATCTTACAAATGATTTAAAAAAAATTAAAAAGAAAAGGTTGACAATCTATTCCCTTTTCAATTTGCGTGTTCTAATTTATTACTGTTTATCATTTCTATTTAGTAGTATTATAAATATATTTTTGTGAATAAATAATTTTTTTAAAATAATAAATTAGAAGCAAAGGGAGCAATATATGTTTTTTGTGTGTGGAGAGTTTTAAAAATATAATGACACTTGTTCAATGAATTTTCATAGGACAGATGTCTGATCAGCGTTTTGGTGTTTCTTTTAACAACAAAAAACGGACGTCATAACTAAACAATGACGGTTAACTCACACACATTTATAGATGGTTACATACATCAATGAATGCATATTCATATGTCAGACTCAAGATGTTATCATCTGGTTGTAGGCTAGTCAAGCTGTTTATTGACAATGAAGCATGAAAATGATAATATTCCATAACGATATTATTGTCTAATACATGTTAAAAAATCAAGCAGGAATAGACTAATGATATAAATGTTGGCATAGTCAATCGCTTGTTTAGTCAGGTTATTTATTAGATAGTCAACTAGGTAACATTATTGAATGTCACCAGTTTGTGTATTATCGGCTGATAAATCCTGACTAAGCTATATGTTAGCATATTCATAATGTAAATTGATGGACCACACTTGGAAGTAAACTTAGAACCTTTAGGTTTAATAGAAGATACAAAAACATTAGATTATTTTATTATGAATTCATAATTCATAACTTTTATGTTCTTAGTCTTATGTTCGATTTTTAACAGGAGGCTATATTTGCTCACAGTTTGAGGGGTTCTAAGGATTATGATAAATCATTTATTTAGTAAGTTCCCTCGTTAAGTTTAATGATTCTCCAACTTATGTTAGTCATAGTGTTAAAGAATAATCCCTCAATTGAATCGTTCCTATGATCGCTATATTGATTACTGAGTTCAAGTAAAAATATAAATATTCACACCAGGACGGAGGTGCATCTATCTGCAAAGTCTCAAATAGGACGAAATATGTGTCTTCAATTCCATCGCTACCCATAATTCACTTAACTTTGAGCAGCTACACTGCAAGTTTAAAGGCTAGTGATGTTGTTTGATTTGTCTAACCGAAGTAGATAAATTGGGCTTCGAATCTAGGACTTGATGGTTAAAAGTGGAACATTGTAACCAGTGAACCAACGATCTACTTTGTCTGAGGATATAGACTAACAGATTATGTGTTACGGGTTAAATTATGTAATTAAAAAAAATAGATGCATTTAGATCTTAAATGCTATGAGGTAATATAAGGTTTATTGTGAATGGTCTTATGTTCTACATAATTCATACAACTAATGTCTCTTAGTATTTTTCATTGTATAAAAATACTTAACCACACAGTGGCTGGTTCTTTTTTAAAGTCATTTTTTATATGTATAGTTTGTTTATTATTTCAGTGAATAGATTCATTTCATTTTTTAAAATTTCATCGCTTTACATTATTTATTTATTTAAACACATAAATATTGGTACAAAGGGGCACCAGATAAATATGCGCCTCACAAATCTCATTCGATTTGTGTGAGGGCTGTGATACCGACCAGGTGCCCAGACTCAAGAAGGTGGTTTTCTTAGGGGGCCACACCCGGAACCTTTTACCTAAAGGTCTAATCCACAAGACAGTGGAGCATCGTAAGGAGATGCAGTCCCATGGTAGCCGGTGACCAACAGTTGGTTCATAAGCCATTCGTTCCTTCAGGATCCTGGAGCCTATGTGCACCATTGGTTTGGAATCAGGGTTTTCCAACTCCCCTAGGTGGACCCTCCGTGTCCACCAACCCTGTTAAAGCGCTGGACATTCGCTTTTCGTCCTCTCACTTTCGTGAACAACACCGCCACGAGAAGGCAGTGAGTAGGACTTGTGTGGCAGAGGCTATATATTCGCGTGGCCATATGAGAGCATTTCGAGAGGGAGAGGTGACTCTCCCCACTCTCGGCCGTACCAGGGCATTTGGGGGCCATCGTTTTACATCCTGGCCTATTATCTATAATCATAAGAGCTACGAAATTATGTGACATATTTCACTATTATTGACAAATTTCTATCATAACCTTTCATTTGACATGAATAAATGATTGTTTAAACGTTGAGATTCGAGGTGCTATGCACTGTGTCCGAATTTCATTGTGAATGTCAACAGGGCAGTGAAGCTGTATCGAGATGATGAGTACTAAATAGTTTGAAACGCTCCTTTTAATTTCCACTACAAGCCATGATCCAATTTTTGTACAAATGGCAATATCAAGGTTATCCTCCCTAGAATAAACTTATTCTAACAGTAACTGAGCAAATAGAGTTTATAATATCAAAAATGAGGGTATCGGAACACTAAAAATAAGTATAATTCTTTCGACATCTAAATAATGTAACAATAATTTAGAAGAAATCTAGGAGCAGTGGAAGCAATAAATAAACATCAATCCATGAATTCCTTGACAGTTGAATTAAACCATATGGTGGAGTAACTTGAAACGATATACATATTTCCGATGATCTATATTAATTACAATCTAAGCCTCCTCGTTGAGTCCTTTTTTCTTTAAAACTTCAATCTGCAATTCACTCTTGTTTTATTCTATCTTAATTATACAAACATTAAAAAAAAACAGAACACCCTTGACTACAAATTATAACCATTTACTCAATAGTTATACTAAGTTGTCTATTGATCATAATAAGAATTTAATAGCCGATTATCAATAAAATAAATCATATATATTACCATTAATAGTCAATATTCATGTCATAATCAGATAGATTTAGATTATTGGTAATGTATAACATTCTATTATAATATTTTTATTTATTAAATATTGATTATTGTCATTCAATTATTTATCTATTTATCTCTTTATTTGATTGACTTTATTTATTTATTTATTTGCACAGTCGAATGTGACACGTGAATTTTGGCCTGAAAAAGTGGATGAGCATCGATTACGTATGCATGAAGAATTAAGTCAATTATTGGCACCATGTATACAACATGTTGTAGAATTTGCTAAACGTATCCCTGAATTTAGTTCACTTGGTCAACCAGATCAATTGGTATTAATTAAAGCAGCATTTTTTGAAGTATGGCTTGTTCAAGCATCACGTTTAATATCAACAAATGATCGTAAAATAACACTAGCTGATGGGAAACAAATTACTAAGCAAGAATTAGATTTTATATATTCGGTAAGTGTGTTTTTATAAATTTCTGTTTGGTGTTGTTTTTTTATTTCTTTCACTAATCAATCTAACCTAGAGCATCATTAAAAACCTAGGAACGCTGTATAGTCGTTTCATCCTAGTATGGAACTTCTTAGCGGTGCGCATCCACTATCCCGCACTGTTTACTATCTGCATTTTGATTTGATTTTCACATGAAATATGAATAGAATCTCTAGATTAGATTCATCATAAAACTATCTCTGTTGTTATTATTATCCTATGACTATGAATCCATGTTTTGTGATGTATTCCACAGTAAAAATTGTAAATAAAACAATGTTTTTCAGACTATTCTCATAATGTTTTATGTGTGAATGAGAAATTCTATTGTTGTGTATATTAGTTGTTCAGATTTAAATTCACTCCTATTTTTCACTTTTCTTTAGTAAATTAAAATAAAAATTTTGTTACATGTTAAAGGTTAATATGGAATGAATGAATTTCTAATAATTTGACGTGAGTTTAATAAATAATACCGTTAATAAACTCAGTATGGGTTAGGGTGATAACTTGATAAAGGAATTCTGATAACCTTTGATACCATTTGATACGGTTAAAGGAATAAATACAATTGACTGATCACTGAGTAGTGACCAATATAGTGTTTTTCTAGCCTTTTAGTGGTGATCGAATTACATTAATCAATCTAGCCACTAGTCTGAATGACTCGATATCGTGTATATGTGTTGAGATAAAAGATGGTGGTTGGATGTAGTGATAGGGAAGCATGAACCTAAATTTTGTGGTAGTTGAGACTCTTTATGAAGCCATATCTGGCACACTTAGAGATCTAATACTGCCTATAGGAGAAAAGTTTATTTTTAAGTAGTCGAAATATGTTGCAATACTGTTTCCGTTAAATTATTGACTACTCTGGATTTCGAAATTTATAGTATTTGTTTTGGTTTTACAGCTGTAATTGTAATCCGATCACTTATCTATATACGATAAATAATCTTTAGGTGGAACACGAGCATAATAACTTAAACATTTGACTTTCAACCATTAGACCATAAGTTTTATCATTCCAGTAGATCTGTTTGAATTCCCTCAGTTTGGCAGTACTATTTTTGGAGCGATGATTAAGTAGTTGGCGATTTCAACTTCCAGCCACTTAGTCTCAGGTTCTAACCTGGCTTTACCAAGTCGAAATTTGCCTACAGCCTAAAATGTATATTCTTGGACCAGATTTCATTAGTAGCCATATCACTATATTTCAGCTTTTATCATTGTCAGGTATGTGAAATAAAGGTTAATGTTTAATATAAATTAACTGGATGATAAGGTAAATGAAGATAGGGCTTTATCTTACTCTTTAAATAACACTACTGTTACTGATTTATTGAACTCACGTTATCAAACCTGTATTGTTTTCATTATGGTTTTACCTGTGTAGATTGATTTATTTCTGATTTTATTATTTTAATATTTCAATGGAAGCTGAAAATAAAATGAAGTGACATTTTCTATAGTATGTTATTGATGAACTGCGCGTACTATACGACATAGATGAATTAATTGTGATAAATTGTTAGGAAATGCAATATTTCTTCAAATCGTCTTATAAAACGATTTCGCTTTTTATACGTTATACGTTTTTATACCCTAGCCACATTCTAAGTGGCTGATTCCCATGAGTAGATCAATAAGTGTATTAATACCGATACATTACCATTTTCTATATGATCGTCGAGCGGTATGGGGTGAATAAATCCTATATTTTCTTTTGCATTCTCAACAAGTTGGAAGCTAAGTCAAGAGTTATTGGAGTGTGGGAGGCCTAGTACGATTTGATGAAAATGTCTTTTGCATTACATCATTATCAATTACAACTTAAAGTATTTATCAGTTATTAACGCCTTCACAGAGTGTAGCTATTACAATCCAGTTGGAAATTCAATCATAAATTTTTCTAACAGAGAAATCATGTTCTGTTAGCTAGAAAACTTTTATTGAAACATTTAACGGTTCTTTTATACAAACATTTTTTTAAAAACATACATATATGATGCGTAAACATCACATTTTAACGTTTATTTTTATTCTAATTAGTTTAGTGAATTACACTATAAAAACAATCTGATCTATACAATAATAATAACTAACTAACTGATTACTGACTAATTAAGCAAACAAATAAACTTGATTGAAATGATGTGATTGGAAGTATATGTTTGTATACAATGTTGTAAATAGCTTTGTTTATACTAATATGCAATAATAATAATAATAAGTATAATAGTGAAAAAACTTTCGAGTTAAATCTTTATTAATCTAATCTTGAACAATAATAATAATACAGATGATATTAATAATGTGAAACATCGGATGTTCATTCAAGAGTATGAATTTTACTTATATATAACATTAACTAGAAGTGTGTGTGTATATACATCGTATATTGTTTATTGTTTAGAATTACAACAGGATTCAAACTAATCGACATTTGACTTTTAGTCATTCAGTTCTAGATTCGAAACCCAACCCCCTCCACCTCCAATTTCATTTTGGTTAACTGATTTGTACTATTTAAGCCAGGGAAGTCCTACTCACTGCCTTCTCGTGGCATTACTGTTGTTTACCGAATTGAAAGGACGAAAAGCGAATGTCCGGGGCCTTAACGGGGTTGGTGGACACAGAATGTTCACTTAGGGGAGTTGGCAAACCCTGATTCCAAACCAATGGTGCACATGGGCTCCAGTATTCTGAAGGAACAAATGGTGTATGAATCAATCGTTGGTCACCGGCTACCATGAGATTGCATCTCCTCATAATGCTCCACTGTCTTGTGGATCAAACCTTTAGGTCGAAGGCTTCGGGTGTGGCCCCCTAAGAAAACCACCTGCTTGAGTTTGGGCACCTGGTCAGTATCACAGCCCTCACACAAATCGAATGAGATTTGTGAGGAGCATATTTATCTGGTGCTTCCTTGTACCAATATTTATGTGTTTAAATAAATAAATAAATAATTTAACCCTCATATATAAAAATGATTTTTAAAACCAACTATACAAGTTGTACCTAATGATTAAGTTACGATTATCCATGATATGTTTATTGATATTTCACCACAATATCAGACTTGCTGTACCATGTATTTTTGTAGAGGCATACCATGTTGATTTTAATCTGTTCAACTAAGTCAAAAATTATTAGCCAGCTAGTAATGCTCTTACTGAATTCCATTGTATTTATACGATTTATTTACAATCACATTGATAGTCACATGGATAGCATTCTTTTCTTCATATCTAATTGATTTGGGTTAACTGCGTAAAATTAAGTCGTAACTGGAATACAGTTATCGTGATTTTCATGAGATATTACAAATAATGAAGAAAAAATGCAACTATGAAACAGTAATTATACATGAAAGACTTTTAAAGTAGTTATCTTACCGATATTTTGTTGAAACCGCATTAGTATTATCCTATTGTTATTTACACGGACAGTTTAACTTATTACACCTAACGAAACTACAAAACTGTATTATAAATAAATTACGAATGCTAGGCTCACAGTTAAATTCTTATTTACGATCGTGACGATGGGTATAATTTACCATATGTCTGGTTTCTAGACTAAAACACTGCATTGATAAGAAATCAGACTATCCTCAATCGCTTGGTAATTCGATATCTCACATTACCAGTGGCCTATATCAGTTCCTAAAGAGGGCAGGTCGATAATTAAAGCTTTCTTAAATCGTTGTTCATGAAACCAAATAGAAATGATAGTCGATACCCTTAGTAACGATTCTATGTAGATGTATCGTACTTTTTTTGGATTTGCCAAAAAGTATATCTGCTTAGGAATCCTGATCAACTTTCTGTCGATTCTATCCAAACACGAAGCCAAATCGATTTAAATCAATAAGTGTATAACGTTTTCATCAAAAGAAGCTGGTCAGCTAGGTACTGAGACTAGAAGACTTAGCGTTAAGTGCTTCCAAGCAGCCCATCAGTTTATAACATTGACCAGAAGAGAATTTTTCAAAACTGTTCTTCGACAATATCTATCATCATAACACAATTTCGACATATTTCTGCAAAACAAACGGGATACACATAATTTATGTTAATTAAGTAAACTGTTTACTATTTGATTAGTAATATAAATATATATACTCAACTATATTTATCAATTTGAGTGAACGTAAACGCACTAATCAAACAGTTACACAATACTTTCAATGAAAAATCTGTTTGAATTTCTGATCAACATGATATCATATTCAATTGTTCAGTTTACCAAAATGTTTCCTAATTTATTTCATCTATTCAATGCATTTTATTCATACCAGAAATGTTTTGATCAATTTTTAATAATCATAGTTTCACATTTTCACTAATCGAACTATCTATTATAAACTCACAGTTCGCATTGTTGCCAAAGTCATTAGTGTCATTACTAATGCTTCTCAGTATATATATATATATATATATATATATATATATATATATATATATATATATATATTTCAACTTCCGGCTATTTTCACCCAAGAACTTTCCCTTATTAATTGTGTACACAAGTATATTTGTGTATTGTAGATGTACGCGGTTGATTATTGTTGCTTTCATTTATACAAGACTTAATTTATTTGTTTACCTTTAACAAACTAAACTGAAACATTCGATGTATATATATATATATATATATATATATATATATATATATATATACGCATCTTCACACACATATAATTGATACAATAGTCGTTATGACAATTACACATTCATGTCATCACCATGTTGATAATAATAATGACTATCTGTGTCTAAATACACTAGTGCTCGTTTATAATAAGTAATCCAGGTACTAGTTTTTCAAATTTATTGCACGTACGAATGGAGAATCAATGTACAACAGTAATGTGTTTTGTCAATATTTGTATGTGTATTTCTGTACAGATATCTTTTCATAATTTTTTTTTGTTAGTATTTATGTACACGTTTATGTTTCCGTATCCGTTTGTTGTTGTAAGCATGTATATGATAAGTGAAATGGGCGCCATTATTATAATTATGATAATGTAATCTTTTAATACAATTCATGCTTTATTTGTCATGTATCTGTCTAAAACTTCTTATTTCTTGCATACATTATTACAACTTAACGGTCCTAGTCCACTACTATTATTTGATAATTGATAAATGATCATCTTTTAAAAGGTTATACAAATTATCACTAGTTATACATACATATTTCATTGAGTTGAGGCCAATAACTTACAATAGTTAAATAATTTGGTGTAATTGAAGTTGGTTAATATTCAAGTTCTGTCTGTTTTTGATTGATTAAGATTTCATTGTTTGAGGGGACCTGTAGAGATTGATACGTGGGGTTTGTCATAGATTACGATCATTTGAAATCCATGTGAAAATAAGAAAACACAGGATAATAATTTTTTTCGCAGTACAGGATCCACCAAAAATCATCATCCATAACCACATCAGGGATCCAATGTAGAACCTTCAGGTCATGTTGTAAATGCATTGGTTTCAGATCACCAAATCTCTTTTTCAAAGTAGATGTCATCAATGTATATTTATTGATTATGTACTGAATCGTGACATATTTGTTAAATTTCTTTCAAAATCAATTCTTATTCCATTACATTAACTAACCATTACAGTGAATATCTTTCAGCAATACTAATAAGAATTTGATTTTTCCTTGAAGTGACATGTACTAGCTTCGAAATCGCTTATTGATAGGGCACTGTTAGCTTTATTTCCCTTAAATTATGATATGTATATCATTCTCTCTTTATAAAAATCTACAATAAAAAATATATTCTTGTTTTACTAAATTCTTTTCCTTATCAGCCGAGTGTTGTGTGTTCAATTTTTTCATTCTCCGAAAATTTCAATTCATTAGTGCTGAATGATACCGAAGTTGCTCTTTGTTGTGCTGCTGTCATCACTAAACCAAGTAAGTCTTTTGCGATTTTCTAACTGCGAAAAAGAAAATTGTAATAGTAATATAATCTGAGTAATTTATAGAATCAGAATAAAAAAATTATGTTGTTCAATAAATCGTGTATTGGTTATTTGTTACATTCTTAATTAGACCGTTTTCATAATTTACATCACGGATTGATCATAGACAAAAATTTAAAATTAGGAAGCACTTAATAGCTATTTTGTCCTACTTTTGGACTCCTCATTAGTACAGATCCACAACCCCACTGGGGAACGAATCTAGGACCTTTATCCTCGCTATGAGCTCCTAACCTCCAGACTACTGAGTTGGCATCTACTATTGTACATGTCTAGCTTTAATCAGCCCCCGAATGCCCTGGTACAGCCGAGAGTGGGGAGAGTTAGCTCTCCCTCTCGAAATGCTATCACATGGCCATGTGTATGCAACCACCGGCTACCATTTGACTGCATATCCTGACGTTGCCCCACTGCCTTGTGGATTAGACCTTTAGATCGAAGGCTCCGGGTGTGGCCCCCCCCAAGAAAATTACCTGGTTCGGTCTGGGCCCTCACAGCCCTCACACAAGTCGAATGATTTATGTGGCGCATATCTATTTGGTGCTTCCTTGTACCAATGTTTATGTGTTCAAATAAATAAATAAAGCTTTAACCAGTCCATAACACTGAACGATCATTCCCCACTGCCTGAGGTTGATACATCTCTCACACTGGATATGTTTAAACTCGATCAATCACAGTTTCTCACTATAAATCCCGATTATTCACTGCATCATAAATTGTATTTATTTTGATGACAGATTTAGACAGTTCTTCTTAGTTAAGCCAAAATTATTCATGTATTTTGTAATCAGAAATTATATAACTTCACTCTTCAACTTTTCTACAATCATACACATTTGATGAAATTTTCCGCTAGACATTTTCACCATGTGTGATAATTATCAAAGCTGATAAAGATGTAAAGAAATACTAAGAGATCAGATAACATGAACATGAAAAGTGATATAGTATAAGTTAAAATATTTATTAGAAAGAATATTTACATTTTCGAAACCAACTTTCATATATTCACGAATTTACTGAATCTGGATCCTTAAACAAATAGGAAGGGGGTAATCTGATTCAAGCTCTACTTCAAGCTGGTTTATGTAAAGAAACCACAAGTTGTTGATACGGTTAAAAGTAACCTTGAAGTAAGGATAAGATAGTCGTGTTTTATCAGTCCATAAAAATGATAAATTAATCCCAAACATTTACCTAAGGTATCAATTAAATGAACGTGTATTGTGCACTTCTTGACTTCTGGAGAGTTTTAAGAGATGTGCATGAGGAAAACTAACGTTATTACATGACCATCACAAACTCTACTAATAAAAATAAGGTCTGAAATCCTAAACCATTAAGTGAAGTGTGAATTCCTACAATAGTGAGATTTAACTCTGTCGGTGTCGACCAACATCACTAATGTCAATTTTGGCTCAAGTTCTTGTCATATTTTACTCTTTTTGTCAGTTTCATGCTTTTTATTTAACTTATGGTAGATACTATGGAAACTAGATTCAAGAAAGTACACTAGGATCTTATTATTTTGTTATTGAATCATATCAAAACTGTGACCACCCATATTCTTGTGACATCTTTTATAAACTGTGCTACTGTCTTATGATTTCGTAATCATTTCTAGCCTAATTTATAATTTCGATTTTTTTACTTGTGATGAGCATCTAAGAAGTAGAATTTGTCTAATTATATTCTTTTTAAAAAAATCTATTAGATCGTTACGGTTTGATTGAACCGAATAAAGTAGCCATTATCCAAGATCATCATTTAGCTGCTCTTCGTATGCAATTAGAACGTAATAGACCAAGAGAGGCTACATTAATTGGACAAGTACGAAATGTGATTAATCAAGTGACTACAGTTGGAGATGAAGTACAGTTATGTATTCGATGGTATAGAGAAAATTGGTACCGCACACGATTAGCACCATTATATGCTGAAACATATGATATTCCACATGAAGATACTTCCACTGTACCTATATCCAATCAGGGTGCACCAACACCTCTTCCTAATCCTTCTCAACATACAGGTAATTCATATCCTATATGTCCAAATATTTCATCTGTTTGTCCACAAGCTATTCCATATGGTGATGTCACAAATACAACACCGTTAAATTATGGTTCTTCAACAGTATCTATTCCACAAGCTGTTCATCATCATTATCCAAATCAATCTATTAATAGATCGGATATTTCCAATATGATGCCATCTTGTTCAATTAACGAAAACATGATTTACTGCAATAATAGCAATAATAGTAATGGAAATAGAATTCAAACAGGTAATATTGATCATTGTTCTTCTGATGGTCAAATACACGATGTTACTCAAAAACAAAACTCACAACATCAAATTCATCAACAATCACATTTAATTCCAGATTCATCTCATATGAGAGGATCTTATTCGTCAACTACAAATTTGACATCGAATTCTGATTCACCTTTAAATAATCAGTCACATCCATTTTCTGGACAATTTAATTATCATGATAATTCAATGACCTATAATCCATCCAATTCGAATGCATATTCAAATTCCAGAGATTGTTCTCCTTCTTCTACGCAAATGCTTTCAACAAACTACTTGGTGCCATCACCTCAACAACAACAACAACAACAACGAAGTCAAGTGTCTGCTTTACAATCATCTCAATACTCTTGTTCTTCAGCAATAACCTCACCTCAACGTCAAGTCACTTCATCAGTGCAATCAACAGGAATGATATCGACACAAAATCAAAATGATCACATGAATTTAAATAAATCAATAATTTCGGTTAAAAACCATAGTTCACGCTCTAATACTCCTACACCTTACAATAATAATATAATTCATCCTAGTAGTACAAATGAAAGTTTGCCACCTTTATGGACAAATATGAATCCTGACAGTAATAATAATAATGGTAATAATGGTCTAAATGATCATACAATCAGTTCAAATGGTGAAACACCAGAAATCCAACAGCAATCACACCATCAACAATATCATACCTCACCAATCTCACAATCAGATCTGATGAATACTACTCCTGACACTAACCATAACTTAAATGCATTATCTTCACCTATCAATGAAACCTTATCATGTGAACAACAAGATGCATAGATCTTTGATGAATTATTGTAACATGTGAGTTATACAGTTTAAATAATCTACATTTATGATAGATAAAGTGTATCCGGTGTATATATATCTTTAAAACATTACCAGGTACTGGAAGAACCACTAAATAAGTTATACAGAGGTTAAGAATAGGATATTATGCAAAAGTTTAAATCGGTTAATCAGCTTACGAAACTTTATTTACTGAATAACATTTTATAACTATCAGTTATCTCAAAGTAAAATACTGGTCGGTGTAGTAGTCGGCTAGATGGAGTTAGGAGGTGAATAAACCAACATAGTTTATCAGTCAGTGAAGTCGCTAACTGTTTTCTTGAACCATATCATGAGATGTAGACCTCCTTCTTGATAATTTTTATCAGTTGTTTTGGGGATATGAAGTGATATAACTCAGGGCCGATGGCAATGACGTAAATAAATTCATTCTACATATTCTTCTTAGTCTTAAGTATTTGTGTTATTTCATGCTTTTTGTTTCTTGATTCGATTTATTCGTCCTAAATCGTATTCTCCATGTTCACTTTCTTCTCTAAAAGTATTTTTTAATTTTTTTATTGTTTTGAATCGTTTTGTTTTACATCTTTTTCACCTCTTGTCAATACATGAATTCATTGACTGTTAGTCTGAGGTATACTAGTAGATGAAGACCACCTGAATGTTGTCCATGTGATAACCTCAGTCAGTGGTTGAAGACTTCGGTTGGTATGTTTCAGGATCGTTTATAATGCTCCACGTATGTTTACTTTTTATCTTCCTCTTGATCTTGGATCCCGGTATTTCTTCATATTTACCTTTCTACTATATCTATAATGTTCAGTCGTCCTCATTATCATTTCTACCATATTATTTCTATCGACTTTGCTATTCACCTTGTTATTGTAGTATGGGATATTATCCCTCCATACATTTGTTGTAAGCTCTATGTTTGTTCATCTCACTAACTGACTGAATTTCTTGTCACTGTAGAGTGTAACAATTTACCTGATGAATATTTGTGCTATATTCCATTTTATCTATGATCATCTGACAAAATTATTATTCACGTAACTGTATTTGATTCTGCTTTGTTTATATCCATGCATATATGTTCATTATCGATGCCCTGGCACGGCCGAGAGTGCGAAGAGTCCGCTCTCCCTCTCCAAACCCTCTCACATGGCCACACGTATATAGCCTCTGCCAGGGAAGTCCTAATCACTGCCTTCTCGTGGCATTACTGTTGATTACGGAATTGAGAGAACGAAAAGCGAATGTCCGGAGCTTTAACCGGGTTGGTGGACACGGGAAGTCCACCTAGGGGAGTCGGAAAACCCTGATTCCAAACTAATGGTGCACATGGACTCCAGTAGCCTGAGGGAACAAATGGCATATGAATCAATTGTTGGTCACCGGCTACCATGGGAATGCATCTCCTCACGATGCTCCACTGCTTTGTGGATCAAACCTTTAGGTCGAAGGCTTCGGGTGTGGCTCCCTAAGAAAACCACCTGCTTCGGTTTGGGCACCTGGTCAGTATCTCAGCCCTCACACAAATCAAAGGAAATTTGTGAGGCGCATATGTATCTGGTGCTTCCTTATACCAATATTTATGTGTTTAAATAAATAAAATAAATAATAAATTAAAAAAAGGGAAAGGATATATTTAGTTTCAGATTATATAATTAATCAGTAACTGAAGAAAAATAAAATATTGTCAATACCGTATTATTACATAACATTATTTATTTTTTGCATAATCTAGTTTTATACTTCTTGTTGTTACTTTGAAATTAAATGAGCTTTAATGCTTGAATAAGAATCTTAAAATAAATCGTACTTCTTTGACTTGTTTTTTCTAGTAATTGTTCTCTAGATTTTGTTACTTTTAAAGTTTTGTTAATAGTGGATATACTACTTGAATATGGCTTTATTTTTATCAAACTATATTATAGAAATTCTTTTAGAAGGAGTGATTTTGTAATCTGACTTTTCAGAAATCGATTTGCCACTAAGCAATTCACGTATTGGGCTCAGAATTAATACACAGATGACATAGGTATATTTCATAAAGATACGGATAAAATGCAGTCTTCTGGGTGGCCTTACAACTTCTACTACTCTGAAACTTTTTGTGGTACTGTTTCATGACTTTTTATTAACTATATTCGAATACCTAATCCTGAATACTGTAGATTCGTGTTATTATATTTGGTATTAAGAAATGGGAAATAATGTTCACTAGTGGTACTCATAAGATATTATGAATCATCGAAAGTTAGAATAATTGAAATTTTGCATCTCAAATGGGTATTTTATGTTCGAAATAGTATCCATTCAAGGACATACTATGCTGAAAAATTCAAGATGTTAAGGGTTGTTAAGGGTTTCCGATTTGTAACGGCTGTAGTATTTTGAAGAAAAAAATCCCTAGAAATTTTCATTTTATTCAATGAAACAATCGTTTATCATACTTAAAAACTTTGTAATTATTGTGCCTTCTTTCTTTTATTCCAATTTGTAGGAAATTTCTCCTGGAAAATACGTAAAATAAAACTTGTCAAAAGAGACTACCCAAACTCTCATCATTGGATTTATAACAGAAATAAAGGAAACAATTTGTAAAACTTTATTTTACAATTGACATACTTGTATTCAATCCTCACCTTCGCAAATTCAATTCTTCTAATTCTCAGGGAATTCTCCTCTATAAACCAACAACTTTATTTTTAAGCATTACATAATAGAAAACCAAAAACACAAATGTAATACAGTCAGTTACTTACCTGTCCATCAACTATACAAACTTACATTCAAATACATACTTATGATGTATGTATGATATACACGTGTGTTTACATGTCATAGTGATTAATTTATTGTGGTTCACTGTATTTTTTTTAAAAATTACAAATATTCATCTCAGGAACTAGAGATTATTTACATCTTTTAACTTTTTGTTAAATTTTCACATTTTTGGAAATATCATCGTCATCATTATCATCATGGCTATATCGTTCTAAATTCTTCAAACTTCCCCCCCCCACCTACCTACCCTACTCTTCCTATTACTGCTAACATTATCAGCGAAATTATTTAGAGTTTAATAACAAGTATATCAAGATATGGAACAATATTGTAATATGTTAAGTAGACTTGGGCTTCTATTCATCTCTTTAAATTTAACATTATTAGTTATTATTTCATTTAAACAACATTTGTATTTAGTTTATCTCAGGGCGTATAAAGTTTCATTGAATGTTCTACAAATATTTTATGTAGCTATATTATTATTATTATCATCGTTATTATCACTTAGTCTCACCTTTTGTATTACTCTGAAGCAACAATACCATCAGGATATATGCATATCAGTATATGCATATACACATATATATATATATGCTGTTCTTATCTCAGGGTTATTAAATATTCAACTCAGGTATTTGTTTATCCTATTGTTATTTCTATTTCAAACTCTTTCTTTCTTTTATTCAATATTTTCATTTATTACCTTCATCAATTAATTTGTGTTTTTCCTCCAATCTTTATCAACATGAATAGTATCTATTGTGCGAATTAGTTGAAAATCAAAGAATTAGTTATATAATAATTTCACCTTTCAATTACTCAGGGAATTCAATATATTCTTATAATTAATTAAGCTTGTGAGCTCTATATTCTTAATTTTTTGTATCCATGTGTTTATATGTATTAACATTTACAGTAGCATCATATTGTTATTTGTCATTGTCAACTAGTTCATTGTTTTTTTTTTCTTTTGCATATTTTTTGCTCTGTAAGAATTCAGTCTCTTTGTTTAATTATCTTTTCCCATTGTGCTTTCAATTATCAATTATTTATTATTCTTTACTGCTTCTCATTACAACACAAATATCAATCATGTTTTGTTTAATTAAAATTAATTATTTGTTGACTTCTATCCTTTCACAGTTTGATCTTGATAAAACTATATAAACGTATGAACGTTTTAAGTGTTCTGATTGTTTATTTTCTCTTTTCGGATTATTCTTCATTTCTTTGTGTTCTGTTTTATATGATTCTTTCTTTCTTTTTTCTACTATTTCAATTAACTAGTCTAATCTCTTGATAAGTAAATCGGATGAAAGTTATATCAACATGCTTGTACACATTTACATGATAAAAACTTGTCGACCGTGAATAGTTATCTCTTTTTACTTTTTGTTCTCTACTGATTACATCTGTTGAACTATTTTCTTTTTTCTGTTGTTGTTGGTATTTTGTGAACTTTAATAAATAAAATAATCACTGGGATAATTGAAGTTAATCTCAATGATATATATTCATTCCATCAAAATTGTTCATTGTGTAAGCTAATCTAAGACTTAATTAATATCTAATGGAAGAGATCGATTTAATTAATTAACGAGTGATCATTGTTTTTTGTTTTGTATAACAAAAACCAACCTTATTTTGTATTCTCTTGTACACCATTCATAAAGTAAGATATATATGCATATATATATATATATATATATATATATATATATATATATATACATAAATGCATAGTTGATACCCGCTTGTTTGTATGTTTGTTGACATTACTATTTCTTGTTCAACCTGCTTAATTAATATTTACATTTCTGATAACAATGATATTACTATTACTACTACAATTATAATTATTATCAATGCTACTAACGATACTACTGATCATATTACTATTACTAATTTTGTAATCTTTATTATCATCATGATCCTACAAGGAATATCTATTGTTGTCTGTGTATGTTTATTTTTATTCTCTTGTGTATGCGAATGGATCCGTGTAAATTCAGTGGTGTGATTTCATTTACAAATGAAACTTCTTGTTTCTGTTTGTTATTATTCTTTCATTATGGTAATTATTAAAATTGTCATTAAATTCATTCGTTTTTCTTTCTTTAAGTTATTTATACTGTTTTCTGTGTATTTTACAATCTTACTATACTACAAATGATATGATTTATTCGCCTCTTTTTTTTTCTTTCTATTAAGAAAATCAATTGTTTACACAAATACTACTTGTGTGAAAAAAGAAAACAGAGACAGAATAATTCATTGTTTTCACCATTTGTATTCAATAATAAATTCAAAATATAAAAACAGTATACATATATATTTGTTTGTGATTATAGACTTCCTTTTGAACAATTCCTAAAATCTTTATTACTTTCATTCTGTTTTCTTCATCCAACTTCTTGGAATGAACTATATCTTTTATCTTTGTTTAGTTTTCACTGTTCTTAATATATCTTAATCAATAGTTAATCATTGATACTGATACGCACAAAATACATTTCAATAGTCATTATCTCAGGGACCGTTTGTTTCTTTTGCCTTGTCGTATTTTTCAATGTAAACAAAATTGAATGAATTAAGTTAGTTAATCGAGTCTACTACTATCGCTTATTTCATTTCTTCCAGGAATTCATCATTTATCTTGTTTCCTAAACAAACAGTTCAATATTTTGTTTTTTTCTTCTTAACTTTTGTTTCTCTGTCGAATAATTTTTTCATTGATGGTGTTCAAAAAATGTTGGCTTTTTGTTTTTAAAATTGATTCATTTGTTTCATTATCTGGTTGGTTTCATCAAATTATTATTGTTCCTCCATACAAGTGATATAAAAAAACATATATACAATCATATGTATGTATATATACATATATATATAGTAACGGGTGCTTTGTTTCTCATTGATTCGACTTATCTTAAGTAAAAATGATATGAGTAAAAAGAAGACTTGATCGATAGCATTCGATCAGCACTAAGGACTTGACACGCATGAAATTGATCACCACCCAGTGATCAATCAATTGTGATTAGATCTCAGTCCTACAGGAGGTCGGTCGCGGCCCGAATAGCTCAGTGGTAACGTCTCTGACAGTGAAGGTGAGCGACACGGGATCGAATCCGCCAGGGAGCATCAGTTCCCTCAAGATTACAGGTGCACCTTGCTGACGAGTGCCAAGTAGCACGAAACTCGGGTCCAGGGTTTCCTGTTGACCACCTCCAACCAGCATGTTACCTTAATATATATAGTGCACGCAGTGTCGAGCCACCTAGACTGGTGGCCACATTGCAACATGATCGATAGCATTCGATCAGCACTAAGGACTTGACACGCATGAGATTGATCACCACCTAGTGATCAATCAGTTGTGATTATGATAGAGGGTGTTCAATAGCTACTTCATTCTGGAATGAGAATCTCTAACATTGAACATGTGTGACTTCGTAAGCTGTTTTCCAGTTCTCCCTGGTTTGAAATATTCCTTTAATTTATGTCAATGTGTGGTGAAAAATATTTTCAAACTGAAATTATCTATATTATCTAATTAACTATATAAAATGTGCTAGAAATTCCGAGTTACTTATTAAGTATAATTATTGGGTTTGTTTGGAAAGTAATGATGACTTATAACAATTCAAACTATTTTCTAAAACGAATATGCTGAAGATGTGGCTTATATTAAGTCACGAAATGTCAGAAATGCAATTTCTCTGCTCATCGGGATAGAAAAAAAAAGTTATTGAATATACTTTTCTTTTGATTAAAAATTTCTGGAAACTATCTAATCAACCGGTCAGTCATATGTCACCTTAGATCTAACGCGTATGGACATTGGTTGAAGTTGCTATACCACATTAGCAGAGTGAGATAAAATAATCAAAACTAATCGCAGAGTAATAGAAATGGCAACACAATGAGTGGTGGTAGTAGTAGTAGAGAAGATAAAGTATGCGAAAAAATAATCAAAAGGTATGGGATTTATGGCACAGGCTATAAGGAATAACGCGGAGAGCATGAAAATGACCCATTGCAAATGATTCTGAACTATATCATACAGTCTCTAACCGCTGGTTGTGCTAATCACCTAGACCTCAACCAGATAGTCTATACCTATTAACTAGGCTCGGTTCAATTGTCAATGAAACTGTAATAGTTAGATGGTTTTTAGAAAAATCACGCATAAGTCACAACTTGACAGAGATATTTTCTTTTAGTATTCATTATGAAGTTCATTTGAAGGTTATAATTCATCTTGAATAACATATAATGTCTACTGAAAAAATCTAATAAGTTACAAAATTAATATTATTCACATCTCACGTCCAATATGTAATATGATCTGATCCAGCCGATCGATAAGGTTGATATTCTGAAATTTAGTTCATTGATAATTTGATACAATTCGTCGTTTTGATAAAGAATAAATCCACCATAGAATACTGCGTTAATTCTTTACAATATGATTTTTTATGGTTCCCCACTATGAACGAATCGGCTTGATGCTTCTCTTACCGATTAGTTCAAATAATTAGTATTTGATACCGTTGTTGAGTATGATGAAACCAGTTATACAGTAATTCTATGTCATATTAGGCAGTTACTCGCTAATGACACTGAATGATGGTTAGGCGAAATCACAAATTGAATGCGGTTAGAAATGTAAACCATTGGATGTTAACTCGGTGACCTATAGGTTAAGCGTTTGCAGAGAGATCTGAAGACCCTAGATTCGATCATTGGTTGTGTCGTGAATATTCCACTTCTCGCTATATACTACTTACAAGCAATCTTGTTAGTATTATTCATCCACCAACAACATAAATTAATGATCGTCCTCCATCACAAATTAACTGAATTTCAAAATACGGTTATTTCATCTAAAAGTCTTGTCCCCTCATTGAGTATTGATAATTAAAGCCTTGACCTCCCATGCCAGAAATAAACATTACCAACATCTACCTTTTTGATAGCTCTTTTGATATCGGCAAGTCAAATAAACTGATTAATTTCCCTCTTGAATATATTCTGAGATTCATCAACCACACCTAAAATCCACATGTAATCTAGTACTTTTATCTACACGTAAATAAATGCAAAATATGGTTTGTTTTTACAGATTTGTCTTATTTGAAATGAAAATATTGTTCTTTCGATTTCTGTGAAAACAGAAAGCTTCAAATTTGTATTCCCCGAATGAATGTGTCTTGATTATGCGTCCTAAAATATTGAGGAAACGGGTATTTAGTACTTTCTAGGTATCACAAGTTTTTCAATCGACCCAAAAAATGTCTTGTGAGTGATTATCTGAGAATATTTTTCGTAGTACTGATTAGTCGCTAAGGTTTTATGCTAAGAATCACTCAGTACAGAACAAATCTAATCAATTATTTATAAAGGGATCAGTATCAAAAAGTCTGAATGAAATGATGAATATCTGAAGTGGTATTGTGGTGTATTCTACTTATGTTGACAGACAAATAATATGCAGTAGCAATCAGAAGGACGATACCTAGCAGCAGTAGGTTCAAATGAAGAGAACAGGAAGGAAGTCAGGGAGCAATCGAGATAGAAACAGAATTAGAGGAATAATGAAGTATATAAAAGACGACTCTAAGAAAATGTACAGATGATGAATTTAATGTGTGATTTCAATATTTTGCTAGGTAACTGTGTAATTACGGATTAAACAATAAATTGGTTTTCCCTACCCGAATTCGTTCAATAAGTATCAGCTTCCTCCAAGGCTTTCTTTTTAAAAATAGAATCTGTCTCAACAGGTATTTCTTATCACCTTTCCATCGTAATCGGCTACTTCAAGAAATTCCCCAGTTTAAGGAAGTAGTTAATAGGAAACCCTAGACATAGGTTTTGTATTATTCGGCACCTCTCAAGAAGGTGTACTTGTAATTTTAAGGGGATTGGTAATTCCTGGCAGATTCAAACCAGTGTCACCCAACTTTACAGTTACATTCGTTACCACTGAAATATAGGGGCCACAACTGGTTTCCTGTAGCATTGGGATGTTTTACAATCGACCGACCACTGGTTAGTGACTATTGTCATGTATTCCAGGTCCTTCTTATTGCTGGTCGACTAGTTCTGTTGATTACCTTCAACCACTGCATTGAATCTTAACATAATGTACGAGATTTCGAGTCATTTAGGCTAGTGACCACATTGCAACCTGATCGATAGAATTAGATCATCACTAAGAAGGACCTAACATTGATTACTAACCAGTGACCAATCAATTGTAAATCTAGTTTAATTTGCGAGCCAACAAAACATTCAAATACTACTTTGTCTAAAATAAAAAATGTCATCTTTTAAATTAATGAGTGAGATCATGAATCGATCAATGTTATACTACCATTGAAAATCTTGAAGCACTAGACAGCCGTTTCGTTTTTGTATAAGATGCCTTAGCAATGCGCATCCACGATCCCGCTAATGAGACTTGAACCCAGAATCTTCGATCTCCCGCATAAACGCTTAACTTCTGGACCACTGAGCCGGCATTCACCGGTGTTAATATCTAACTTTAACCAACCTGCAATATTTCGCAACCGTTTTCCATTCAACATAGTTTAGCTTCACTGGTCACGGCTTCATACTAGAACTCTGAGAATCACCTCTTGAATCCATAAACTAAATTTAGATTTATCAAAATTATAATACGACTTTAGTAAATTCCTAAAGTAATAAAATATGATGAAACAAACAACAGTAAATAAAAAAAGAAGATTAATTAATTCATAAATATAGAAAGAATACCAAGTTCCAAAACTTTAATTTAGTTTAAACTAACTCGGTTTTTGCTGAGTAAAAAAATCATTAAATATTTAAAGAATTTTTCTAAAAGAACAAACAAACAAATTTAATGATATTAAACAATTGTCTATTTTTTTTTCTTGTTTTTATTCTATATTAATGTTATTACAATTAATAAATAATTAATTATAATTAAATTACACGTACACATTTCGTGCTAGTTCAATCATTCTAATTTAATTTTGATAGTTGAGATCATGAATCAATTGAAGCTAGACAATCATGGAAAACCTGGAAGCACTGGATGGCCCTTTCGTTCTATTATGCACATCCACGATCCCACCGCGCGAGATTTGAACTCAGAACCTATTAGTTTCGCGCGCGAGCTCTTAACCACTAGGCCACTGAGCCGGCATTCAACGGTGTTAATGTCTAACTTCAACCAATTCACAAAATTTAGCGACACATCCACCAATGTTTTCAGTGAGTTACTATCTCACAAGAGACCTGGTTGAACTACACCGGTTACTGCTTCTCACTAGAACTCCAGTAAATACCTCATGGAGCCAGTCAGTAGTTAGCATATGTTGATTATTATGAGAAGGGGTTTTGTGGATATTATAGTAATTTTGATAGTTGGGATCATGAATCAATTCAAGTTAGACCACTATGGAAAACCTGGAAGCACTGGGCGGCCGTTTCGTCCTATTATGGGACTCCAATTTAGTAAGAAATAATTTTAGCAGTAAAAGAGAAAATTAAACAAATCGAGTTGAAATATATATATTTTTTAAAAACAATGTTGTTGTTTAATTACCTGATATTTCAGAGACCTGTTTCTTCAAAAAGACAAAATAAAGAAAAATAAAGGAAAACAAATAAAGAAAAGAGACACATCGATGAAAGTTGTTGCTTAAATTCGAAGTAATTTTAAATTAATAAGTAATGTACTTCATTGAAATGGTGTGAAAATATTTGTACTTAATCATTTCAAACAAAATAAAAAAACAATAGGACGAAACGCCAGTTTAGTGCTTCCAGGTTTTCCATAGTGGTCTAACTTGAATTGATTCATGATCTCAACAATCGAAATTATTATAATATCCACAAAACCCCTTATGATATTAAAATAAAAACTGTTAAATAATATCAGAAGGGTGATTTTTGTGGAGATTTTAATAATTTTATAGTTGAAATCATGAGTCGATTGAAACTAGACCACCATGGAAAACTTGGAAGCACTGGATGGCCGTTTTGTCTTAGTATTGGACTCCTTAGAAGTGTGCATCCACGATTCAACTCGGACCAAACGACCGTTCAGTGCTTTTAGGTTTTCCATGGTGATTTAGCTTTGATTGATTCATGAAATCAACTATGAAATTACTATAATATTCACAAAACCCCTTTCTGAGAAAATTATTCACTGAATACCTACTATTAACTTATATGAATAATTATAAGTTATCGAAGTGAACAAATTGCATTAAATTGGGCAGTCCTCTTTGTTTACTAATTATCCGGTTGATTATTTTAGTAGAGTTTATTTCAAAATTATCCAAATAACAGTATTGGAGAGAAGTGAAATAATGATCGGGATTTAAATAAACATTCGGTATTAGAAAATATGCTACATATTGAAAGAGAAACAGTATATTTATTTCAAAAATGATTATCCAACATAAACAAAGTAGTTTATATCACGGATTGTACTTACTAAGACAAACATTAAAAACTAGAAAGCAGTGGATAGATTTTTCGTCTTAGTTTGGAACCTTTCAGTAATGCTCATAAATGACCCTATCGAGGGAAGAACGCAAGGTCTTTAGGTCTGATGGAAAGCGCTTAGCATTTAGATCACTAAAGTGATATACAATAGTTTTCATTTCTTTATTACATCAGCTCGTGATAGTGCTCAACTATCGTACAATATCATTGGTAGATACTCCACTCCTGGTACCTAATTGCCATTTCTTCCTAGAACTGAAGGAATTACTCCCCAAAATTGGTCACTGATGATAACATTATTACTATCATTACAAGGAGTTTGTGGATATTTAAATTACTGGATAACTTAGTGGTCTATCGAGTAAGTTCTTGCCAATGGGCCTAAGTGACATGGATTCAGACCTCTATAAGGGCTTTTGGGTTCAATTTTAAAAAATTCGTATAGTGAGCCAAATAACTCCTTCAATGCTGCATAGTTTTCACTCGCTGTCTAACTCATGTCAATCCATGATGTTCAACAATCACCACAACCTTTTAGATTATGGATAAAATAGATTTATCAGCCTATTTTCTAAAAGCTCACCAACTTTAATAAGTTTGAAACAGGGAGACAAAATGTTTTGCTCATATGATTCTATTCGCCTCATGACTTGATAATGCGAAAAAAAATAATTTATTTTTATATTATTTTTCTGATTACAACACTGTAATAATTACGTAATTCACTACAGGCTTGTAACTGTATAATTTGAACTAAAAACAAATTAATTATTAGGTTAATTGATCTACTGATATTTATGATGACAATGTTCATGAAATTTACCAAAAATAGATACTTAAAGAGAAAAATGTGAATTTATGTAAATATTACCAAGATCAAATTAATTTTCACTATATGATATGATACGTAATTATTATGAACTAAAACAAACTCAATATTATTGTGGTGTGTGCTACTGATGTCGACAGATATAAGTAGTATTTACCATTGATCGAAAGCGAAATGCCTGGAGACAGAAGGTTAAGAAGATAGAAGAAAAGGGAACGAGAATAGAAAATGATTGTTGTGTAGGCGAAAGAAAAATGAAGCCTGAGACAATTGATTGACATTTTGCAAATGAAGTACTTAATGTATGGTTCTCAGATTTTATTAAGAGGTTCTGTAATTTTGAATTCGAATACATTCGATTGCTCCCATTTGTGTTCTCGTTCACTGCACTACTACTACTACTACCCTGAATAGAAAACTATTTTAAATTCATTAGTACTTCGATAAACTACTATCCATGATTGACTGACTGACAATATTTCATTTTAACTGGATTTAAACTCCCAATTATTCTGTAGAGTATAGTTTTCCTAAGAAAAATGACCAGTTTCTTACAGATAATAGAATGAAAAAATTTTCTAAACTCGGTGAACTGAGTTTTAATGGATTATCTATTTGTACTAGACAGTAGAACAAATTAAAGAAAATAGAGTATACGCGGTACTGATTTAAGCCTGAATTCCTTAAGAAAAACAGTATTTAAGATCTCTCAATGTATTTTATAAAATTGATTGAGCTGTTTTGTACCAAATATGATTGCTTTAGGGTAAGAAACTTTTATAAAATAGCTCTCCTGTCTGCCACGGTTTTAGACGGTTGTTTAACTAAATCTACTTTACTTTATAAGTCACTTCCAATTAGGTTTATAATTTGGTTGACTGAAACAGTATGAACACATGGAATACACTTTGAAGAGAGTTATTTAAATACAAATTTCTCTTGGTGAAAAACACAACAATGGGTGAGAGTTAAGTATATCGATTGTGAAAAGTTACAAAGTATTTGTATAATACATCTATTTAGCCATCAGTCGTCCATTTGCATCTTCTAGTGTGTTCTACAATCTGAACTGTCTTTTCGACTGGTCTCCAAGTATTCTGCCAATGCAGTTCTCTCAATGTACTGAAACTTTTCACTCTGTCCAACACTACTACACACTACTTACATACATTCTTTTGAGTAGCATCCACTACATTGGCACCATAAAATCAAATTTGTATTTCATCAGCGGCTTGGTTTTCATTTAGATTTAGTAATTGATCGTAAATAACTGAATATTCCTTTTTTTCAAACTGACCGAAGTTTAATAATATCGAATGAGTCTTCAAAATTACTCTCAAATAGGATAACAAAAGCTGCATTTCGAATTCATGAACTTACCACCATTCATAATGTAATTAGTTAATATTGGTTTTGATGCTACAACAGATCTATTAACTGTTTTGTTTCAAGTTGATTAATCGATTATTTTGAAAAGGCTTTTTCCATACTAAACTTTAATGATTGAATTGTCTTTATCTTATATAGTAAACGTGACTGCAATGAGCATCAAATTACTACTTTATCTCGAATACAATCATTGACATTTAACAAATACTCAAGCCATGTGTTAAGACTACCAGTCTGTAGATTTATCGCTAGAGAAATAAATGTCAAATCACAAGAAGAATACTTTATTATTGTTAATCAAATAACTGGATTTTCTAAGTGGCATTATCTAAGTGCAGTTGATTATAAACAGTAGAAATGGATGATTAGTTTAAAAGGGATGAGAAATCTTGTAATACAGTAGATTGCCTGTATGTTAGTATCGATAAATTTGGACTTACCATAAATGAATCTTGTTATTGTCATTGATGAATACTAACAAATACGTAAGATCAATGAAGTTTCCCAAACAATAAGTGAAAACTCCAGTTACAGAACGACCTACGCAAAGGTTATTTATAGCTTACTCATAATATCTGACTTTCGATTAACAAATCGTCTGCTCAGTAGTTGATGTTGATATTTCTTTCATCTGAATAACTAGTTATTACACAACTATATATGAAATACAGAACTGCTTACAGTACTCAGAAATATATTTTCTTCACTTAATTTGTTGTACAAATGATTTTCTAGTTACTGACTTATCACTCATCGACAAATAATTCCCATTTAAAAATTGAGAAGAGATCCCTTCGCTGAACATCGTGTTTTTAACATCACTCACTAAAAAATAACATGAACACGAAATCCAATGTTTACCAATAACGTGTACATTCCTGACACAGCATAGTTAGCACGATGTCAAGTAGGAACTCTTCAATCTATTGAGATGAATTCGACCAGCATTAAGAACTGAACAAATTTCACATTATTTAACACAGTAATTAATCATTACAAAAATTTTAATTATAGGTAAGATTAATTGTGAATGGAATAGCTTAGTGGTAATGTGCAAGATACTGCGTGACTGTAATTCTAACCTCACACATTATGTCAATCCTATCAAAAATACAGATACTCTTTCCTCAAGCTCCAAAAAACATGAAACATCAGGACATAATATCAATTGTTATTAAATACCCATCATCGATTTGTACGCTCCTCGCACATCAAAATTCTAATTTCATCGTAGAAGTCTAGCCAAGTTTGAATAATGAAGATGATCGCACTATCTAGTTTGCCAAATCCATCCACATACATTATTAGTAAAATCGAAAGTTTATTTCTCGATGATTTTTCAACTTTAACAGCTAGGACAGTCAAATTAGTGCTAATTATATCATACTACTCATAAAAATGTAGTAGTTCGTTTATATGAATCAAAATGTTTAAGCACCAACCCAATAACATTTCGAAAAACATAAAATAAAACAATGTTCCATTCATCACCAATCATAAATTATTACAATGTCATCATTTTTATTTCATTATGGAAGTTCATTGAATGTCAGAAAAGTATTATGTAATCGAAAAGAAATGATAAGTACAGTCTATTTACTACTTGAATAGAAATGACAATATTCAAAGTAAGGAGAATCTGAAAGTCAATCACCTTCCTATTCAACTAAAAATAAATTAATAGAGAAGACAGTACTCATAGCCTGTTGTTCCCTTTTCTTCGTAAAAAAGAACATATTTAGTAACTTTTTCATATCGTAAAATAAGCATGTAACATTCAACAAATTGTGTCTACGATTGAACATTAAATAGGTGGGAAATAAATAATATATTTGCTCAAATATGAAAGTATGTATAAAAAAAATAAGGGGTGTAGAATTATTCTGGAAGGTTTATACGAATCGATGAAAGATAATTCGTCTCATTTTCATTCATTTCATTTGGTTTATTGCTGAATAAATTATTTCATTGATAGTAGTCTATTTGACATCACAGAAGATTGGGCTGAAAGTGAAAGAAAAACTTCTTTAAATAACGAGTCAATGAATAATAGATTTTAGCACGAAAATGCTACTTTTAAGTAGTATGATTAAGTTGTGCAAAAAATTAAAGAATGTGCTTGATATTTATAATGATTGCACAACTCGGTGGATATTTGGATTCAGAAGCTCAGTGTATAATGAGTTAGGTGTTTTAAGCGAATTTTATTGGTTGCGAATCGTAGCTTGAACTTCAGTAATTAAATGTTGTAAAATCTGACTAATGGGTATCGAATAAGATGAAATGTGAGTCCTGGATTCCACTGTTAGCGACTACTCAACTTTATTTAAAAATTTACCTGATGTTTGTTGGAAATATAGATTATTTCACTGGAAACTTAAAGTGAAAATTTTGTTTGTTAACCCGTGAACTTTGAGAAAGTGTTGAGACTCAAATGTTTAATTCCGTCTTAGATTTATAAGTGTGCATAAATAATTAACAATAATAACTTTTAGTTGTTCACACTGTTCGATATAATTTATATTTAATCCTGAAGGAACATAGACAAGAAAGGTCGGAAAAACATCTAAAGACTTAGCGACAAACAACGACTTCCTGTGAATAACAGAAAAACTGTTTCTGTTTTAATTTGAATAGTATGCTAATCAAATAAATGAAAATAAATACAAAATATCACTGTGATACTTCAAGCTGAGTTTTTTTTCTAATGTATGACATTTAAAATAGAATCAACTATAATATTGTAACAGTTAGTTATATATCAAAACTGTATCATAGTTGTACAAAATATTTAAATGTGATCTATATACTTTTGAACAAATCTTCCCAAAGCTTGCTGTAGTGCATATGTTGAGATATATTTTTTGGTATGAAAGTGTTTTTCATCATAAATTGGAGTTATTTGGAAAATCAATGAAATATAAGGAGTACTGAACAGTTATTTTATTTCAACTTATGATTTTCCAGAAGTTTACCTAATACGAAATCTGAAATTACTTGGTTCAAACTAGTAAAGAATCGTAATTGAATATTTCTAGAGAGTTTTAAACTAGTACGAAATCGCTGCATAACACTTGGTTTTCGAATGAGCTCTTTTCTATTTATTTCTAATTGTCATGAAAATAACCTTGAAAGTCTATAAATTTATAAATAAATATACAAAAAACGATAGTTACAATGGCACTTTATGAATTATTGATAGTAAGATTGTAGATTGTGCAAAAGGTTTACTAATATTACTCACATTCAAAGCAACAGTTGAATGACAAGAATATTATGGCTGATTTGAACGATAAAATAGTATAACAGAAAAATGATAAGGTGATCTGAATGAATACAGTACTTAGATTAACCGGTCACTAAGTAGTAACAAAATTCAAGTTTGTTCAGTCTTTAATGATACTCAAATTCTATCTGCCAAGTTACAATGTTGTCACTAGTCTTAGTAACTCAAGATGTTGTGAGTCGATACCGTAATAGCTCAGTGGTAGCCTCACTAACTGTAAAACCGAGTGGCTGAAGTAAGAATCTAATGAAAGGACAGCTCCGTAAGATCTCAACTATGCCTTCCGAACAGGTGGTAACTAACACATACACTAGGATCAGAGTTTCTTGTCAACTGGCTTCAATTACCCAATATATAATGCATGGGTTTTTAAACAGTAATAAAATCTAACCAAAATAGTCTAACCCTAGCCAGTCATCCTATATCATTTTTAATATGTATTATTGTCTGGCGAAGCATTCCATTTCAGTCCATTCAATTTTCATTTCAAGTTCTATATTTAATAATCTCGTTTGATGATGTAAATGTTTATCAATTGAAGAGTATATTCGTAGTTTATTTTTCACAAGGTGGCGACATTTCAAAAGGGTGTTTATCATACTATATGAATCTTATTTCATGATATCATTTTTCAGTTTCAAAACGTAACTGTTATTTGTATGCTTCACCACTATAGTTGGCGAGCTTCATAGCAAATAAAACCATAGGGATTAACAGACTAGATGATAAAATCATATTTTATTATTTAACAGTAAGTTAGTGCATAATATTAAATCGATTGAATTTTGTGATTGGTAAAGGGTTCATATAGACTAGATAATCAACAAGAACGTTTTATAATCAGATAACGATGAATAAAAAATTACACATACATATATTACATTAATTTATCCGTAGGGTAATTGAGGAGGGCGCTATACTCCAACTATGAGAGCTAATGATACTATCTGACTGCTCAGACTGAGGCAACATGGAGCGGGCTTCGAACGTGGGACCACTGTTCCATAATAATAATATCTGAGTCTTTTTCTACGTTATTGGCTCAGAAAAGCATAAAGTCCAGTTGAATTTGTATGTTTATGTGGAAACAAATAGGACAATAACTTGCAATACATGAAGGAAGATGTTATTATTGTATTCAAAGTTTATTCTTTAAAAAACGTCTAACAAAAAACTGATGTTAAACAGTCATATAAATATTTTAGATGCTGAGGCATTTCTTGCACCCTCCTATCAGCAATGAGTTCAAACATAAAAAAAGAATACAAGATTCATTACTATTCAACAACGTGAATCCTCGATCTCTCACAACAAACAGTATATATGAATTTGAAACTAGCTGTCAATGATTATTTTCATTCTGGAGTTCAAAATAAAATTACCATGATAATATAAAGTTGTTCAGTCTAATAAACACAATGAACCATTTGATTGACAAAGTTAATTTAAAACTAAGAATTATAGCATCATATCAATAACTATCAATTGTCATTAAAAAACGTCTATAAAAGTTTAAAACGGCATTTCTAAACTTTGAACAATAAACTAATAACATTATTCCTTTATTGAAGTCTTGAAAATTAACTATAATTATATTCCATTTTCTAGAAGATTCTTGTATGAATTCCAATCCATATTATCAGCATGAAAAGAAATAAATTCAGTTTGACTTTTAGAGTTTAGACTTCAAAACAGTAGTGGTTTACAATAAAATAATCAGAAGAAGGGTTTTGTGGAGATTTTAGTAATTTTATAGTCGAAATCATGAGTCAATTGAAGTCAGTTGACATTAAGTTAAGCGCTCGCGCGCGTGACTGATAGGTCCTGGATCTGAATCTCGCGAGGCGGGATCGTGGATGCGCACTGCTGAGGAGTCCCACAGTAAAACGAAGCGGCCGTCCAGTGCTCCCACGTTTTCCATGATGATCTAGCTTCAATTGACTAGTAATTTCAACTATAAAATTAATAAAATCATCTTTGAAAGTTGTATTTGACTATAATTTTTCATCATAATATGAAGTTACAATAGATTAACTATTCTTATAATGATATATATAACTCATGTAAAATACTAAATATAAACAGTTTTTAAAATTATTTCAAGGTGAATATAATCACAAATGATTGGATGTTCAAATAAATAAATTAAAACAAACCAATATAATTATCAAAAATATAAATAATTATGATCCGTTTCTATGTCAGAAAAAAATATTCTAAGAAAGTCAGTCAGTCAGTCACAACGTAGAACTTCGTACGTATGTACCTACATCAGTTCAAGTTGCCATACAACATTACTGTAAGAAAAATTTTAAATATATCTGATGCACTAAAACCTTAAAATAAACAATTCAATTGATGACAATTTTTTTGTAATTGTATTTATTTAGTGCTTCCATTAAATAAAAAGGTGCATTGTATAAAAAAAAAAGATGAAAATTAGAGCATCATTTTTCTTTATTCAGTGCATATGAATCTTAAAGTGGAATAATGTGCATCAAAGAAAAAAAATATTTATGTCAGTAAAATTTTATCTTACAGGTATGTCGATGATATGCTGCATTTAACCATTTTGTGAAACAAGTATCTAAATCCAAAGACTAAAGATCAAAATTAAATGATCTGATCAGTCATTATAAAGTTTTAAATATGATTAAAATATTTTACAAAACTAGTAATAATAAATTATTAACTTTTCTGTTATATCCCCTGGTGAATTATGAATGGTAACTCTAAGGACTATTTATCGACCAATGTATTATGCCTATTTCTTATTGTACAGTTGTTACGTAATTAAATTGTTCATATTCGTGTTTTCTATTATTTTGATCTTTGATTTATTATCATACGACTCTTGAGTTATAATCATTTTATTGATTACTTTGGTTTGTATAAAAACCCAGTATGTTTGTAAATAATGATTCATATTTCCGAGGCTGTTATTTGTGTTCTGGACTCAACTGGCTGGGCTAGGCAGTTAGGAAGGACCGAATAGCAATCAGGACTGCTCGTACGTATTTCCTGTATCATTGCACGTTTCATATACAATAACGATTGTTATACGAGACATAACAATTTCATAGTTGAAAGCGTGAGTCAGTTGAAGCTAGACCACCATGGAAAACCTGGAATCACTGCACGGCCGTTTTGTCTTATTATGGGACTCCTTAGAAGTGCGCGTCCACTATCCTGCCTCGCGAGATTCCAACTCAGAACCTACCAGTCTCGCGCCAGAGCGCTTAACCTCTAGACCATTGAGCCGGCATCCGATGGTGTTTATGTCTAACTTCAACCATCCATGATTAACTGTAGAAACCATGGTAATATTAAGGTTGTGTATAGTATCTAATGTTGTTTAGTTAAATATAAAAGTGGGTAGTCAAATTTTGAACTTTATTTTGAGAATAATTTCTCTATTATGTACATGTAAATGAAATTAAAATACTGGTAAACATTGAAATATGTGAATGATATATTCTTTACATACGATTGTTTGATTATGTCATAGGTAACTTAAGAAATAAACCCTATACATCGGTATAAAATAGAACTTTTTATAATCTTAAAAGTGTTTCCGATTTGTAATTGAAAAATAAAGTATACTATTCGTCTCAATGGTTTGTGTAAGATATATTATATCTAAAATGTTTTAGTGAAAAATTTAAGTTAAGATCACTAATCCAAGCAACGCTATTGAAACAGCTATGTATAACATAGTCGCGAAATCCTATTGTATTTTCTTTGGGAGGCTAAAATATTAAGCTCATAATATGTGATTTATTTGATGTTAGTAATATTATCAAGAGTGTATTATAGCTATGAAAACTAAACTAAAAACAACGGAGGAAGTTGAGTTTCGCACGACGCAAGGTAGAAGATAAAACTGATAGCAGATGAGGAGTTTACTCTATTCCCAAGAACTCTACGACAACCTATTAATTATATGAATTCATTTCTGCATAAATGTTTTCGCCATTTCATTATTAATTAAAAATAGAAATATCATATATAAGTGAAATGATGAAAATACAATGATATTTTACACCAAAATTGTATTAGCCATGCTCACTGCCTTCCCGTGGCACTACTGTTGTTTACGAAATTGAGAGGACGAAAAGTGAATGTCCGGCGTTTTAACCGGGTTGGTGGAGACGGAATGTTCACCTAGGGGAGTTGGAAAACCCTGATTCCAAAACAATGGTGTACATGGGCTCCAGTAGCCTGAGGGAACAAATGGCGTATGAACCAACTGTTGGTCACCAGCTACCATGGGACTGCATCTCCTCACGATGCTCCACTGTCTTGTGGATCAGACCTTTAAATCAAAGGCTCCGGGTGTGGCTCTCTAGGAAAACCACCTTCTTCCGTTTGGGCACCCGGGTAGTATCACAGCCCTCACACAAATCAAATGAGATTTGTGTGGCGCATATATATATCTGGTGCCCCTTTGTACCAATATTTATGTGTTTAAATAAATAAATATCCATGTTCCAAATTTGGATGATTATTATTCAATCTATCATTCCTTTCATTTTTAATTCAATGTAATATTCGCGTAATATTTGTTTACTCTAACTTATTTTTGTATTAATTTATTATGATACTCATTCAATGTGTAATTCAGCTTTAGCTTTACTGTATGATATTTCCTTAGTATAAGATTCGGTTGTAGAATTTAAATGTAAAATCTGCTTGTATTCTCACCATTTCACTTATATATGATATTGTGCGTATTGCCTCGATATAGACTTAATTCACAGACATTATAAAGAAAGATGGATAGTGGCTAGCAGTGGAATCCAGGACGCGTATTTCGTCCTATTTGGAACTCGTCATCTGGATGGGAAGATTCAAACCAACAATATCAATTGAATTCAAATTTCACCCCATTGAACAAACAAGTGGCTATCAGGACTCAGTAGCTGAGTGGATAATGCGATGGCGTTTGAAGCGAAAGATACTGGATTCGAGTCCCAAAGTGAACATCAACTCTGAGATGCAGGTCAGACTCATCCATCTGACGAGTCCTAAATAGGACGAAACGCGTGTTCTGAATTCCATTGCTAGCCACTATCCATCCTTGCTTACTGTAGTGAATTGTTTCAAATGAATGGTAAGTATACTAGTGAATTATATTTAAATATTTTACAAAGATTCGCTATACCTTCAGCTCGTGACAAATTAATTATCATGAAAATATTCCGTATAATAATGGATTTTTAACCGATACCAAGCAACCCAATGTAATGTTGATATCTACAATCTGTCTATTAGAAACTGATTTAAAAAATCACAACTGAATATCGACCCTGATATATACCGTTAACCATTAGAATAATATAGTTGGTGACATAATTAAAGAAATTAGTTGTAATTATTTAGCATATGAGTAAATTCGTTAAACAAAACAGGAGTAAAAAGGTCGGTAATTTTGTAAACCTGTGTAATTATTGATGATCCATTACAATAAAATATTTAGTGTACGATAGAAATAAGGAAAAGTACACTTTCAGTCGATCAGTCCAAGCAAGATATAACATTGTTATAATGTTATGTAGCTAACTAATGAGTCTGTTAGTGGAAGAAACTGAACTATGTTTAACGAAATTTTCCGGAGCACAAAATTGTCCATCTAAAAATATAAGATTTTACAGTTGGTCACGATTATCAGTCTATAACATTATGATTATCCTTCTAGATTTTATGGTGACTTGTTTATGAAAACAGTTTTAGCTTAGTTAATATTTATCATCTAATTACAATACCTAGTAACTTTCTGTAAAACAATCTCTGCATATTTCTAACCTTATCTGAATATTAAATAAAATCTAAATAGCAATAATGTTAGAATAATTCTGATCTGTACTTACCGAATAAAACTGACCATCTTCATTCAAAGAATTTTCACTATTATTGAAACATTTCATATTTTCATATGGAGACATATTAGTAATATTTTTATGAAGTAGACGTGGTGGAGGAGATTTATCATATGATCCTTTCACTCTAGATACTGGAGAGTAGCTTTGTTGTTGTGTTCCTATAAGTTTATTTATACTATCGTTGAAGTATATATTCGAGTCGATTGATTTACGTGGATATATTGAATTTCTTCAACCAGGATGTTATAGATAAAAAAAATTGAAAAAAAGATGAATTGAAGGAGATATTGTAATAAAGATGTTTTATTTCTGTTATATCTAGAGCCTCGAGTCTTAATATGCCGCGTACTGCTAGACTGCTTGAACGATAGAACCCGCAACGTCGCAAAAGAGAAGACAAAAGACTAGTAAGTAGGAAGTTTATTCCCCAAATCAGTGTCAAAATATAGTACAGAAATCTCATGTATTTATAGCTATTGGCTGAATGTAAATCATCATTTAGGTCAACCAATAGGCACATAGGGGTCTTTCTTATCCATCCAATGTGGAAGATACACGTCGACATTCTAGAATATTCCCCTAGCAATGATTGGATGGAATATGTCCGTCTCTTTCTGGGCTTCGTAAGGCTTCCTAGAGTTTGCCAACGAGCCGTCCTTACAATTTCCAAAGAGTTGAATTTCTAGATGGTATTGTAATTTAATTATAGTACATATACTTTTTAGTAATATGATTGAGAGACAGAAGGTATTCGGTCAAACATCTAGATACTTTGAAGATACTTCGACTAAAGCCTCTATTATATTTTAATAGCTGAGATACATTAAAGTCCTTATTAGTTTTCAGTTTCTTAATCTGTAAAACAGTTAACTCAAATAAAAATTCCCAATTTTATACCGTTTATTTGTGATAGATGGTCTTCTTGTCCGGCAAGACAGTGAACTCTTTGTTCAGTTTTAATTTGAACCACTTCTATTCTGTCAATGTTTTAAACAGAACATAAAACCTAACAAAAATTACTGTGTGTGAAATTTTTGATTACGATCTTATTTGATGTGACACCTTGAATACTTGGTCGTTATTTTAAGCGACTACTTAAAATTAATTATCACTGGTCAATAAATTACAAGTATACATATGAGTGTATATGGTGATAATTTTCTTTACAAGGTTATTGATAATGGTGCATCTTTGATGGGAGGTGTTTTGAATTAGTTCTCTGATTACAAGCTTTTCTTCTGTGATTCAAATGAATTTCTTATTTTTATGAGTTCAACTAGGAAAGAAATGTACATCATATGAAACACCTAATCATCAAATCATCTTCATATACTCGACTTTTATAGAATCTAATAGTTGAATTCATGTGTCATTTAAAGCTAGACCACCATGGAAAACCTGGAAGCACTGGACAGCCGTTTCGTCCTAGTACGGGACTCCTCAGAAGTGTGTATCAATGACCCCACATGCGGGACTCAAACTTAAGACCTATCGATCTTGCGTCCGAATGTTTAACTTCTAAACAACTTAGCCGGCAACCAACGGTGTTAATATCTAACTTCAACCAAACCACGAACTCATATTGTTTTCTTAATAATGGTATTGCTTAACTGAATTTAAGAACACAAGTTTTTAAAAAAAAATCATAAATTAAAAATTATAAAATTTCAATGGAAAATATTGAAATTTACACTAACTTTAATGTAGACATATTGTAATTAAATTTTGATCCAATATCTTTGTTAGGTAAAATAATTTTATCTGAATTACCATTATTGTATATAATAGAATATGAATCAGAATTATCCTTTGATAAACTACTATTTACTTCATTTAGTGAAGGATTATACTGGTTTTTAACAAAAAAGATAGAGAATAAAATTGAAATGAACAATTGAGTTTTCATGAAAGTCATCTTTGAATTAAAAGGAATTTATACATCATCTAAATAAACATATATCTTGTTGTCGAGCGGTGTTTTATTTTATTTTCGGACTGTACGATTGTATATTTAAGTGTCGAACTCATGAACTCTTGGTCATTTATATTCGACCTGGCTTTAAGATGCATTTGTTTAGATCATCACAATCACCGCTATGGAAAAATAATAGGTATTAACGAGTTGAGAAGTCAAAAGAGAGGGAGACTTATTTAGCCTCTGATGAGAATCTGATTGTAAGATACAGTTAAGAAGGGAGAATTGAAAATTGAAGTTTATGTTTAACTAACTAATCAGACGAAAGAAGGAAATACAACTTTTCAAATCTTAATTATTTTGGTCTATAATAAACAAAATTATGATGAAGCAGAGAGCATAAGTAAAGCATATGAATATCATTGAATATATATCATAAAACCAATGAGATATAAAATGTTTCAATATTCCTAGAAAAAATAGTTATTGATTAATATAAATTGGTTAGACATTAACACCGTTGGATGCCGGCTCAGTGGTCTATCGGTTAAGTGATTTGGCGCGAGACTGGTAGGTCCTGGGTTTGAATCTCGCTCGCGAGGCGGGATCGTGGATGAGTACTGCTGAGGGGTCCCATAATAGGACAAAACGGCCGTGCAGTGCTTCCAGGTTTTCCATGGTGGTCTAGCTTCAATCGACTCATGATTTCAACTATTAAAATACTGAAATCTCCACAAAACCCCTTCTGATTAAAATAAAATAATTTATTTTTAGTTATCGGGTAACAGGGTATAAACTAACTTGTTTTAAACAACTTCTTAAACGATTCAAATTAGCTTTACGTGTTTTTATTAATTGCTTATTTTGTATTTCAATTTGTTTTCTAGTTATATCACGTAGTTCATTAACATTTTTTGATTGCCATTCTAAATGATCTTGTTGTGATTCAATTAAATCACATATTCTTATACAATATGCTGATAATTTACCGATTACATCTATCAGTGGATTTATCCAACTGAAAATGAATTAAAATAATATAAATAAGATAAATTTTAAATCATACAATAATCAACAAATATGTATTTATCAGTAAGGAGGTCTATGGAGATTGTTGAATGGTATGAAGATTATGGAACAATCACGATCCTTGATGCTACCGTGAATAAGTACTGTTAAGGAGTTCCATACGGGGACTAAATAGCTAATTAGTGTTATCAGGTTTTCAGTGCTTGTCTAAATTAGGTAGGTTCACGATTTCAGTAAAATGAATACTTAGTTGAAGAAGTTTCGTGGATATAATGGAAGTGAAGTAGTTGTCACCAGTGAGATTGAGTAATCTTCGTGCTTGAGTACAAACTAATTACATTTAGAATTGTATCATTGGATACCAATTAAGCGATTCCAATGGTTAGACGTTCTCCACGAGTTGTATATTGTACTGCTGACCTGTCCTACACGAGGATGAGATAGTTATTCAATCCTTCCTTGTTTTTCAATAGTACTCCAGTTGAGATCAATCTATAACTGATACAACCTTAGAATTATACATAATTAGTAACAGACATCACTAAAGTTTATAAAATCTAAATAAATTTACAATATACTAATATACCTTTACTCCCACTTTAATTACGTAAGAATAGTCTAACCATCTCGATATTTAAAATATTTAAAAGTAATTACAAAACTAATCCAGACTGAAGGGATCAGAATCCTTCACAGTGGCGGGGATCTATTTATTTTTTATCTTTAATTTAATACTGAGTTTCAAAATTATGGTTTGCTTTTCAGTTCTATTAATTCATACCATCTTTTCGAATCATACTGTTTATAGCTTGTATATGACTAACTGGCTGATTAATATAAAATCAAATTATATTCACAAACGCCTATCATAATGATAAATAACAATGTTCGAGTTGAATTGGTCACCTATAGCAATCACAAGTTGATTAGAGTTAGACACGTAGATTATTAGATTTAGACTAAATGGAGCCTAAATTCAATGCACTACTCACTAAACCAGATGGTCAATTGTCCTATCAAGTCCAAGGCACTGAGTGTACATTATTGATGAATCCGTGACAAAGTTAAAATATATGTATGCTCTCTATTCAGAACTTTCATCAGGTAAAAAAACGTATAAGAACCTAAAAGGGCTAGAATGTTATTTTGTTCTGAATTAGAATAGCTCAACAGTGCACACGCCTAATTCTATACTTGTTTGAATTCAGGATTTTAGGTCTCGGAATCTCTGAGGACTTTCAAACTAGGACAGAATATTTGTCTAAAGTTCTGAAGTCTTTACTATGTTTTTTTCTAGCCTATTTTGAACTTTAAGGAGTGCTATCTTCATACTAAACTAAGATCTTTAACCCATATAACTCAATAATTATTACATGTTCAATGTCCACTAGTTGTGAGCTGCATTTATCAAACTTTTGATGAAAAACTATTAGTGATTGGAGTTTAATCACTTCAGTAGTTCAGTGAATTATGAGTTAACATTTTGAGCGTAAGCTACTAGGTTTTAGTCTCAATATACTAATCAGCAATGGGACAGTTACATCCGTGTGATAAGTTCTAAAACAGAACAAATTCCATATCCCTTATTTCCACTATTCAAAGCAATACATCTATTCTATATAACAGTCTAATTGTCTAACGAATAAACTATATGAATAATTAATAATATACTTTGGCTTGTGTACAAAAATCATGCTTGTTTATTGGTTTACAAAGTGGCCTTGACCTTCCAGATGCATTTAAAATTGTACAAAATGTAGTAAAAATGTACATAATTATTCGATCAAATTGTGATACATAACCCGTAGTTTCGCTGGATGTTTCTAGGGTGTTTCTAGTTGATACTGATTAACAGAAACATTGTTAGCCTTCTCCCGGTCTCTGAAGACTTTAACGAGAAATTTTCGAGACCTTTCAACAATTTTTAATTTTAACCCTCCGAACTCGAAAAAAGAAAAAAAATAATTACCTCTTGATAATTAAAGTATTCTCAGTTAAATTTGAAATTCTTCCATTTTTATTCAATGTTTTCAATGGATGAAATAATTTTGAATGTAATAATGTTGAAGGAATTTCAATATCTTGATTAGATATATTTAATAATTTACTAAAACGATTACATTCTTGATTACCAAATTTAATTAGTCCATAAATAGTATTATTGAATAAATGAATTAATGTATCATAATCATGATATAATTGATGTAAACATAAATGTAATTGTGATAATTTATTTTCATAATTATCAATAAGTTGATGATAATCTTTATGTTTTGATAATTGTACATTTTTATCATTCATAATCGACTAGAAAATAACAAATAACAATTATCATAACAATTATAAGCAAAGATGGATAGTGGCCAGCAGTAAAATCCAGGAGGTGCGTTTCGTCCTACTTGAGACTCGTCAGATGAACGTACCTGCATCTCACTCTGGGACTCGAACCCAGTATCTTTCGCTTCAAACGCCATCGCGTTATCCACTCAGCTACTGAGTTCTATAGACACTTGCTTGTGCGATGGGGTGAAGTTTACGTTCAGTCGATATTGTTTGTCCGAATCTTCCCATTTAGCTGACGAGTCCCAGATAGGACGAGATAAGCGCCATGGATTCCACTGCTAGCCACCATCCATCTTTCTTTATAATGCTTGTGAATCAAATCTATGTCGAGGAAATACCCACAGTATGCACATATATAAATAAGAGACTGATCGATTGTACTCCTAATACATCAATGGGAAGATTCAAACAAACAATACCAAGTGAATTATTATAACGTTTATAATTTGAAGAGATAACTTTGGATACCTGGAAAATTACATACTACACGCAATTAAAGTCTTTGTTAATGCCGATAAAAACATTGCACAGAAATAATAGTGGTATTTTCATATAAACAACAATAAAATGATTACGAATTGAATGAAGTTAAACGAAGAATGATTGAGTATAAACTTAATTATTTAAAGATAAACAACTCCTTGGAAAGTTATTAGGTCTTGAGTTAAACAACTGACAGGGTCGGGAGTAAAAATTACTATGTAGTTCTATACTAGGAAGAAACATCTAGTTTCCAATGTTTTTGTCGCGGTTGCTAGTTTGTAATATAGATCATTTTCGGGTTATTTAAAAGACTATTGAATCTAGAAAACATTTTTGATTGGTTGGAGAGAACATGTCGCTGTATGTTTCAGTAAAATTATTTATTCCCAATAGTCAGTAAGGTATTAATACTTTTAACAACCCATCTCCTAATGTGTCATCTTTGGTAAATTACTAGAACGTTGATTCTTGGAAAAGTATAATCACATTTCAGCGTTTAAACACAGAGTAGATTTTTAAGAATGCTGAGTAGTACAGTTTGTTTTTTTATGGATGTTATATATATCAGTTGATCTGAATTGTTTGTAAGGACACTTTCCTCACTATAGAGTTCGTGAAATGTTCAGCAATGAAGGAGAAAGTATTCAAAATACAAGTTGTTAAAACGTTAATACTACATCAGGTACTTCGTATAAAATGAAACCTATTTTCGACTTGACAGCATTCCATGTTCACCAACTACATTTCTAATATAAATATTTTTAATAGTTTATGTTTAGGATGTTGGACAACGTACCACAAAACTGACTGCCTTGTTGCAACAAGGAGTATTCACTTTTTAACTCTTCCTATAAATATTGGACTTATTATCACTTAATATTTTTTATTTTTCAATCTAATTTAGTCTACTTTCTGTTATTTTTAACAATGTGATACAATCAATATTAATAATTTCCTTTGCAACTATTTTAATCTTATCAATAAGGGGATTCGTATAGATCATAATATTTTTAAAAGTTGGATTCACGAGTCGATCTAAGCTAGACCACTATTTGAAATCTGCAAGCACTGAACAGCCATTTCGCCTTAGCATGGGGCTCCGCAACAGCGTGCTTCCACGATCCTGCACATAGGATCCGAACCTAGGACCTTCGGTCTCACACGCGGACGCTTAACCTCTAGACCACCAAGCCCGAGTCCAACAGTGTTGATGTCTAACTTCAATCGATCCACGACCTTGCATAACCCTTCATCTGTTGTCTGAGGTGTATGACTATCTCCATCTGACACTGATTGAACTCCACTAGTCACGGCTTCTCACTAGAACTCCAGAAAATTCATCTTCTCAATTTCTTATATATGCATAATAATTTCTAGTATGGCAAACCAAACCGAAAGACTATCACTTTTAGTCTTTGACTGTTCAAGATTGATTAGGAAATAAGTTGACATTTTCATTTGAGTTTCACTCTCATCGTTGCATATAACAATCAAGATTGAATAAATGTTATATTCTAAACATAAAAGTAACCATGACTATTTTTTAAAACTAATTTATCTATTAGCTTAGCAATGATGTATCGTAGGTAAGAAATGCATGTTATAGATTTCATTGCCAACCATTGTTTAGAACAAGTTATACTATGTTTTATAACTTTTAAACCTGAAGAGAAAATTATTTAAATAAAATAACCAACCAAGATTTTATTTGTCTGAGGTACACAATAGGTTCTTTCAATTTACGTGAACAAAATCTTGGTAGCAGTAAATAGCGAATATGATTTAATTATTTGAGAAAAATGATTATCATTAGTATTTATATGTGACTGTAAATCAATGCATTATGAAAGAAAGATTAATTTACTTTAAATATTATGCCACTTTTTCTTCTAGTCCTTTGGTCTTACTAATTAGTCATGAATTTACATTAGTGCATTTTCCAATTTAACATCACTTGACGGTGATCTCTTTTGGTGATGTTGTGTTCTCTGAGATAGATGATTTCATTGCTAAGCTTTCATTATCGTTCTGCCTAACATATTCAGTGCCTACTTTATATGGAAGTGAGCTTTCTAGTCGTTCTACAGGTGTTGCATTAGTTTATTCTGATGGCCTATTTTGTAATCGGCTGTATTTGTAGGCTTTGTTACGTTTATCTGTACTTGTGTTCTGGTTGACTGTCTTTGTTGGTCAATCCTTGTGACTAGTTAGTCTCTTCCGTAAAGGTTCATAGATTGAATCTATGTCTTTTTATTTATGGATTGCCAACTATTCTGTATGCCAAACTACTAGAAATTCCACAACACTCTCAGTTTTTCCAATCCAAGGCTAGGGGTTGACCAACAAAGATAGTCAGAGTCAGTAAACTGACGAAGAAGTACAATGAAACCTATATAGGCAGCCGACAAAAATAACGACATCAGAATGAACTTATGTAATACTAGTGAAATAACTAGAAAAATCACTTTTACATGAAATAGATACTAAAAATGTTGACCAGAATGACAATGAAAACCCAGACATCAATCCATCTTTCTCAGAGGACGCAACAATATTGATTGGATTCACCTGAGCCACAAATCTTCATCATCATTTCAGAAAGCGATATTTTGTTATAAAAATTTATCTACAAGTCAATATTATAATGTATCCAATAAATATGGATCATGGAGAGGATTTCTAGATTATATGGATGTTTTTGGTTACATTGTTTGTCCTATGTGAAGTGCTGATGATATTGATGAACGACAATGAAATGCTTTGCACTTAAACCACTGAGCTCAGAGGACCGAATACAACATTAAAGTATGTACAATTTTTAACAGTATAACTTATTAAATAAAAATAAACCTACATCCAATTGTGCAGGACTAGTCTCTGTAGATTTATTAACAGTCGTTAAATATTTCAAATTTGGATTGCTATTATTTGTATTAATAATTGGGAAGATAGTCGACGGCAACTTAGATTCAATAGAAACATCTTTCAAATCGTTTGATTTTTGACTCTCTTCATTTGAGCCCATTGGTTTTAAACAGATATCAGTTTGTATTTGTCGATCACAAAAATGTTTCTGTTGTGTTGAATTATAAATACAATTTTCTAATGTATTGATATGACACATAAGTTGTTTGTTCAAAGATTCATTACCCTATATATTATGCATGAAATCCAATAGAAAAAAAAACCCATTCTTAATTACTAATTATTTAATTAAACAATTACAACTTCGTTAGGGTCTAGAAAACTTTAACATAACAAACAATTCTGAAAAATGTTAAGTTATCACCACCAATTCATGTATACAGAAATAAATAAGAGTATGGGGGTAGAAAGAAACTATAACCGTCTTCCTAGGCAACGTCATCAATACACACTTCAAATAGAATTGAACTATTTGAATTTCTCCACATGAGACCGTGAATTTGATTAATTCTCGTTGGCAGTTGTTCTTATAAGTATAAATATCTACGTATAAATATGCTTACTTCTATTTGAAATTTATCCTGATATTAGTCTATAGAAAACAATACAAAATTCACGATTTAAATCATCTAGCTCAGAGAATTCAAGTCCATCAATATCATTTTCCTGATCCACAAAATTTTTCCAATAATTAAACAGTGAACAAAAGATATTTTCCACAAACTTAGAAAAATAAGTCAATCCTTATATTTATCCGAATGTTTTCATATATTTAAAAGAAATATATTGGCGAGACTATAGTTTATGGACAAGCCAATAAGAGGCGTTTCAAGATCACAGCGCCAATTTCAGGACCTCATGCTCATGTACGATCGGTTCACAGAGGATTTTAGAGAAGACGTGAAAATTAAGTGGCTACAATAAATGCGAGCCCCCAAATGCCCTGGTACGGCCGAAAGTGGGGAGAGTCTGCTCTCCCTCTCGAAATGCTCTCATATGGCCAGCGAATATATATCCTCTGACAGGGAAGTCCTACTCACTGCCTCCTCGTGGCGGGGGTGTTGTTCACGAAAGTGAGAGGACGAAAAGCGAATGTCCGGCGCTCTAACCGGGTTGGTGATTGTGGAGGATCCACCTAGGGGAGTTGGCAAACCCTGATTCCAAACCAATGGTGCACATGGGCTCCAGTATCCTGAAGGAACGAATGGCGTATAAACCTTTTGTTGGTCACCGGCTACCATGGGACTGCATCTCCTTACGACGCTTCTGCACTGCCTTGTGGACTAGACCTTTAGGCCAAAAGCTCCGGGTGTGGCCCCCTAAGAAAACCACCTGCTTCAGTCTGGGCACCTGGGCAGTATCACAGCCCTCACACAAATCGAATGAGATTTGTGAGGCGCATATTTATCTGGTGCTTCCTTGTACCAATATTTATGTGTTTAAATAAATATATAAAAATCAATAAATGGGACTACTAAGAATTTCTTTTATTTGTAACTGCGGTAATCAGTTGACTTGTAGACCTTGTGCAGACTACCCTGATGATGCTATTTTTCGATGTAATATATGTTAGAGGAAGTGTGCTAGAATAGGGACTTATTTTGAGACTAAGGCAAATTATAATAATTGCTGCGAACTATATAATAAAAGCACCAGTATTCGCAGATGTCACTGAAGCTTTGGCTGTTCAGAGGTATGAATATTGTAGGGATATATGGGTAATAAAAATGACAAACTTACACAACCGGAGTACATACAAACAATATTGAAGCTATGTGGACGAGGCTGAGAGAGTTTTAGTGACCTTATCATGGCCTCAGAGACCTAGTGTTATAGAGCCGTATGGATGAGTTCCTCTACCGTACGCATTACGATATTAGAACTTTTTTCCAACTTTGACAAGTGTTTGAACTATGTAAAAGAAGTGTATCTACTCTAGCTCTTTGGTGTTGTATACTTTTCCTTTATGCTAACTGTTACCTGATTGGCTAATATTTCTCAAGGTCACTTGAGGTTCGTTCAGAAGTCGTTCATGAATTACAGTCTCGCCAATATATTTTCTCTAAAGGCTTAGTTAATATACAAGAAACTACGTAATTCATTTATTTACCCGATTACATTCATTTTCACTTTCAACTATGCTTTATTGGTATCTAGTGGCATAAAAGTTTGATGTTATTCGTATTTATTCTAGGAGTCAGTGTTAATAAACATTGATATAATGTCGTAACAACTATTCTTTTTGTAATGTTTTCTTGTATCTTTCCGACATTAATAAAAATAAATCCTGTAATCCGATTACCATATTTGTCATGTTGTAGTGAAAAGAACACGAGTGGGGACAATCGAATGTATTTAGGCACAAATTACTGACTATCTCACTAAATTCTGATAACCATACAATGAACAGTTAATTTACAAATTAACAAGCAATTGTCTCAATCTTAACTGTTCCTTCTGCAAATATCAGTCCGTCTTCTTTGATTTCATTGTTCATGCATTTTCGTACCGATTGCGCTTCATTCCTGTTCTTTTCTTATCGATCTTCTGCCAAAATGCATTCTATGCCTGACCATCAACATATACTACTTATATGGATATAAGTAGACCACACCACAATGTGATCGATAGGTTATGCAAATTGCCATCTTTCCCAAATTTAAATCAGGACACCAGAAAGTATTTTTATTGTTAAAGGTTATGACTCATTAAACCATGTAATTAAGATAAAATACATCACATTGAAAAATTCATATGAATAGGACAATGTTGACATCAGAATGAATATTACCGATTTATAGCTAATTGACTTTAGAATTAATGACAATATTCAATCTGTAAAATGATAACCGAGATACAGAACTGTATGTAAAAGACTACGAAACAACAGTTTAAGTAATATTCATTAGAAAAGTTTCCTAAATAATTAATCAAAGAATTGCTAACTAGGTATCGAATTTCAGAAGGAGATTTTGTGGAGATTTCAGTATTTTCATAGTTGAAATCATGAGTCAATCGAAGCTCACTAGTGACTGGCTTCAAGAGATATGTCCTGGTGTTCTAGTGAGAAGCAGTGACCAGTGGAGTTCAACCACGTCTGTTGTGAGATAACAACTCATTGAAGACAATTGGTGAACGGTTGTTCAACTTCGTGGATTGGTTGAAGTTAGATATTAACACCGTTGGATGCCGGCCGGCTCAATAGTCCATCAGTTAAGTGCTCTGGCGCGAGACTGGTAGGTCCTGGGTTGAAATCTGGAGAGGCGGGATCGTGGATACGCACTGCTGAGGAGTCCCATAATGGGACAAAACGGCCATTCAGTGCTTCCAGGTTTTCCATGATGGTCTAGCTTCAACTATGAAAAATACTCAAACCTCCCCAAAAAACCTCTCCTGATTATAATCATCATATAATTAAGTATTGGGAATCTCAATAAAATGAATACTCTCTATTTAATCAATATACAAATATAATAAAATGAGAATAATAACTAATTCAACTAACTTTTAAATCAATTTTTAATTTTTCAATTTCTACTTCATGATTCTTCTTCAATGTTTCAATATCTGTATCATATTTTAGTTGAATTTCATTTAGTTTCTTCTTTTGATCTTTTAAATTTGTTTGAATTTCCATGAATTCACTTTCCTTTATTTATTAAAAAAACAAAATGTTAACCAAACTGTTAATTGTAAATTTACAAGTAAAGTGATTATTTAGGGGGGGGGATGGTGGTCATATCAAAACGTATACAAGGATCAAGACTGGTGAAACTTAATTTATATTATCGTAAAACTTTCAGCCTACTCTGTACTCATAAATTAAAGTTACGAAATGATAAATTTGTTATATTAATGAATAAGCTCAAAATTTTATAATACACCATGGTAGATAAAATTCAATGAAGGATAACAATTTACATGAGCATTTATCAAGATTTGAGCGAACATTTTTGTAGGAATTAGACCCTTAGAATATGGAAGATATTTAATTTAAAAATTATATTTAAGTGTCATGGATTGAAACTTAAATAATTTCAGAAAATTTCCCAGGTAAACTATTCCAAACTTCGTAAGCAAAAATGGATAGTGACTAGCTGTTGAGTCCAGGATGCGCGTTTCGTCCTATTTGGGACTCGTCGACTGGATGTACGTGCATCTCAGAGTTGATGTTCACTCTGGGACTCGAACCCAGTACCTTTCGCTTCAAACGCCATCGCGTTATCCACTCGGCCACTGAGTTCTGATAGAAAAACTTCCAAACTTCTGTAGGAAAGTAATCAATTAAATATACTTGATTTCTTCAAAAAAGATAGCACCAGTTTTACTCTTGTTCAGTTTCTTTTTTTGTATAGTATACTATATTACTTATTTAAATTCGGTAACTTATGATTATCAATCATTACGGAAATATTGTTTTCCTTGTGTTGTGATGTTTCTAAGTATATACATAATCTGCGACTTTTAATTAGTATATTCTCGAGACTGCATTTTCCCAACATTATTATTAATATCATATTTGTGTCTTTTGTATATTAACTAAACATTTATTTATATGTACCCATTTCCATATTTAATATACAAAGTTCTGATTTTAATTTTTTGCTTTCTGCTGTTGAATATTACACAGATACTGTTGGTTACTTAGTCATCGTGTGTTTCTTGTAGGTTATTCCTATATAACAATGTGGAGAAGAATTTTTCTCCTGACTGTGTGAACTCATTGGACATAACATGAACTGTAGTGTGTAAAACGTATTGCTTATTTTGTCACTAATAATATATATTGTAGATAAATACTTTGTTTCAATTTTAGATTCTACATGTAACTCAATCTTTTGGTCTAAATCCTGGAGAAGATTTACTGGTATTTATTTGACTTTAATGAAGAACAACGGATGAATAATAATCGGCAATAGATCCTTCCTTTTTATTCTAAATATGTATCATACATGAGGTTTACAAACCAGCTGTACACAAGAGCAACGTTTATTGTGATTTTGTAAACATGTACATTATGCTACTGAATTAACAGAATATCAGATAAGTAACTTTAATTTGAATCTCGTTATTAATTCAGTTCTTCTTGGTTATTTTAAACAACTGAAGCAAGAGGGATGCATTTTCGGTCAGTTGTTATATAATAAGACGGTAAGAAAATGCTCTCTGAATAAAAGGATAATTTTCATCATACCTTCAGAGAAGAATCCTATGACCAAAAAATGTGTAAAGTGAATGCTCGATCTTACTACCAGCCAGTCCAGTTTTTAAAAAAAATACTGAAAACAATCTCTAATCTTGAGATTTTGTGATTTTACTTCATATGAAGCAATGAGGTTATATGATAATACATACATAGTGTCTTGTAATTTATATTTCTGGAAAACAAATTCGAAATAACTGAAATCATGAGTCAATTAAAGCTAGACCACCATGAAAAACCTGGAAGCACTGTATGGCCGTTTCGTCTCATTGTGGGACTCCTCAGCAGTGCGCATCCAAGATTTTCATTTTTACAAATTCTTATTGTTGTTGCCAAAAATCACTATTCAACACTTAAATAACTAACTCGTAGAAAACTAGTGGTAACATAAATAGTAGATTTTGTATTTCTTTAAATTAATCATTAAAATGAATTATGAACATTTTTGGGATAAAAATTTTCTGACTATTAGTGAAATAACCTTATTGAAATGACTAGTATATTATTGTTCACAAGAATGAGTTTCTAGGCCAGTGCCACTAAATGATACGGGTATTGAAAGGGGGAAAGAAATGATGTAATTAATTAGATCAAATATTTTGGCCGAAGATTATGTAATCCATGAAAAAGTTTATGAAATAATTGAGAGGTAAGAAAATGAAGTGGTTAATTTCACTGTAGATCTTATTTCAACTATCTGAAGTTATTCATTTCCGTCTCCTAGGTACTTGAAAGTGTAGCAACCTCAATAAGCTGAATGACAAACAAAAGTGAAAAGAAAGTTTAAGGCTTGAAATGAAATCTCCAGTAGGAATTGCACTCTTATATGTAAGCACTCATTTATGAAATGCATAGAAAAATGCTCTCAATTTTTGAATACTGCACAGCTAATAAAGTAGATGGATAATCTCATGTCTGTAATCTAAGCTAAACCATTTCAATATTAAGTTGTAACAATCGACATTTAATAGGAATTCATTGAAAAGAATATTTACCGTTTGGATCTTTGTGTTTTAATCTAATCGAAATTCTAATTTAACCAAAATTATGAAAATAACCTGTTAAATGCTTGAAATCGGCTCTTGTAAACCTTAAGTTGATTTTACTGTAATACCAGCTTAAAGTTCTAACTATTTATTACTGAACATTTTTAACATGAAATAAAATTGAATACTAAGTAGTATTTTCTTAATTTTTCGAATTTTTCAGTTCAAAAACTTAAAAGACAATCAGTGATTCATAAAAAATCAGATGATCAAATGATGAATCATTTGACAACTAACTTTCGAAAATGGTTTTGTTTACCTTAGATATCATTGTTTCATTCATAACTATAAATTAACTATTCGAATAAATATCATATAAATATACTCTTATTTGTAAGTTTATACACTAATTTGTGCATTCACCATAACAATTCTAATCAATATTCATTGATTTCGTTACCATAGTCCCCACTAATGAAGTTATCACTTTTAATTGTAAAAAGCATTCCACACAATAATAATAATCGATATTTACACCAATGAATAAATTATAGAAAAATTTATTTATTAACATAAGGATTTCATTTATTAGGCTATTGGATACCATGGAATGTTGTCACTTCTTTTATGACAATATGTATCTAATCTGTCAAAATGTATTTTGTATAAACATTACTTAATAAGCTGACAAGATGATCAGTTTACAGTTCCATTGGGAAAGAACTAGAGATTTCAATAATCATTAGTTACTATTAATTTCTTGTCAGTCGAAATGCCTAAGTTTATAGAGAATCACTGAAGTAATTATACTCAAAGAGCTTTTTAAACGAGATTATATCTGTGAATAGTTTGACAATCTGTAGGGATCGTAAAGCATAATAGTTAAAGGTTTATTTAAGTGCAAATGTTAGAAAAGGGTTTAAAGGATTATTGGTTTACTGAGAATTTTCTACAAACACGTTGTCTGATTCCGTGAATCTATGTAGTCTCGTGAACAAAAATGTGTGTATATCAATAGGTACATCAACATAGATCCGATCTGTCAATAAGTATTCAAAAAAGTCAATTATTCACATGATCACAGGTCAGTTGAACGAGTCTCTCAACTTGAGTGCATAAGAACCAATAAAGGTTACTGATTACAAACTATGCCACCAGAACGAACTGATCTAATATTCATAGAATAGCTTGGAATTTCATGTATACATGAAACTGACGTTGATGGTGTTGTCCAGAACAACAGCGAAAGCGCTGCAGTTAAAGTATTTAGATAAGAATACTCAACATCACCATAAGAATACATTTTAACTGGAATTCCTCACTGGACTCTATTCTGACCTTGGTAGTTACACACTAGTTTATTCTAATTCAAACGGAAAATGACCATATATGACTGTTGAACACTTAAAATAAATTGAGCATTATTTGCATTGTGAGAAGGTAGCAGTTAAAACGACACCACTAAAAAAGAAGTAATATTTGAAATAATCGGTCCCTTACATAGGGTTTGATAGTGTGACAACCAAATGTATTTGTGACCAGATTGTTTGAAATGTCTAGCAAAGCTACGATTTAAATTTTCCAGATCAACTTTGATTTCCTACTGCACTACCGATAAAGGCAATTACCCAAAAGCTGTTTCCTCTTAATCATAAGATTCTCCGACGGTGAATGTTTTATACTAGATTGAAAAGTTGTTTGATATTGTGTTGATTTTCAGTGACTTTTTAAGCTGATATCACAATTTGTTACATTTAAAAAAAGGTAATGACAATGATTGAAACACATATGAAATAATCACCTTCTCTTGTTTTGTTCTCAATAACTCACTGTCCATTTTCTTTTGTAGTTCTTCTTTTTCTTGGCTACTAATATTTAATTTATGTGTAATATCCTGAAGTTGTTTACTAGATAATGCGGTGGAAAAAATAAATATACAAATAAATGAAATCAATAGTATATTTGTATTGGTAACTAATCTTTTGTAATTGAATTCATTGTGAAAAGTATGTGAACTTCTATCAGTATAAAAATTACTTATAACGGTATAACGAACAAGAACTCAGGTGGGGAAAACCAGTTTATTGATTCAGGCAATGTTCTAAAGTGAATTCATAAAATATGAAAGTCATACATTGAATACATTATTTGCATATCTTCCTTCAGTTGTCTTTTACATACTTCACAATTCTTCCAATTCTGTTGTTATTATGAATACTCTCCGATTTCATTCCTGTTTTCTTCATCTCAATCTTCTTCTGGCAGGGATTTTCATTCCGATTGTTGGTACATACTACTTATACCTGTCAGCATATGTAGCATACACCACCATAACTTTGGTAGATTGTACTCATGATAAGTAGATGATGAATGAAGATTTAAGAGATACATTTGTTCCACTTAAAAGCGCCTAGAAAACTCTGTTTGGGTGATAGAAATAAGATTATACTATTTTGTACCTTCAAGAAGTAACTAGTTAACTCAGTAGCCATTGCGTTCTGCATGAAAGTGACTTACGTTTTTTTTATCATATTCAATCTGTTATAGATGTGTTCTGACACATGCATAATTTAAAGCAATTAGTCTCTTTGATAAATTTCGATAGTGTAATAAGAAGACGAAGATTATCAGAACTAATTAGGGTGTGTGAACATGTACCAAAATGGTTTCAGAAACAAATAGAATCAAACTACCCGATAAGAGTAGAGGATAAACATCCATCATCCTCTATTGCCAAACACATAATCGAAACAGGTCATAAGATTGATCTCAACTCGGCTTTTGTGGTGTTGTATAAAAGTGTAAAAGGGCGTATACTAAGGTTTATTGAAGCCTTAGCCATACGAAATTTCAAACCCCCTTTGTGTATTTAAAAACAGTTTGTTATCATCTTAAACCTACCCTGGTAATATTAACTTATTGTCCAGAGTGATTTGGTTTCAAATTGTTTTCGCACTATTTTTATTATTATTACCCTTGACTATTCTAACCCCCATTTCCAGTCTAGTTGACCTTTTATTTTTATATATAAATGTTATTAACAAGTATATGTGTGATCAGATTGTTCGAAATGTATTGCGCTAATATATCACATAGTTCTGATAATCTTCGTCTTCTTATTACACCATCGAAACATGCCTAATTGTCAATTAAAATGTAACTATATTTTACAAACTTTAACCAAATTTGAGCTGGTATAGAATGATCTCATAAGATCCAAAAGTTGATTCCCTACCAGAAGATATTAAATCTATAACAAAAACTACCCACAAGTTACAAAAATGTCCCTTAAAAAACCCAAAGCAAAATAATTTCTTAGATGTTTGTCAAAACATGATCTTAATTTTTTTCAAATCAATAATTGTAAATTAAAAATGTAACTATATTTTATTTGGGTCCTGGGTTTGAATATCGCGAGAGCGGGTTCGTGGATGCGCACTGCCGAGGAGTCCCATAATAGGACGAAACGGCCGTCCAGTGCTTCCAGGTTTTCGATGGTGGTCTAGCTTCAATTGACTCATGATTTCAACTTTGAAAAATACTGAAATCTCCACAAATCCCCTTCTGATTAAAATCAATATTAGTTAAATTTTTCTCTTTCATCAAATTCTTAAAATCACTCCAAGAAATAAATGAAGCATCCTGCAGTTCTAAAGCTCCTAATTCAGTAACCACATTCGAAACTTGATCAATATAATCCAGTATACTATACCGAACAAAATGAAATTGATAATTCAGTATTAAATATTAAATCTCAGCGAATGAATTTGAAGTAAATCCAACGTTTCGCCTGGCGATCTGGTCCAAGCTTTTTCAAGGAATTAATTCAATAATATAATCAAAGGAATTAGTTCCTTGAAAAAGCTTGGACCAAATTGCCTGGCGAAACGTTGGATTTACTCCAAATTCATTCAACTGAGACTTTACAAATATATTATTCCTATTTAATGTCTTACATCAACTCGGTGCCCAAATACTGTGAAACTATTCGCTCAACTTTAGACAAAAGTTCTTATATCAGCATTAAATAGTTTTGAAAAAAAGATAAAAATATGAAGATGGGACTTATTTACTTACCAGAGATATTCTTTTTCACATAATAAATCATGAATTTTATTTTGACTTATTCTTAAATGAGTATTTAATGTATCAATTTCATATTCATATTTTGTAGATGCTTTCGAAGTTCTATCTGATTGGTCAGTTATTTCTCTTTGTAACTTCACAATTTCTAATTCATGTTGTTTACTTTCTTCCTGATAAAAGAAATTGTATTTGAAAAATTAACGTGGGTATGGTGTGTACTACTTATCTTGACACAAGTAGTATGTGACGTAAATCGGGAATAGAATACCTAGCAGCAAAAGGTTGAAAAGATAGAAGAGGGAAGAACGGGAGCGAAGAGTATTTGGTATGGAAACGAAGGAACAATGAAGTCTGAGACAATTAATGAACATTTTGCAAATGAAGTATTGAAGTATCGTTTTTGTGTTTTATCAAGTAACTCTGAAATAATGCAAGCTTGGTTAGTAAATCTTTCAGATTTGTTTGGAGTGAGGGGATTCTCGAGTGATATTACAATCAAATATATAGCTATTGATCTTCTGTAAACTAAATTCGTCTATTATTCCACTTGTTCATCCAATAAATCTTGTACATTTGATTAAATAAACAAAATAACTCCCATAATTCATTCCCTTTGATATTAAATAGTTTTAAAGACTTCTTTGGAAAAATGAAACAAAAAAGATTTAAGTTTCTATCTTATACGAAACAACTTTGGATCTAACATGTTATTAAAAATGTATTCAGTGAAGTATTATCGAAAGTATAATCGACAGCATTGTAGTATCCAGTCATGGAATCCATGTTCTAACAGACATTATATTTATCTCATCCTGAATACTAACAATGAGAAATGACAAAAAAATAGAGCTCATTATAAATGTGATACTAATCGAGCAAGTAAATGGTCATTATGGCTCAATGACTGACTGAATAAAGTAATGGCGTACTAGGTCCCAATTTTAATTTGTGCACTACCACTGAAATATAAGTACATTTAGTTGGTAACTCTCGAATTTCAAAATTACTAGATATCCAAAATAGAAATAAAATGTGCTATTTCATTGTAAGTTTATAAAACTCCCACAAGATTTCTTTTGTCCTAAAAACCAGAGATTATAGTATAGCATTCACGAAATTTTATTATGAAAGTAAATAAACCGTAAAAACTTTTAAAAGGGGGTAAGAATCAAATAAGTGACTTCTGTATATTGATCTCAGATATTTCGTTACGCATTATATCAGTTTAAAATTCATCCACACTGTTAAACGTTTAGTTTCAAGACATCATGAGTTGTACGATTAGTAAATTAAATTTTTAAATTTCCAACTTCATCAGGAAGAATGTTTTTTTACATAAACAAAGAAATATCATGATTTACATGAATTCGTTTTCTAGATGTTTGTATTCTATTTAATAAAAGTTGCTAAATTATTTCAATTTTATTGTATATAAATTTAACCCGTATATATATATATATATATATATATATATATATATATATACAACTCAATTTTTTAAGAGCAGGAGAAACCAAACAACTCAGTCGTAGCATTTCAGATTAGGAAGCCAGGTGGCGTAGGTCCCAACCACACAACGAGCACTGGTACCTCCAAGATACAGATACATCTTTCTGACGAGTACCAACTAACTCGAGATCAACGTCCAAGGTTCCCTGTTACCTACCCTCAGTTATCTAACCCACACTAAATGTATCTTACATACTTGAATATTATTAATGTAGGATTTTTTTTTCAGTTATAGTTGTAATTTCGTCACAAGGTTTAATGGCTCAATATTAAGAATTACTATGCTTTATGTTACTTGGTTGGATTAATTTACAAAAGGTCCTGAATATAGGTTTCGTGCTTCCTGGTAGACGCTAGCAATATGTTTCTGATAAATCACCTTTTAAAGGGGCTTCCATATCTAACTGTTATATTAACTGAAATGGATTTCAGTTTTTCATTATTGAGAAGTGCAAACTGGTTCTTAACTTAGTTTTAAAGTTTTAATGTTAGTTACCTTTGACCAATTAACTAATAGATCAATAAGATAAGGAACTTTATTTATTTTGACGGTTAATTATGTTGTCCTTATTGTAAACTATGAATAAAAATTATTTTATATAATAAAATACCGAACATTAATATTCATAATGACTTTTCATAAAAACTTTTTAGTGATCTTATTTTAATTAAAGTCATACTGTAGTGTCAGTCAGTCACAAAGTAGAACTTCGTACTACGTACATCAGTTCCATTCGCCATACTACATTAGCACAGAGATGAAGTTGTTGTTTCAAATCCCATAGTGGTAGGAGTACTAAGAGTATAAGCAGTAATCCGAAAGATTATGGTTTGAAGATGTTATTGAAGAAGTATAATCCAGTGAAATAAATTTGAAAAGAGAAAAAAGATAGAGACATGAAGAATTCAGAAGAATGGGTTCGCCATTGCAAACGATTTTGAGCCATGTCATTCAAGGTCTCTAACCATCGGTAGCTATCATCTTGCGAATCCCAACCAGGTAGTCTACACCTACCAACATGGCTCAGTTCAATTGTCAGTGACTTCATGGATTTGTGCCACGTTTTGGCTTGGCCGCCCCTATGGCCATGGTCAGACATAGAATGTATTTTGGCAGAAGATCGATAAGGAAAGAACTGAAATGAAGCGCGATGGGTGGGAAAATGCATGAAAAATGGAATTAGAGATGAACTGACATTTACAGAAGGAACAGTGAAGATTGAGACAATTAATGGTTATTTTGCAAATTAACTGTTCATTGTATGGTTATCAGAATATATTGAGATAGTCTGTAATTTTTGCTTAAATACATTCGATTGTCCCCAAGCAGTGTTTTTTTGTTCACTACAATATTAATACTTTCCATTTTCGATCACTTTAGAGATCACATGTCATATGTATATATTGACCTTATTTTCTTCAAACTGCCATAGTAACGCATAATTTATCTATTTATGTTAAAATATGCATTCACTGGAGAGAAAAAATACACATATTACTGTATAATTGTTTTAATCTGCTCTTTTTTGTTACCCTCCATGTAACTAATTTGTTAATTTAATTTAACATAGAAAACAATATAAATTTTCAATGATTGGTTACTTTTGTATTTGAATAAAAGTAAATAGAAAAAACAAAACGGAAACACTAATATGAGGAGTTTGTTTAGTTCTAGAAAAATTACATGCATAGTGTAAATTGGGAAATTTTAAACTAGTTTAATGCATACCCATGACCCCATTAAAGACCAAACATAAGACTTATGAATCTTGTAGAGAGCCCTAAACCTTCAAATTGTTGAAATGGAATTTAGTAGTTCACATTCCTAACTTCAGTCGATTGGATATATTAAGCGACTACATCCTTCACAGCTAATATAGTTGAACTCTGGTTACTGGAGTGGCATTTATCCAACTGTAGAAATATCGCTCAAAACGTTTAAAATGATAGCACAAAAATTACCTTTTGAAAACATATAGCAAAAATAATAGTTTCAAACGTATAAAATGCTTAATTTTGTCTCTTTAGATAATATATATAAAAGGTCAATCAGCAATATCCCTAAATCCTAACCATAAACCCTTAATTCAGGAACAAACTTGAACCTGTTGACACTATATTTTACAGGCGGCATTTCTGTCCAACATTTATTCATCTATATATGGCTACAGAGAATATTTGCTCTATGGCTAAAATTAATTCGTAATATTAACTCTAACTTCTAATTCTTACGGTAATTACCCAACGCTATGTGAAGAATTTTAAAATCTGTTTTGGCCCATCATACAGTTTGAATAGATGAACAATCTTTATCTATCGGGACGAATTTACATGTAGTTGTTTTTCTCGATTTACAAGGAGAGTAACCTATAGATGCCCCCAAATGCCCTGGTACGGCCGAGAGTGCGAAGAGTCCGCTCTCCCTCTCGAAATGCTATCACATGGCCACGCCTATACAGCCTCTGCCAGGGAAGTCCCAATCACTACCTTCTCGTGGCATTACTGTTGTTTACGAAATTGAGAGGACGAAGAGCGAATGTCCGGCGTTTCGACCGGGTTGGTGGACACGGAAAGTCCATCTAGGGGAGTTGGAAAACCTTGATTCCAAACCAATGGTGACATGGGCTCCAGTATCCTGAAGGAACGAATGGCGTATGAATCAATCATCGATCACCGGTTACCATGGGACTGCATCTCCTCACGATGCTCCACTGCCTTGTGGATCAGACCTTCAGGTCAAAGGCTCGGGGTGTGTCCCCCTGAGAAAACCACCTGCTTCAGTTTGGGCACCCGGGTAGTATCACAGCCCTCACACAAATCAAATGAGATATCAAAATACAAATGTATTTTGTGAAAATATGTTTTATAATTTACAGTGTTATTATATTCTTTTCATTTAAGAACGCAGGTTAGTAATTGATTAAGAACAGTTATATCATTAATACTACTGATAAATGAAAACTTACCTTTATTTTTTGATCATAACATTGACTAATTACATTCACTTCATTTTCATTTTGTTTTAATTCTTCTTTTAGGGAATTTATTTGATTTTTAAAATTTAGTATTTCATTTTGTAATTGTTCATTAATATATTTAATTTCATTCGCTTTATTGATACGTTCTTGAATTTCCTATAATTGAATATGCATAAATATTCATAAATTATACCTTCTATTTATTATTATAATGATAATATTAAGTGTCTACTGTTTTTAATTAGTTATGTAACAACAAATAGAAGTTTTTTTTAGAAACTGGAAAGAACCGATTGGTAAATTAGTTAATAAGCGTAGTTGAAATCATGAGTTAATTGAAGCTAGACCATCATGGAAAACTTGGAAGCACTGGATGGCCGTTTCGTTCTATTGTGGGACTCCTCAGCAGTGCGCATCCACAATCCCGCATCTCGATATTCGAACCCAGGACCTACCAGTCTCGCGCGCGAGCGCTTTACCACTAGACCATTGAGCCGACATCCGATGGTGTTAATGTCTAACTTCAACCAATCCACGAAGTTGAGCAACCTTTCACCGATTGTCATCAGTGAGTACCACCTCACAACAGACCTGGTTGGACTCCACTGGTCACTGTTTCTCCAGGAAATATCTCATGGAGCCAGTCACTAGTGAGGATATGCTGATTATTATCAGAAGGGGTTTTATGGTCTAGCTTCAATTGACTCATGATTTCAACTATGAAAATACTAAATTTTCCACAAAACCCCTTCTAGCTAATAAGCCTTAAATACTGCATTGATCCTATTAAGATAAATCATGCTTGTTAATGTAGTAGTTAGGAATGAAGAAGTATTGGTTGTTTTTTTTACTATTTCGATTCACTTACCTCGTTAATTATTAATTATGGATTCTGTCATATTGTCTTGTTTGAACATGTTGACTATGAATGATGTGTTTCGACTCCATCATCTATTCACAACGAAGTGACTAGTAGCTAGAGTGTTAAATGTTATCAAGATAAATTGTGTTACAGGATTGAATTTAGATATGTAAATCACTAGGTACCGGCTCGGTGGTGTAAAGGTGAGGCTACTTTCACGAGACCTGAAGGTCCTTGGTTTGATCTTCAGTGGAGTCGTGAATAGATACTGCTAGGATGTTCAATACTAGAATGAAATAGCTATTTAGAGTTTCCAGGTTTTCAATGATAGTACAACTAAATTGATCTGTACTCTCAATGATTAGTAATTCCATATTTACCATTCAATTTGTTTAAGATTTCCAACTAATTCTATGAGGGAATTGTCATTCTAGCTATTCTAGTCATTTCATTCCATTTCTATTCCTGTCTATTTATATCTTTAATTTTAAGATACTTTATACAGAGTTAAAACTATCATGTACATTTTGGACTACTTTCAAATAGATATAAATTTTACAAACAAGAATTATTATCAGTATAGGGTTATGGAGATTGTTGGGTTTAGATTGATATAATGAGTGGATGAATGTTAGACCACCACTGAAAACCTGGAATTACTGGACAGCTGTGTCTGTTGTGAAGCAGTTACTCAGTGAAGACAATGGTGGACGGACGTGCAATATCGTGAATTGTTAGAAGTTAAACATTAACACCGTTGGATGCCAGATCACTGGTTTATTGGTTAAGCGTCCGTGTATGAGACCGACGGTCCTAGTTTTGAGCCCCACATGTGGGGTCGTGAATGCGCACTACTAAAGAATTACTGCATTTAAATAGATTGTGAATGGTCGGTACATTGTAACTTAACCGGATATCATATTTCATTAATATGATAACTTACTTCTTCTAACTGTTTAATCTGTTTTTGATAAAATCTCTTATCTGCATCATATTCAGATGAAATTAATTGAAGTTGTTGACTTAATTCAAAACGTGCAGCTTCAACTGATTCATACTTTAATCGAAATTGTGCAGTTTTTTCCTTTTCTTTAACTAATGCAATACTCTAATTTAAATTAAACAATAAATTGAAAATTGAAAATGTAATAGAAATATATTATTTAGTTGTAAATTAAAATTTGATAAAAAAGAAAGGAAGACATATATTTCAATGATGATTGATTAAAAACTTCATATACCCCAGAATGAATAAATAAGTATTAATTTTATTAGTTGAGATCATGAGCGAATTGAAGCTAGACCATCATGGAAAACCTAGAAGCACTGCACGGCCGTTTCGTCTTATTGTGGGACTCCTCAGCAGTGCGCATGCACTATCACGCCTCACGAGATTCGAACACAGGACCTATCAGTCTCATGGGCGAGCGCCTAACCACAAGATCACTGAACCGGTATCCGATGGTGTTAATGTCTTACTTCGTCCGATCCACGAAATTGATCGACACATCCACCATTGTCTTCAGTGAGTTGCTATCTCACAACAGACCTGGTTGAACTCCTTTGGTCAATGCCTCTCAAAAGACCTCCAGAAGATACCTCTTGAAGCCAGTCACTAGTGAGCATATGTCGATCGATATAAGAAGGGTTTTTTGTGGTTATTAAAGTAATTTTAATAGTTGAGATCATTAGTCAACTAATTTTAAAGTTTTTAGAAATGTCATCTAGAAAAATAACGAATTGTAACATCCTCATATATTTCAGCTTGTATATGAAGAATATACTAAGTTGTGTCAGATAATCAAACATAGAATTCAGATTAGATATAACTAAACAATCTTAAGTAGTACCTGTGTAAGATCTTTTCAACGATCGAGCGCAAGTCGATTACATTAATGTTAACACAATATTATCTTGCAACTGTGGGTATCACATGAAACAAAATGAGTTCTTTTAATCCTAAATGAAAGGAAAGTATAATTATATTTGACCTAATATTGTGTGAAGTACTTTCTACCTTCAATTTAATCACAGCATGTAAATCAAAATAACATTTGTTATTTTTCCGTTGACAGATGAATAATCATTATATAAGATAAAAACACTAAGGAACCTATCACACAGTCACTCAGGCAAAAGAAAAGTCAACTGTCCACAAAAACAATACATATTTCTCTTAAAATTTTCAGGTTCATAATAGATAATGAGATGATGAATGATATTCGTAGCTTAGTTTGAAGATGTTGGAAGTATTATTTTCTCTTGAGTGAATCGTTTAGTTGTGAAGCCTCGCATTTTAACCAAACACCAATCATTAGACACATCAAAATTGACCGAATCTATCGGCCAGTAAAAAAGGGTTAGGAACCTCATCCTCAGAGAAGAAAAAAATGCAAACAACAACCGCGCAATTATAAATAACAATCGTCATAATTCTTGGCCAACAGACCAGTTGTTAGTCAAATGAAGATAAATTCCAATAGCTCTCCTCTTTTCAAAGTATGTGCTGATAGCGTCCAAACAGACAATGAAAACTTTGAGGCCAAACGATCTAACTTAGTGAACACAACTTCGACAAAATATAAAATAGTTGGATTATCGACAAAATAAAAAAGCTATCATTTACTAACAAATGTCTCTAAACGTACAGAGATTTAACTATCAACTAATACTCATTCCTTGAATTTTCTATTTTATTAGATAATGATTCAATCCTTATTCTGACATCAAAAAATCCAAAAATCATTTAATCAGTACTGATTAAGTAGGGTGATATATCTTCTGATTTTAGAAAGGAAGATATCAGTTCCCTGATGATTGTAGATGCCCTTTACTAATTAGTAGTAACCAGCACAAAACTTCTGTTCACAGCTTCCTACTAGTTTTATCTAACTACCTAACCAAAAAGTATGGCACCATGTAGTGTAATTGCAAATTAGTTAATAAAACTCCCTAAAATCAACATTTTATCCCATCTATCATTATAAAATTAATACAGAAACGCTGGAAGAAGTGGAAAGTTTCACGTATTTGCGTAGCATCATCGATGAATGTGGAGGATCTGATAGAGACGTATAGGCGAGGAATGAGAAAGCAAGGACCGCATTCCTACAGTTGGAGAACATATGGAACTCAAAACAACTGTCAACTAATATCTGAGTCATAATCTTCAATACGAACATCAAGACAGTCCTACTGTGCAGAGCTGAAACTTAGATAACTACTACAACCATCAATAAGAAGGTACAAGTATTTATAAACAGTTGTCTACACAAGATACTCAACATTCATTGACCGGATACCATCAGCAACAGCATTGTGTGGGAGAGAACAAACCAGCTTCTAGCTGTAGAGGAAATTAGGAAAAGACGTTGGAAGTGGATAAAGCACACATTACGGAAATTACCGAACTGCATCATGAGGCAATCCCTAATTTGGAATCCTGAGAGGAAGCGGAAAAGAGAAAGGCAAAAGAACACATTACGCCGGGAAATAGAAGCAGATATGAAAAGGATGAATAGAAACCGGAAGCAACTGGAATGAACTTTTCTGGACAGAGTTGGATGGAGAATGCTGGTGGTCGGTTTATGCTCTATGTGAGGTAACAGGAGTAAGTAAGTAAGTAAGTAGGCAAGTAAATAAGTGAGTAAGTATTATTGTAAAGTACTATTTCTATCATTCGTTTGTAAACATTCTTAAACTCAATTTTTAGCCCATATGACCTCTCCAGAAATTAATGTATTTATACCTATAATTTACCTTCTGAACGATAACCACTATTTCTTTGACTACATTGAAAACTTCATAGTTATCCGTTGAAAAGAGTTACAAAAACATTTAAATTTTTTTTAACTGAATATCAGTTAATGTATCTACTCTGTGAATATAAAACACAAGTATTTATGTATTTTTAGTTCGAGCTATTATGTAAGTTCATCTTCTTTTGCAAATTAAACAATTTATCTTCTTACATGTTCTTACTTTGTGTCATAGGAGTTGCAATAATGCACGATTACCAAGTAAAAGCAGCAAGAGTGTGGACCCAATAGTAACAACACACCCAAACATAGAAATGGTGAGCCGGACAAAACTTTACATATATAATTTCATTCATGATATCTCAATCAGCTAATGCAAGTAACAATTATTGAGTGTTCATGAGTATTTATTCATTCATTTAGATTGCATCTTCTATGCATTGCCGAAGCAATAGCCATACATCGAGTAAAACCAGACTGGTACAACCTCTTCTCCTACCATGGTCCTAATGTCTTATTTTTTTCTCTTTTTTCATATTCTTCTTCCTTTACATCCATCTGCTTCACCTTTAATCTTCTATTCCCACCTAGTTTATTTCTGTTTCTACAATCATTCTGATTACACTTAATCTCAATTTCAATATCCTGCTGAGCCATCCTTTTCCAATGATAAATTCCCTATCTATTTTTTGATGAATACTTAAGCCATTAAGAATAAAACGATTGCTAGGCGAAACGTTGGATTTACTTCAAATTCATTCGCTGAGATTTTACAAATATATCAACTCGGTGCCCAACTACTGTGAAACTATTCGCTCTAATTTAGACGAAAGTTCTTATATATTATATAAGTTTATCTTCTTTTACAGAGAAAACAGTTTATCTTCCTCATTGTTACAAACTTAAAAGTGACAAATTACCTGTATACTTTTAGATATAAATCATTGCATAATTCTCCCATACACACACACTCACACACACATACATAAATTACATTTTACAAATTGAATTTACTTGGTTTGTAATTATTTCTTCAAATTGTTGTGAATCTATTTTACATTCATTCTGTTTGCTTTTGTTTTGTAATTGTTGTTGATTTCTTTCATAATGTTGATTTAATTCAGTGATGGAATGTTCTAAAGAACGTTTACGTGCTTCTAAGAAATGAATATATGTTTGTAACATATCACAGCGTATCTTCAATAAATTAGATTTCTGACGTATATTTTCAAAATTCTTGTAAATAATTCTATCAAGTGATTTCAATTGATTGTTGTCATTGAAAATTTGTGGAAATGGTTTATCTGAAGTTCCCTAAAATGAAAAATATTGATAAATTAATATTATATTCTATAACAAAGGTTAGATCGAAAGTTTTGGCGATTACGAATAAGATAGGTTCATTTATTTCATATATCTTTCTTATATCGTGTGAGAGCGTGCGTGTCCTGATTGACATAAGAACGTGCTGATTCCCGCCAGTAAGAGAAGAGCGAATTATCGATGAGAGCAATGATACACAATAGCCGTATGAGCAATCTTGACTACTTATCAGTCCTGCTATCTGCCTAGCCCAGTCAGTTAAGTCCAAAACACCAATAACAGCCTCTGCAGTATGAATTATTATTCACAAACATACTGGGTTTATATACCAATCAAACAGATCACGTCGTACCATAAAATAGAAAATAACATTTGTACAATAATTGGTCAAATGTGGCTGTGAATAGGGGGACAGTAATCACTGGACTGGGGATAACTCAAGAATGGTATAATAATGGTATAATAATAGTTCATAGGTCAAAATAAAGCTTAGGATAAGAGGAACACGATTACGAATAGTTCAGTTACCTAATAAGTATACAATAGGAAATATACATATCACATTGGTCCATAAATAGTTCACAAAGTTACCATTCATAATTTCCCACGGGATACAATAATCTTCTCTTCAGCTTCTTACAATCTAGAAACATTAATATTAGTTTAAAATAGAGATCAGTTGTGACCAGCAGGTATCTCCAGCTGATAAGGCCTGTCGAGGATGAATTTGGATTCTACTGCTAGCCACCATCCATATCTGCTTATAATGCTTGTGACTTAATGGTGATATCAAGTCAATCTTTACATGATGCACATATGCTCAAAAAGACTGATAAATTACAGTATTCAACATCAATCGGAATATTTAAATAACAAATACAAATGAAGCAGTTATAATTGTTTACAACTAATGTACATACTTTATAACATGTGACTGACGACTGGTAAAAGAAACGATTACAGTTATGGAAGAATTTAAAAAATTAATAAAGTAGACGAAGGGAGACTTTCTAGTGAAGAAAATTCTCTTTTCAACGATATTATTTTCTAAAGCTGTACAATCGTATAAAATGCCGCTTTGGTCCACATCAGTGTACATTTGTTAGTTAATGTGCTCTCTCTTGTGGAGCAGATTACACTGGTCGTACAATTCTTCATATTTCTCTGAATGAGCTTCTTGTTGGAGAAAACAGTTCAGAGTTCTGCTCTACTTCATTTTGATTAAATTTCACTCGAATAAGTTTGACCATCTTTGATGATTTCGTAAAATCTCTTCATTTTCCTATAGACTACATGTAAAAAATGACCTAAAAATACGATTGTACATCTTCAGGAAATAATATAATGGAAAACAAAATTTTCCTCACTGAAATGTCGTGATTCTTTTTAAGGAATATTTCTATGTTACTAAATTTGAAAATTCGAAAAGAAAGTTTTCAAAACACATGGAGGCATGTTTCTATAAACTCAAAATTGATATTGATTTACATAATAACGACCATAGAATTAAATAAATCAACAGAGATAAATAAGTAAAACTCAAAAGTGACCCCAGAATGAAAGAAAGAAATTTATTGTTGAGATTATGGAACAAAATACTACGTAACTAGGCACTGAAAAATAAAAGTTAACAGGATAGTGAGAGATTTACAACTGTGTCCTTTTGAATTGTAGGTTTGGTCTTAACTCTTTAATAGCGATGGCCTAGGCGTAACATAGTAATTTTAAAGTTATTTAAGTACATATTATTTTGAGTGATTTTACAACAACATTGTGTACAATATCAGACAGATGATGGTCAACGACGCTATTCAAAACACGTCGACCTTTTCAGCGGAATATGTTTCAAGGTGAAGACAAGAACCCTCTTTTATACTGAATGTGAATTTATATGTGACATAACTGGATGATTGAAGTTTAAATAGTTCTAACGTTATTTCTGGCATTCTAGTCAGAGAATTTCCAGTGAAATTATCAATATTATCGACGGAAGTCGAGGTTATAAAAAATCTATGTTAAATCCCTTTTTTAGTCATGTTCAAAGATTGATCGAATAAGAATTTAGCATAGAATTAATTTTAACCTGATTTGTTAGTGATTATCTTCATTATCTCCCTTAATAAGCTAGGACCAGAATGTCGGGCCGAAAGTTAGAATCATTTAAATTTAAACCACTAATACAGTAAATGAGTTTATTACGCAAACTTCATATCAACCTCCTTCAAGAATTCCCTAAAATAACTACACTTTAGGTGAGTTTACTAATGCTTTTATTCGTATAGTTAAGATGAAACTAAAAATGACGGATGGCATTTCTTATAAATAAACATATTTAACGTGACTAGACAGTGAGACAACTTATTCCAAATTATACCCGATTGACAATAGCCGCACTCAGGTAAAAAGCCGCGAAAGACTGAACTTTCTAAGGGAGCTGTGATGTCTCCAGAATTTAAAATTAAATAAATAAACATTACAGTATATTTTTAATTATACAGGACAATGAAAATAATAGGAATGTTTATCACTTACGGGACATGACTACATCACAATAATATTTTGGCGCGAAAGCCCTTGTTAGTAGTGGTAGGTATAGCATTATTAAGAGATCATAATATTGATATTAATATCAACTCACAAAATTAATTAATTGATATTCTGTCTTATTTATTTAGCTTTTAAAGCGAAGTTCAACCAGTGATTCCAGAACTACTGGTATTTAGTTAGCTTATCATGTGATTACTCTGTCAGTGGGTAACTGAAAAAATACCCGATTAACTGAATTTCATCCACATAGTCAATAATATTTGATGAACAAAGCATATTCAGAATAATTTACATACTACATGAATAACTTTCAATTGTACACTGAACATCATAATAAATTGTAAAATTATGGCAACTAACCTTATATTCATCATTACTATCATCATCGTGACCATAAGATAATGCAACAGTTATATCATCGTCTTCTGTATCGCCTATTTCATCATCTTCATTCCTATTTTTAAGCGCAGTTGAGCCTAGATTTTTTGTATTAGGTATTCCCTTTCTTTTAATAGAATAATTCAATGGTAATGAACGTAAATCATTAAGAATTTCTTCAGCTTTTATTTGAATATCTTGACTTAGCTTATCTGTTGGTTCACTAACTGTGACTTTTCTCCTGTCTACATTTGAATTATCCATTGGATTTAATGTATTATCGATAGTATTTGTTGTATAATTTACAAATTCATTTGAGACTTCAGTTTGTTGGAGAAGAATTGATTCATTTAAATTATTCACTTCATTGTTTGACTGAGAAGGATTTGGTGAGTTTTTATTACTGATCAATATTGATAAAATGATAATATACAAAAATGAAGAATAGAAACAATTCAAGATGTCATAATGAGTAGTTATGGAATAAATGAATTCAAATGAATCTATTTGATTTTGATCTGATATGACATAGATAGTCTCTTTATACAATGTAATTATAGGTTTGGTACTATTATAAGGTTAAACAAAACTATACTATAGAATAATATTGTAAAATATCAACCAATTAAATTTAAAGGTTTTAATATTAACCTTCTAGATTATTCAATTCACTTTTTAAACAATTAAATAATTAAATTGGGACAATCAATGCTGTTAAAGCTACTTTTGTTATTTAAAAGATGTTAAACTATCTAATAAAAACCAAAACTTACAATCTTAAAGTTATATCACAAACTGAGATATCAGTTGTTAAACCAGAATCGTTGGATGGTGATACTTCTATGAAATCCTTATTTGAAATATCTGAAATCAAATTATTAATAATTATTTACTTAAGATCATGAATCAATTGAAGCTAGATCACTGTGGAAAACCTAGAAGCACTGATGGTCTAACTTCAATTGACTTATAATCTCAACTATATGAAATTACTAAAATCTCCACAAAGCCCCCCTTCTGATAATTATTTACTTGTTTTAATAATTCTTTAAACTTGTAATTTATATGGAAAATTCTAGAAAAATTTTTTAAATTCAATGAAAGAAAACCTTTCAAAGTATATAAATATGTAATAAGTATTATTCAATATTTGAAAATGCTTACAATGACATAATATGAATGTAATAGTGACATTTTAAGAAGTTGATATGTTAGAAGTCTACTGAATTATAATAATAGTAATATGATGATAATAAAAAAAATAAAGAAAGAAATAATAGTTGAAAGCGTCAGTCAATTGAAGCTAGATCACCAGGGAAAACCTGAAAGCATTGGACGGCCGTTTTGTCTAGCTTCAATTGACTCACGCTTTCAACGATGAAAATATTAAATCTCCACAAAACCCCTTCTGATAAAGAAATGATATTTTAAATCTATTTCTATAATTGAAATTTTAATTGGTAAATGAATAAATTTAAAAGTTAACATAACAATCAACTAATAATATGGTACTCTATAAGCAATAGTGTCCGACAATTCTGAATGTATTAACTTGTTTATTTCGTTAATATTAGTCTGTGAAACAAAGGACAGTTAACCTAAATAGTAAAAAATATTTTATTTTAAACAAAAATATATGACAAATAAACATGGTTACAATATGCATAAAACATGATCCATAGGTATGAAACCATTTTGAAAGGTTGTTAACATCTAACTAGGAAGGTAAGCTTAGATTAAGTTAAAATTAAAAAAAAAGTTATGTAAAGCTAAGAATTCTGCATGATACAACAATAAAAATGTCAATAATTGCATAGTATGGATGGATTAAGCTCCATTAGTCAAACTTGAATGGTTACAACTTACTGCTTAAAGCAATTTCGTATTATTTGACCCTACCTAATAGAAATCTATAAATGAGAATGTTTTAAAGAAAGGTTCCATAATTATAAGCAAAGATGGATAGTGGTTAGCAGTGGAATCCAGGACGCGCGTTTCGTCCTATTTCGGGCTTCGTACCTGTATCTCAGAGTTGATGTTCACTCTGGGACTCGAATCCAGTACCTTTCGCTTCAAGGTTCCATAATTGTTGGATGAGCTTATTTCTCCCCTGAATGTTTTAGATTTGAAAAAGAGTATTTCTATACCAAGGTTATCCGATCAATAACCATTAGCTTCTCAGCATTAGTTATCAGTTTCTATATGATTAATTACTTTCGACATTTTATCAGTTAAGTACAATTACATCATTATTTCTTCTGAATATTTGATTAGTGTTAGTTACAGTATTTTGTACATATTAGAGATTTGCAAACTTATATAAACCGTATCAGATAGTTTTATGTTATCATTATGGTTTTATAAATGAAGAATATTCAGAAAACTTATGCAATATATAAGAATCGATAAAGTACTATTATGTATTGCTTCAAATATTGGTTGATGATTTCAAAAAAGGGATGATACTGAAAATCGGTGCAACATGATCCCATCCTGACTAGACAGTATATTGAGAAGATAACTAATCCACGATCAGGATATATCATTTATTGATAAATTTGTATTCTTTAGTTTATTATACATTCTTTAAGTATGCTTAAATAGATTGTTATTAAAAGAGGACAGGAATATGAACCTGAAGTAGCTATTCTTCAACTAGTTAGTTCATATATTTTTAGTGGATAATTACTTAACAGTTATTTTACAGTGTCTCCGTATCGTCTCAAATTTAAGCCACCTTTTGACAATATCATAACACATAATAAACCTGAAAGCAGATTTTAAATTCTTTATAGAATTAACTAAAACACTTTTATTAATCCCAGTGTTTACCTTGCGAAAAATCCTGGATTGATTTAGAATCAAGTGACTATATGTTCATTATTGGTTAGTTGCTTCTTTAAATATCTAAATGAATAAAAAAACAGTTATCATTATAGTTTTAATTTGCTTTTGATAAACAGAAATGAAATAAAACACAGCTTATGATTAAGTTTGAGTTATTACCCTTCAATTGTTTGACATAACATTTGACTAACTCAACTAGTAACAGGATCTCTATTTCTTTTTGATCATGTTTTGGATCATATTAAAAGATTGAACAAATTACACAAAATTCGTGTTCTTTCCAGTCAAGCACATTTAAATCTTAAACTGCCATACTTCATTACTTAGTGAGATAAATTTTCAAGATTATATGAAACTTGAAAATAATTTTTCTCATTATGGACTGTAATCACTTAAAGAACTATTAAGATATAAGAAGTACTGAACAATTGACTGAATGACTTTTAAAATTTGAACAATCCAATTATGATAGTTCATTATTTCAATAATTTTGAAACATGATAGTTTTAGTATTTATTCCAGAAAATTTCTGTTTTATTTTCTGAGATTCAACATTATTAACCGCAAAGTAGTTAGTAGTTACATCAAGAACTTCAGTACACTTGAAGTATCTACATTTATAGGGCAAAACAACGGCGACTATTCTTCTGTTGTTCTTAAAATTATTGCAATGTACATAGTGGTTAGATCTTTGATATTTAATGTAATGTCTGTGCATAAAATCTTGATAAGTATAATTTATTATCAACGTTAGGAAATGCGTTATTTATTTCAGTGACCTTAAAATAACTACCGAGTTACTCATTCCATGAATATTTTATTCTAAAATTAGATGTTGAATAGTTTTGATCAAATCAGATTTATGTCTCACTGTGTTCAATAAATATAAAAAATAGCTTTCTTAAAATATTGAATGACGAACTAATGCTAGATGAAGAATTGTTGAAAACCGAGCTGGTACAACATAGAATTGATAGTGTAAAAGTTAATTATACCTCATTCACAGTCATTATCACCATAGGTTTATTTAGTTCTCATTTAAACTTGACAGTAGTTTCACCACATATGCGCGCAGTATGCGCACAGTTGTAGTAGACGATCAAAGTTATCTGACCTGCGACCAACAAGTTCCTATCGGCCACCTTGACGACTATTTTCTGTGCCTAGACGCCAGACCTGAGCATTCAAGTCTCCTGCTAGTACTACAGTATCTCTGGAACACATTTTCTGTAGAAGAGCCGTTAACAGATGGTAAAACTCATTCGTGGTCGCATCCAGCCAGCAATCTGCTGAAATGTAGACGGAGATGACGAAAATATATCGTTTACCACACCGATTTCTTCGCACTTTGGTCAAACTTTCTAATCTAACAGCCGATAACAGAGTGTAAATGGGGATCCAGTCGACCTGTGCTGCCTCAGCTCTAGAACATAGTGCGACGCCAACTCCAGCAAAACCAAACGAAAATGCCACAGGATCCCCGGATAAATGCATATAAAACAAGCTTTTTGACGCGATAGATGGTGGATGAATTTGTAGTACTTCACTAGAATCCTGAATAAGTGTCTTGGATAGAAAACAGATGTCGATATTAAGACTTTCTAAAGATATAATCAACCCTATCTGTTGTCCGATCTGAATTAGTGAGCAAACATCGAAGGAAACCAATTTGAATGATATACGTGGTTTCAGAAAAACTGTTTCAGAATTCGTATTCGGTGGTAGCATTCAACCTCTGACGAGTCAGCGACTTTAGATCGTCTAGTTAGGACGGGCTTTCGACTGTAGACGAGCTACTGAGCTAAAAATATTAAAGCCTGTCACTAGTGAGCACACGATGATTAGCATGAGGGGATTTATGAAAATTGTCTAATTTCTCTACTTTGAATCACAAATTGATGTAGGGACGTGAACGTGCTCTGTTAAGAAGTCCGTTACTTACAGGTTTTCAATGGTGCTCTAAGATCACTTTGTGATTTTAACTATGAAAATAATATATGGATAAAATAAATTGACTGTCATTTAAATACAATTGGGAGAAAAGTTACATGTACATTAGCTGTCTTATAATTAAGATAACCTTTGACATATTTGCTCTGAAACTTCAGAGCAAAATAAAGAGGCCGTTAGATATATTTCTTCTGCATACAAAGCTCCGGATTGTTAGTCCTAATAGCTATCGCTTTTGCCCGTTTTGAGAACTCAAAGTCTTGGCTGTGCATTTGGAACATTAGCTGAAAGAATAACTGTAAGACCTGATGAGAGGTCAATGAAAATATAAAACTCACAAAATGAATTACTTTCAACCAGTTCTTTATCAAACTGTATAATCACTTATGTACAACAAATTACAAGTATTTCTATTGTGAGGAAATATAATTAATGCATAAAAATGATGACACAATGAAAAGATTATAATACAAAGTTATGTATTGCGAATAATAACAACAAAATGTTATCTGAAAAGAATATTCTTCATCAATAAATCGCGGCCCGAGTAGCTCAGTGGTAACGTCTCTGACTGTGAAGCTGATTGACAAGGGATCGAATCCGTCAGGGGGCACCAGTTCCCTCAAGATTACAGGTACACCTTGCTGACGAGTGCCAAGTAGCACGAAACCCGGGTCCAGGGTTTCCTGTTGAGCACCTCCAATCACCACCCAGTGATCACTCAATTGTGATGCTTTTAAACTATTTATGGGGAATACTTTTTGACAGGTCTTGTAATTACGATAAATAAAAAAATAACTCAACCGTAAAATGTACTAATGTTGTTATTGATAATAGAATAACCATATGTAGAACCACAGACATCAATTAATATTTAATCATATTATGCATAACTCCATCTGTAGCTCCTCCGGGAGCTACTGCCGGTTCAAAGCCCGGGTAAAGGAGAAGGGTTGGGTATGGGGTTATCGACCCCATCCCGCAGAAAATCAACTCGCTAAAAAACGCTAACTAGAAAAAAATTATTCAAACCATAATATACATATATAATATTTGCGTAGTTTACTTACAGTCCTGCTTTATTTACATTCATTATCCATAAATTAATATATTTAGAAAATCTATTCAGTAAAATATTTTATTTTTTGGTCAGTAATGTAAACCCATAGTTAACAAATAGCTAAATATAACCTATCCTATTTCACAATTACTTCATAGAATTAAACTACCAATCATAAGTTAACAGCAATATAATATTCATAGAAAATTAAATGTTATTGGTCAAAATCAGAATAAAAACTATCATTATCTTAAAATTCAAATATATGGATGTAGAATATTACTTTCAGTAAACCTAAATCAAGTTCTACAATGGTAATTATGAACTAGAGTTCGAAAGTATTAGACATTACCAAAACATGTAACATAGTATTTTAGTTATTAATCAAAAATTTGTAGTAAAATATATTTGTTGGTGCATGAAGATGTGCAAATACATTTGGGTAATCTAAGGTAAGGAAAATAATCGGATAAACTGTCTAATTAAAGATTATTTAACGTACTTATGGGCAGGATGAAAACAAGAGACAGTGAAGTGAAGTTAGCGCTCAATAAATTAAGTGAACAAGAAAAAAAATAAAACTTTCATTCATAGTAGTAGTTGAAACACTTTGACTGCACTTACGAAAATATGAAAATGGTAGTTAATTCGCCATCATATATATTGTAAAATAATACTGGCTTATTGAGCTTGAGGTCTGTGATCTTAAGGAAAAAGGCTGAACATGAATTTTTAACTCAGAGAGACTCTGTTTTTAAACCTCACAGCTTTCTCGATTGTAGTTCAGATTTGGCATCATAAGACATGCAATAACTCCGCCTGTCCAAAGCCCAGATAGAGGAGGAGGACTAGAGGTGGAGCCAGCAACTCCATCCCATAGGAAACAACCTTTTGAAAAACAATAACCACTAGATACAATTCGAATCATTTAAACTCTGCCAGCCAAGTTGAAGGATCTTCATTAATAAAAATGATGACGACTTGTTGTGAAGTTAACATTTTTCGGAAGTCACGAAGCCGATGCCCCTTCTAACAACCAGAGCAACACTCTTTATAGGTACATGAAACGTCCGGACAATATAGGAGATTTACAAATTTATGTGCATTCAACAAATTGATTATAAGTGCCACTATGACCTAGCCATCCTCAATCATATAAACGAACAAATACAAATGACAAAAGTAGTGTAGCAGCAGCCTGTGCATCAGTAGGCCTCAACAAACATACTGTACGATTTACCATTCCTGAGTTATGCCCAGTTTATTAATTACTGCTCACACAATTCACAGTCATATTGGACAAACTCTTAAACACATGTTGTTTCCTATTTTATAGTACGATGTGATCTGTTTGAATGGTAAATAAACTCTGCATGTTTGAGAATAATGATTCATACTGCAGAGGCTATTATTGGTGTTCTGGAGTTAACTGGATGCACCAGGCAGATAGCAGGACCGACTAGTTGGTTTATCCTCTCCCAAAACAGAGTGCTACCGATATTATTTGGTCAAAGGATCTTTGGTAGTACGTGTAGAAAACTTGTACTTTCTTGATGATTGTTGTAGTAGTTCTCCAAATTTCAGCTTCGTACAGTAGGACTGTCTTGATGTTTATATTGAAGATTGTGACCGTTGTTTTGTGTTCCATATGTTCTTCAATTGTAGAAATGCGGTCCTTGCTTCGTCATTGCTCGTCTTTACGTCTCCATCAGATTCCCTAAGTTCAAAGATGCTTCCCAGGTACGTGGAAGATTCCATACCTTCCAAAGTTTCTCCATCAAGTGTGACCGAGTTGGTGTTCTCCTTGTTGTAATTGAGTATCTTACTTTTTCCTTTGTGTATGTTGAGGCCTACTGATTCAGAGGTTGCTGCTACATTACTTATCGTCATCTGCATTTGTTCGTCTTTATGGGAGAGGAGGGCCAGTTCTTCTACGAATTCGAATTTTCTACTTGATTATGATCTGTCCGTTAAAATCACTGATTCCCCTCAAATATCGACGTCCTCATAATCCAGCCAATCATCAGGAGAAAGAGAAAGTAAGAGAGTAGACAGTCTTATCTGTCTCTGTTCCTCACTTGTAATGCGTCTGTCTGCATTTTTGGATCTCAGTGACTGACTTACCTTATTTGTCGTTGAACGGTCGTTACGCTTTACCATATTTACCTGTGTGATTAGTCGTTGTTCCACTTAGTTGTTTCATATTTCTTTCTCTCATGGCTTTTTTCGCTGTCGTTGCTAGGTCTGTCGTGTATTTTTCCAGCAGCATCTCTCCCGAAACTATCCTCTTCTGTCCAGCAATGGTCCATTAGGTTTTATTTATTCATAGCACCGTGAAGTTGTATCTCCCCATCTCCTCAACTATCTGATTGACCCTCCTGATCTTACACACACTGTCCCGTGAACCTACATTAAATGTTGGTTTGCCTGTTAGGAGGGGCTTCGACCCATTGACTTTCGACGATGCCCCGCTTTCATCATGAGGCGTAATAATGTTTCCTTCAACTCGAAGGGAGAGTTCAAATGGTTTATTTGTTTGTTCAGCATTTGTTTGACAACCTTGTTTTCTACGGAATGTGGTTGCCGAACGAATTCCAAATCGTCCTACATTATCCACGAATAGGATCTCCGTAACAATCTAAGAGCATCAGGAGGAGTTTGGATTCAAAAATACAATCGAACAATGTAAAACTTAGAATAAAGTAAGAGAGAAATCGATTGAAAACTTCGAAAATATTGGAAAGTGCATCATTTATTCGAAATCAAAAATAAAGCGGAATTATGTAGTTTAAACAACGAGTGCATATAAACATGGCTAGAAAATACAAAAAAGTGTTATAAAAATAAATTAAACATGTACAACAACCAGTTATTCAAAAAGTGCTACAAAGTAGTAGTGACCTAATTCGGAAACAGGAACATCGCGCTAACAAAAATGAAAATACGCGAATACTCATTTTACATGTCAGTGGCTACAATTTTAATTATAGAAACAATCAACAAAAACATAGAGGCAAGCCAAAAGAATCAACATTCACCTGAAAAAAAACAAGTTAACACACAACCACCCTTATCTGGACACAGAAACGGATCATTGAGTGGAATGTTCGGTGAAAATGGTCAACGAATATACATAACTGTGAATGCAAGTGGACACAATCCACATCACTATCCTTCGTTTCCACCGCATTTATCTGGACACAGAAACGGATCATTGAGTGGAATGTTCGGTGAAAATGGTCAACGAATATACATAACTGTGAATGCAAGTGGACACAATCCACATCACTATCCTTCGTTCCACCGTTCCGGCGACACTCATTTATTTCTACTTCTGCCAATGGTCTCTTAATACAGTCAACCAGACCTTCCAACAATATACTCCATCACGAAATAATGTTGGGTCCTTACGTCATAATGTTTTAGCCAATATATATCTTCTCAAAGCTCACGCATCGACTACTGTATGTTAGTATTTGGGGATAAACACTGATATATAATTTGAGTTATTCCATCATGTGACTTTGACTTGAATAAAAATCATGATACATATTCTTTTTGTTATTCATATTGGAATACACAGATGGATATGCATTGATATATGTAATTAACACATGTGATTTAACTAGGCTTGATTTACCTGCGAAACAATCGAATAGAAAACATTCATCTGCCTAATATTCATTAGGATTATCTTGGACTTGATTTGGATTCTCTGTCTGTGCAAACTTCACTTCTGGGCAAACTGGTTCTCCGATTATTTCGGTAAATTTTTCTATCCCCTTTGATTCATCATATCCCTGACTAGGGATTCTCTTCAACATACATTGTTCATGAGAATATCCAACATCCGATACAATAACATCAGAAATGTGACTAGAATTCGACTCATTCGGAACATATTTTTCACATTCATTAGGAATATCATTAGAGATAAATTGATTGTGAGGACCACTGACACTTGATATGATATCAGAATTCGATTTCTCTGAAATATTTTCCTCAAATTGATTAAGAGTTTCATTAGAGAATAATGGATCATCAGGGAATCCAGCATCTACCATGACTGAATTTGGTTTTTGATCATGATTTGACTAATTCAACATTTTGTTCTCAGAGTTGTAAGAAATTCCACCAGAAGTATGTGAATTATCACGACAAACCATATCTGGTACAATAACATGAGAAATCTGATCAGTTGGCTGGTTGCGAATTTTCGTCTTCCAATGACTCTGAGTTTCATTCAACTCTGGAATGTTATATAACGTTAAACCTCTTCTAGATAAAGATAACTGATCATTAGAAGCATCCATCTTAGCATTACTTTCAGCGAAATGAACCATGATATTACAAACTGACGGAGTATGTCCAGTTATACCACATTTAAAGCATTTAGAATTACGAAATATACATGAATTACATGGGTGAAACTTGCCGCAGAACAAGCATTTACTAAACTCGTGCTCATCATCATGGACTGTTTCACAGCTCAATGAAGTATTATCTAAATAACTTTGATTACGCATCAAACTGCGACAACTTATTAAAGAAGTGGAATTCCTGAAGTTCTGGCGAGTCATTTTATCGGATTTTTCTCACTTACCGCATTCGGAATTTGTATACTTTACATGACCCAATAGTAGTTGCTTGAGAGTTGCATAGGGGAGTGAAATCGGTTTGTCTGGAAGTGCCAAAATCTTTATAAGGCTGTATGTTTCTTTCCCTATGAATGTAAGGAAATGGGCCACAATATTAAATTCCTCATCGTCTTCCTCGGTCATAGCCCAGATTTCGAACCTCTCCATGTACTCCTCAAAAGCAGTAAAACCTGAATTTATATCCAACCGTTCCATTACAGGATCAATCGCGACGCCAATATGATAATCAGAAGTATTTGAATTGTAGTATAAACTAGTAATCCCAGGAATAACGCAATTTAATCAAGAAGTATCAGATGAGCCTGAAAGAATGTATTGCATTTGGAAATGAAAATTACAACAGTCATCAATACCAAGAAGTCAGTTATTTATTTAAACATCACACTAACACGAGGTACTTCTCGTACACAGGATAACTACACCACTCTTACGATCTGTCTATCGGCCCTCATGGATAAAAAACCAGTCAACTGGATTTCATCATCAAACATTTCTGACGTTAACCATGTTTCTGAGACAGCAATGACATCCGGGTCTTCTATATCCACCAGTGTAGCACACATTTAATTCTGTAGAGAACATCGCTTTACCATCCAGAGTGGTTTGATGATCGTTTTGCTATGAATCCAAAAACTTCTAAGCGCGAGGTCTGTCCACCGTTTCGACGGCACTCATTTATTTCTACTTCTGCCAATCGTCTCTTAATACGGTCAACCAGTCTGAGATCGTCAACGACGTATATTTCATATCCAATCGGTTTGCATGGGTTTTCCAACAGCATGTTTCTTTCTTCAGCCGAAGCGAAGGTAACCATTAAGAGGCGGCTTTTATGAGTACTTTCAGAACCCCCTTTTTGTCCTATTTTATAAAGCTTACAGATGCTAACTCCTGAAACTGTTTTCGGGAATATCTTGCTTATTAAGCACTTAATGTGGATGAGGTCGTGCTCAAATCTAGCCTCTGGTTCCTTTTCGGAAGATTCTCTCAACTTATGAAAAATGACTGAACTGTCAGTGAGGTCCGTCTTAACACGCTGTGGAATTTTAATTCTTCAAATCTTCTCCCTGCAATCCAATTCGGCATCAAACACAGAGATGTCACTCTGTTTTCTTACATTTCTTTTACTGGATGTAACTGTAATAATTTAATAAATTCACAATTTATTTGTTCATAGTCACGATAAACTATGGAGACATGATTCTTATATCTGCATGCACTAAATGCAGTAACTCATCATTTATAGTAACTCTCCTACAATCAACTTCGATTGTGGTTAATCCCTTGTATTGACTTGTTTAACAGACAATCTTATCGCAACTGTAACAATTCTCATATTGCTTTGTAGTATTATGATTACCGTCACATTTGTATAAACGTGTATGCTTGATGGCATGATAGCTTACTTACTTACTTGCTTACGCCTGTTACCCCTCGTCGAGGAGCATAGGCCGCTCACCAGCATTCTCCATCCAACTCTGTCCTGAGCCTTCCTTTCCAGTTCTTTCCAGTTGCTATTCATCCTTTTCATATCGGCTTCTATTTCCCGGCGTAGTGTGTTCTTTGGCCTTCCTCTTTTCCGCTTCCCTTCCGGATTCCAAGTTAGGGATTGAGTCGTGATGCACATTGGTGATTTCCTTAATGTATGTCCGATCCACTTCCAACGTCTTTTCCTTATTTCCTCTTCAGCTGGAAGCTGGTTTGTCCTCTCCCATAAAACGCTGTTGCTGATAGTATCCGGCCAGTGAATGTTGAGTATTTTGCGTAGACAACTGTTTATAAATTAGGATACATCGAACCCATATGTTTTCATAAATTGAATTTCTCTTTGTTACTAGCACCAATGTTAAGCAATTTCATGAGACTCAAGTTGATTTATCTTTCTAATTTCCGTATTCCATTAGAGTCAACACACTGCCGTAAATTTGCTTACATCACCGCCAACGGATTCCATTTTATATTTCTAATCGGACTTATTCATAATAACAACACCTGATCTTTTATCATATTTAGCCGTATTAGTATCTTCATTACTTCACAATGATTTGAAATGCTATGAAGTAATACGCTACACTGCTTTGTTCCATTTAAATGAAACTGATGTGCTATATCGACTAGTTTGGTACATTGAAGCATTAGCTATACGAAAACTAGAACTTCCTTTATATGTTCAAAAACAATTTTTTCTTACTCTTGACCTATCCTGGTAATACTGATTTGTTATCCAATGTGGGAATCGAATCTGAAATCCTCAGTCTCCATGAGGACACTTAAGATCAAGACTAATGAGTCTGTATCCCCATACTGATTTATAACTTCGTTGGATTAGTTTTGTGGAAGTTGGTTTCCAAGTTGTAGGATGTATTCGTGAAGGATTGATTTCAATTGAAATGCCACCAAATTCTTATGTAAAGCTCAGTAATAATTTACAACTGTTCAAGCAGAAATTTATACATCACAGTTTGAAATCGTAACAATGACTGGATGTTTAGTGATTTAATCTGTTAGTCGAAACTTTATTATTTAATGAACATATTGACTTACTATTGATTGTCAACATTTATCACTTGTTATGGTATATGTTCCTTCTTCATCTTCTATGTATACTTCCAGATTTCATAACTACTATTTTGGTGTATGCTACTTATCCTAACAGATATAAGTAGTATGTAGCAGCAATCGGAAGTGGGATGCTTGATAGCATAAGACTGAGTTGAAAAGTATAGGAAGGGAAACAGAGAGCAACTAGAATAACAACATAATTGTAAGAATCATGAAGTCAGTAAGGGACAATTGTGTAATTTCTCGTAAAATAATAAATAGCTTTCATCCACCAAGTCTTCGTTCACTACTCTATTGGCTTTAATTCATTTATCTTTCCATTGATGTTTAGGACTGCTATTGATCATTATCTTTTCGGCATATGTACATCCTGTATGGATTGCTTCGATCGTGCCATAATGTCATGCGCATTATAAGTAGAGATGAATGGTGGCTATTAGTGATATCCATTACTCACGTTTGATCCTATTTTGGACTCGTCATCTGGATGTAATCGCTGATCACCGTCCATCTTTGTCTATAATACTGTTGACTTTGTCATTTAATTTGACAACAAGAAATTTATGAGAGTTTTATTTATCCAGAGTATAAACAGTATACGCGCATATTAACTGATTTCACTCTTGATTAGCTGGTTTGGATGTTCATGCGAAACATTTTCGTCAGTTGTTGTTATCTCTCAGTGTTAGTCACAATTTAGAGAAGTTATCTGTGTTTAATCAAATCTGTGCTGGTAAAGTTAATAGTCAATGCTTAAACTTTTAAGTGACCAAATTAAATTCAGTGCACGTAGTATAAGTGCACCAGTTGTTCCTGAATTTCATACAATTTTTTTATTTGTGGGAAACGTGAATATCCAGCACATGAAACCAATATTTCATTATTTTATGGAAATTAAGCACGAAGCTGAACTGGTAGAAGATCAACCGAGTGTAAAATCTGTGATGATTTACGCCCTAAAGTTAATTCATCAGATTAGTTCTTACACTAATTCGTCTTATCGTGTCATAAGTATAGTAGGAGTACTTTTGTTATTTATCGAATTGTCTAGAACTAATATTATAAGATATCACTTGTCATTACAGAATGGAAATGATAGTGTTAAGTGTGTTAGATACACACTTTTAAAGTGTAGATTGCACAAAAATTTGAACCAGTTAAAAGGCAAGTATCTAAATATTCTATTCATTATACTTTTCAATTTATTGAACCTGTTATAGACGTTATTACCTCCGGAAAACTCATGTTCTCGCTTGACTTTAACTCTTTGTTTACGAGTGTAGCTTTAACGGAAACGATTTCTTATATATGTGAGTATATTAACTCTAACAACATAGATCTAGGTTTGCCAACTGAACACTTAAAAGAATTATTGTTACGTTGTACCTTTAATGTCCAGGTGAGTTTCAAAAATGAAATATATAGACAAAGAGATGGGATCGCAATGGCGTTTCCATTAGGTCCAATTCTAGCAGACTGATTCATGGCAAAACTAGAAAACGACCAACTCAGTTCAATGATCAATCGATTTCACCTATACGTAAGATACATGGACGATACATTTGTCGTTTGTGACGATAATATTGATTTAGAGGATGTCTTACACTCCTTTAACTCTTGACACCTTTCCATAGACTTCACGTTATTAAGGGAGCGAGACCAATCAATCCCCTTTCTCTATGTACGTCTAGTGAGAAGTAATGGTTTTTTGAAAAAGATCTATCATTAGAAAACAATTATGGAATGACCAACTAACCAACTTCTATAGTTGGGTTCCATTAAGTAGAAAGAGAAATCTAGTTCATATTTTATGTTATCGTATACATCGGATATGCAGTACGGAATGCATTAACGAAGAACTCTCATTCCTCAGAAAAACCTTGATGAAAAATAGCTACCCAGACCGTTCCATAGAGAAGAACATGAATAGAAGTAGTTTCGACCTAGTTGTTCCGTCCCAAAGAAAAACCTTTATATAAGTCTGGAATTTAAAGGTGATCGAACATCAGGCGTAATCAAAGTCGTCCAATAACAACGATTAAAAGAACATCTAATGCTGCTAAACTGAGAATAACCTTCACTGGTAGAAACATGTTTTCTGTATCCATAAAAGATAAGCTTCCATATCTGGTCGCCCCTATGTGCATCTACCAGTTCACCTGCTCTTGTGGAGCAAGGTACATTGGCCATAGCCAGCTCTCGCTTTCAACTCGGATACGAGAACATATCCCAGTTCATTTGTACGATGGTGAAATGAAAACAGTAAGGAGTTCTATAGTTGAACACCTGATCGACTTTAATCATTCTACGAATGCACAGTTTGACTTTAAGGTTGTTTATGTGATTCGTTTAAATCTACCTTCGTATGTAACTCATAAAAATAGTCGAAGTTCTCACCATCCATGAGCTTAAACCAGAACTATGCGTACAAAAGTACGTCTTATCGTTATCGTTACCATGGACTTAATATTATTATTTTTATTCAATCGTTATTATTATTACTGCATTCTCCTTTGAATGTCTTATATTCTCATTATTTTATTCATGAATACTCATCGTATCACCTTATTTATTTTTACACCTCTATGACCTTTAATTATTGTAACAAAAACATTTTATTCATTTAAATCATCTTATTATATTCACTAGATCTATTGTTATTACTTGTATTACGTAACCTAGTATAGTCCTTCTATTACGTCATCTTGGTTATTCGTGTTCACATTTCCTCACGGAATTAGTAATTTGACAAAACATTTTCACATATATACGAATGTACAGCTTGATAGTAAATTCGTTGAAAAGAGATCCACTCGCTGAACTTTGTGTTTTTAATTTCCATTTTTATTTCTGTCGGAATACTTTCGACTACGTTTACCATATTTTGTGATTTTGCCACCATATTGAAGGTAAGAAAGATCTTCATAGCGTTTGTCACTTGACTTGTTTGTTAGTCTCTTCTTATAATAATTTCGATTGCTTTGCTTCAAGTTCAAATCGTTTCTCTTATTCCTGGACGCACCTTTTTCTCTATTAGTTCTTCGAGTTGCATTCTCTGCTTTTTTCGTTGCATTTTTCGTCTTTTTCTTGAATGATTGACCTAAAAAGGATTGCGTATTTACTAATGTTATTGAATTAAATATTATATAACTGAATAGCCGTAATAAACTTACTTACGTCTGTTACCCCTAGTACAGGAACATAAGCCGCCCACTAGCACTCTCCATTCAAACCTGTCCTGGGTAATCCTTTCCAGTTCTTTCCAGTTGTTATTCATCCTTTTCATACCTGCTTCCATTTCCTGGCGTAATGTGTTCCTTGGTCTTCCTCTTTTCCGATTCCCTTTAGGTTTCCAAGTTAACGCTTGCTCCATGATGCAGTTCGGTAATTTCCTCAATGTATGTTCTAAATTATGCTAGTAATAGTAACCAGGACCTTTAGTGCATGCCACAGAGTAGTCCAGTACTAAGGTGAGACAGCTATTTAAAGTTCCTGTCTTTTAATGCTACATCGATTGGCGTCAATCTGTAACAAATATCACTTTCAGATTTGTCTAATCGTCACAAAATCCTTTCATCAGAACTGTGATTTGACATTCACTAAAATTTATCAACTGAAAACGAAGGTCATCCCTGAAATTTATCGCAATACTTTGATCATACTTATTTAATTCTCCGAATGTATGACGAGATTCTCTTTTTTTAATTCAGCTTTTATCCTTGTTTATTCCTAGTCCCATTTATTAATTCTGTGTTGTCTGCACATGAACCACAGTTAGAGTTGATTAATTGGTTAACATTGAAAATAATGACTATTTTAACATGTATTACATGATCACTGGAAATCCTATGGTATTCAATAACTAAATTACAGTTATGAACTGATTGTCGTCTGAGTTTTGTAGTTTAGACGACTGAACAGCAACCATTAGTATAAATTTGGTGACCATTTATATATAGTGGTGTTTTTAACTAAATACTCAGAGTAACTGTCTTCCTCTGCATTTTTGTGAACTTCACCCGTTCAGTGTGTCAAAGAGTTCTGAATGGGAGAGGGATAGGTTGTATTCGTATTTTTTATAGATTAATATATTATAATTTGGAACTGTTTCGAATATCTTATTGATTTCAGTCTGCAACTGCAATATATATATATATATATATATATATATATATATATATATAATTTTTATTTACAGATTCCCTTCACAATGATTATCTGGTCTATTTAAATAATCAGACTTCAGTTGCCAGATTGAGCCATTCTCATACTGAATGAATATAAATAACAGAAATTGTCAAAATACAGTCGACCTTTGAAACGAACGAATATCATATTCAACTGATCAATAATCTTACGCTTTAGTGAGAATCATAAACAAAACCGAAATATTACCATATTCATTGTATTCCTGTGATGAATCTTCATCGAAACAGGTGTAATTTTTCATAGCTTCTTCCCAATTTATTTCGACTTCCGAATATGTGCCACTATGAGAGCGATTTCTTTAATCTCATCCATTTCGTTTTTGAGATGTAATTTTATATGACATAGTGTTATACTTCTCATTTCGGCCGTCCAGTGCTTCCAGGTTTTCGATGGTGGTCTAGCTTCAATTGACTCATGATCTTAACTATAAAATTACTAAATCTCCACAAAAAACCCCCTTGTGATAAACACTATTATTATTATACTTGTATACAGTAATTCCTGTTCTTTGCTGTTCTTTTAATAAACGTGCCTAACATTCTCTATCTCCTCACACATTCATTGCTATTGTGTAGCTCATATGTATATGGTAGGCCTTTGTAAGAATATTTATTAGTTCAAATAAATCAATAAAATGCACAAGCCATATATTCGAGTAACTGACACAAGACGCATTATAAAAAAGAAGATTATCGTAAGCATTACCTTCCATGTATCCACGTCCTGATAATCGTGTAGGTAGAGTAACGCCTTGTCTCTGACGATGGTTACTTGAACTCTGTCCACTTGAGTTGATGGTTATGAAGATATCAGGACCATTTTCATCCCAGAGACCACTCAATGATCCTTTTCTTCGTCCAGATAATGGTGGTGGAAACAAAAGATGGTGATGTGAATTGTATCCACTTGCATTCACAGCTATGTATATACGTTGACCATTTTCACCGACGAGACTACTCAATGATCTGTTTCTTCGTCCAGATAATGGTGGCGGAAGAAAAGGATATTGATGTGAATTCGGTCCACTTGCATTCACAGTCATGTATATACGTTGACCATTTTCACTAGAGAGACCACTTATTGAACCGTACCTTCGTCCAGATAATCGTGTAGGAAAATATCGATTATGATATGAACTCGATCCATCTGAATTAACAGTTATGTATATACCTTGACCATTTTCACTAGAGAGACCACTTATTGAACCGTACCTTCGTCCAGATAATCGTGTAGGAAAATATTGATGGTGATATGAACTCGATCCATATGAATTAACAGTTATGAATATACCTTGACCATTTTCACTAGAGAGACCACTTATTGAACCGTACCTTCGTCCAGACAATCGCGTAGGAAAATATCGATTATGATATGAACTCGATCCATCTGAATTAACAGTTATGTATATACCTTGACCATATTCACTAGAGAGACCACTTATTGAACCGCACCTTCCTCCAGATAATCGTGCAGGAAAATATTGATGGTGACATGAACTCGATCCATATGAATTAACAGTTATGTATATTCGTTGACCATTTTCACTAGAGAGACCACTTATTGAACCGTACCTTCGTCCAGATAATCGTGTAGGAAAATATTGATGTTGATATGAATTTGGTACACTTGAATTCATAGTTATGTATATAATGTGATCACTTTCACCCCAGAGACCACTCAATGTTCTGTTTCTGTGTCCAGATAAATGCGGTGGAAACGAAGGATAGTGATGTGGATTGTGTCCACTTGCATTCACAGTTATGTATATTCGTTGACCATTTTCACCGAACATTCCACTCAATGATCCATTTCTGTGTCCAGATAAATGCGGTGGAAACGAAGGATAGTGATGTGGATTGTGTCCACTTGCATTCACAGTTATGTATATTCGTTGACCATTTTCACCGAACATTCCACTCAATGATCCGTTTCTGTGTCCAGATAAATGCGGTGGAAACGAAGGATAGTGATGTGGATTGTGTCCACTTGCATTCACAGTTATGTATATTCGTTGACCATTTTCACCGAACATTCCACTCAATGATCCGTTTCTGTGTCCAGATAAATGCGGTGGAAACGAAGGATAGTGATGTGGATTGTGTCCACTTGCATTCACAGTTATGTATATTCGTTGACCATTTTCACCGAACATTCCACTCAATGATCCGTTTCTGTGTCCAGATAAATGCGGTGGAAACGAAGGATAGTGATGTGGATTGTGTCCACTTGCATTCACAGTTATGTATATTCGTTGACCATTTTCACCGAACATTCCACTCAATGATCCGTTTCTGTGTCCAGATAAATGCGGTGGAAACGAAGGATAGTGATGTGGATTGTGTCCACTTGCATTCACAGTTATGTATATTCGTTGACCATTTTCACCGAACATTCCACTCAATGATCCGTTTCTGTGTCCAGATAAATGCGGTGGAAACGAAGGATAGTGATGTGGATTGTGTCCACTTGCATTCACAGTTATGTATATTCGTTGACCATTTTCACCGAACATTCCACTCAATGATCCGTTTCTGTGTCCAGATAAATGCGGTGGAAACGAAGGATAGTGATGTGGATTGTGTCCACTTGCATTCACAGTTATGTATATTCGTTGACCATTTTCACCGAACATTCCACTCAATGATCCGTTTCTGTGTCCAGATAAATGCGGTGGAAACGAAGGATAGTGATGTGGATTGTGTCCACTTGCATTCACAGTTATGTATATTCGTTGACCATTTTCACCGAACATTCCACTCAATGATCCGTTTCTGTGTCCAGATAAATGCGGTGGAAACGAAGGATAGTGATGTGGATTGTGTCCACTTGCATTCACAGTTATGTATATTCGTTGACCATTTTCACCGAACATTCCACTCAATGATCCGTTTCTGTGTCCAGATAAATGCGGTGGAAACGAAGGATAGTGATGTGGATTGTGTCCACTTGCATTCACAGTTATGTATATTCGTTGACCATTTTCACCGAACATTCCACTCAATGATCCGTTTCTGTGTCCAGATAAATGCGGTGGAAACGAAGGATAGTGATGTGGATTGTGTCCACTTGCATTCACAGTTATGTATATTCGTTGACCATTTTCACCGAACATTCCACTCAATGATCCGTTTCTGTGTCCAGATAAATGCGGTGGAAACGAAGGATAGTGATGTGGATTGTGTCCACTTGCATTCACAGTTATGTATATTCGTTGACCATTTTCACCGAACATTCCACTCAATGATCCGTTTCTGTGTCCAGATAAGGGTGGTTGTGTGTTAACTTGTTTTTTTTCAGGTGAATGTTGATTCTTTTGGCTTGCCTCTATGTTTTTGTTGATTGTTTCTATAATTAAAATTGTAGCCACTGACATGTAAAATGAGTATTCGCGTATTTTCATTTTTGTTAGCGCGATGTTCCTGTTTCCGAATTAGGTCACTACTACTTTGTAGCACTTTTTGAATAACTGGTTGTTGTACATGTTTAATTTATTTTTATAACACTTTTTTGTATTTTCTAGCCATGTTTATATGCACTCGTTGTTTAAACTACATAATTCCGCTTTATTTTTGATTTCGAATAAATGATGCACTTTCCAATATTTTCGAAGTTTTCAATCGATTTCTCTCTTACTTTATTCTAAGTTTTACATTGTTCGATTGTATTTTTGAATCCAAACTCCTCCTGATGCTCTTAGATTGTTACGGAGATCCTATTCGTGGATAATGTAGGACGATTTGGAATTCGTTCGGCAACCACATTCCGTAGAAAACAAGGTTGTCAAACAAATGCTGAACAAACAAATAAACCATTTGAACTCTCCCTTCGAGTTGAAGGAAACATTATTACGCCTCATGATGAAAGCGGGGCATCGTCGAAAGTCAATGGGTCGAAGCCCCTCCTAACAGGCAAACCAACATTTAATGTAGGTTCACGGGACAGTGTGTGTAAGATCAGGAGGGTCAATCAGATAGTTGAGGAGATGGGGAGATACAACTTCACGGTGCTATGAATAAATAAAACCTAATGGACCATTGCTGGACAGAAGAGGATAGTTTCGGGAGAGATGCTGCTGGAAAAATACACGACAGACCTAGCAACGACAGCGAAAAAAGCCATGAGAGAAAGAAATATGAAACAACTAAGTGGAACAACGACTAATCACACAGGTAAATATGGTAAAGCGTAACGACCGTTCAACGACAAATAAGGTAAGTCAGTCACTGAGATCCAAAAATGCAGACAGACGCATTACAAGTGAGGAACAGAGACAGATAAGACTGTCTACTCTCTTACTTTCTCTTTCTCCTGATGATTGGCTGGATTATGAGGACGTCGATATTTGAGGGGAATCAGTGATTTTAACGGACAGATCATAATCAAGTAGAAAATTCGAATTCGTAGAAGAACTGGCCCTCCTCTCCCATAAAGACGAACAAATGCAGATGACGATAAGTAATGTAGCAGCAACCTCTGAATCAGTAGGCCTCAACATACACAAAGGAAAAAGTAAGATACTCAATTACAACAAGGAGAACACCAACTCGGTCACACTTGATGGAGAAACTTTGGAAGGTATGGAATCTTCCACGTACCTGGGAAGCATCTTTGAACTTAGGGAATCTGATGGAGACGTAAAGACGAGCAATGACGAAGCAAGCACCACATTTATAAAATTGAAGAACATATGAAAATCAAAACAACTGTCAATCAATACCAGAGTCACAATCTTCAATAAGAACATCAAGACAGTCCTACTGTAAGAAGCTAAAACTTGGAGAACTAATACTACTACTACGTCACAGACTTCAAAGAGGAGAGGTGTAAGGACGGCTCGTCGGTAGACTCTAGGAAGTCTTAAGATACCCAGAAAGTGCCGCAGACATTCCAGGGGAATATCCTAGAATGTCGACGTGTAGCTTCCCCATTGGATGGATAAGAATGATCCCTATTCGCCTATTGGTTGTCTGAAATTATGATTTACTCTCAGTGAAAAACTATAAATACACGAGATTTCTGTACTATATTTTGACACTGTTTTGGGGAATAGGGTTCCTACTTACTAGTTCTTCTGTCTTCTCTCTTGCAACGTTTACGGGTTCTATCGTTCAAGTAGTCAAGTAGGACGCGGCATAGCAAGGACCAAGCTCTACATATATCATATTGTAACCATCAATAAGAAGGTACAAATATTTATAGACAGTTTTCTACACAAGGTACTCAACATCCATTGACCGGATGCCATCAGCAATAGCCTTCTGTGGGAGAGAACGAACCAGCTTCTAGCTGTATAGGAAATTAGGAAGAGGCGTTGGAAGTGGATAAAGCACACATTACGTAAATTACTGAACTGCATCATTGGGCAATCCCTAACTTGGAATCCGGAGGGGATTAGGAAAAGAGGAAGACCAAAGAACACATTACGCCAGGAAATGGAAGCAGGTATGAAAAGGATGAATAACAACTGTAAAGAACTGGAAACCGAAATCATATAGATTCGAACGGTGTTTGAAATTATTATTATTATTATTATTATTATTCACAAACACCTTATGGGTACATAAGTGCTGTGAAGAAACCATTTCGGGTTTCTTCAAAAATGCAATAATACACAATTTTCAATAATAATAATATATATTCTGAAAATAATATTTACAGAATTCACACCAGTTTACAGGCATGATCAGATTGTTATAAAAATCAACATTTAATGTAAAGAACAAAAATGAAATATATGAGAAAGTTTTGTGTTTGCTGGTTTAGTAATTGATAAATAGTTTATATATGGCATATGTCACGGCAAGCCAATGCAACACCAGGGAACTTGTCATTTTTTTTATTAAGTGGATAGCCTTATGATTGATCAACATTGTTCTGTAAGGTTATTACCAGTGCCATAGCGAGTTATTATTAATTATCTACAACTAGAGAAAGTAAGATTAAAGCAGAGAGCACGGAACAACAAAACAATGATAGCAAGTAAGAGGTTAAACACTTAAAGTTCCGATAATCTCACTTGTGTAGTAAGATACACTTGCAGGCGCTAGAGCATTTAATGCTTCTTCAGAGGAGTAAAAGGCATTAATTGAGCGAACAAACAATGGGAGAGAGTTTAACATACGGATAGTTTGAGAAAAATTATTACAGAGCCTAGAAAACTTACAGGCAAAGTAATTCATATAGAGAGAAGATCTAGAATGTGTTTGTTTGGCTAAAAACAAGGAGTTACGAATGTCGTAATGTGAGGCCTTAGCGTATTGAATCGCCTGGCTGGATGTGAAGGAAAGTTTGCTAAGTACTTTGAAAAAGAAGATAAGGCTAAGTTTGAGTCTCCTCTTCAAAGAGTAGTCTCTCCAGTGAAAATGGTCAGCGTACATACATAACTGTGAATGAAGATGGATCGAGTTCATATCATAATCGATATATTCCACCACGATTATCTGGACGAAGAAACGGATCAAAGAGTGGTCTCTACGTTGATAACGGTCAACGTTTGGTCTACAAGCTACATTTCAAGGGATTTCATGTTAGAACTAATTTTTGATCCAGATTATAACGCATTTTAGGGGTGCATGATGAACAATGATAATGGAAAAGCTTATTTTAAAAAATTTGGTTCATAAATTTTTTAAAAAAATAGTATTCTGATGAAAACACCAATTAATAATATTCTTTTACAATCAGTTATTTCAACAATTTTTTAAAGTGCATCAATTATTCGAAATCAAAAATCAAGTAGCATTATGCAGTTCAACCAACAAGTGCATATAAACATGACTAAAATATACAAAAAATACAATCAAATATTATTTGAACATGGTCTCTTCGGTGAGAATGGTCCACGTATATACATAACGTTAAATGCAAGTGAACTAAATTCACATCATTATCAACATGTACAGCATAGTAATTTTCCACCACAATTATCTGGACGAAGAAACGCTTGTGTATTGAAACGATTTTTGCTTTGTAGAGACAAACTACCTAGCTATTTATTCTTGCCTTATTGTGTCATTCTTGAGTATTTTATTCGGCGTTTTGTATTAACCTACTCTATTTCTTTAACGGTCCTATGAGTATCATGTTTCGAAAGAAAAATGTTTGGTAAGTTTGAAACAGTAACTGGTGATTTATTAAAACAATAATTGCACAGTACGACTTAATTTCTTAGTTTTAATTAAAAATATACCGTTTACTGAATTTCATAATAGTAGTTTGTCTGGAAGTAGCAGCGTATAGCCATTATATGGTACGCGAGGGGTACAAAGAACGAAAATTTGGTGATTTCATATCTACTGTTCAGAATTTCCGTGAATGACTAACTGAATGTCTACCACTGTAACTGTTTAAAACAAATAAATTTAGAAACCAGACAAATTGATTGAGGTCTATTGTTTTACATAAAGGACGCCTGTGTGATAAACAATCACAAAATACCAGTGTGATTTACCGACTACAATGAAATGTCATCCTATATTTCCAAATAAGAAACTATAATTCTTCAATATTTTGAGTCGATCCAGTTTCCGTGAATCGTGACTTACCAAGCACATATTTATTTGCTTAGCTTCAGAGGCATAATCGATTTACATGAGTTACAGACCTACATCCTAAAGGTTTCACTTTGCTTTTCAGTCAGTTAGATAGATGACGGATCTTTTTTGTATAAATCGTTGTTAAGCACGTTGATATTCAATAGGTGACACAATCCACTTTCGGAAAGAAAATCATCAATAAGACTTCGGAACCGGATTATAGTTTCACTGCATCGAAGGTTCATAGGCAGTCTATTCCACATGGTTGAGTAGCGAATAACGAAAAAATTCTGGCGCAAATTTGTGTACGTTTTTTAAATCACTAGAATATTTTCCTTATTGCGTAGATTGTGGGACGGTATCATTGAGTATGAAGGTGTAGATAGCGAAGAGTAAGTAATACCGTTAGTAAGCCGGTAGAGAAAGATAAGGTTTAATTTGATACGCCTTATTCAGAGAGGTTCTAGTTTGAGTTGTTGACATCTTTGGTGATAGTCTTTGTCGTCAGAATACCCCAAAACAGCTTTGGTGAACCTTCTTTGAACACCTTCAATTTTAATCAGGTCATTATGCCTGTAATTACCTGATCAAAACGATCATCAAACCACTCTGGATGGTAAAGCGATGTTCTCTACGGAATTAAATGTGTGCTACACAAATGCTCGCAGCCTACAAAATAAAATGGCGGAGCTGAAGACACTGGTGGATATAGAAGACTCGGATGTCATTGCTGTCCCAGAAACATGGTTAATGTTGGAATCGTTTGAAAAAGAAATCCAGTTGACTGGTTTTTTATCCATGAGGGCCGATAGACAGATCGTAAGAGTGGTGTGGTTATCCTGTGTACGAGAAGTACCTCGTGTTAGTGTGATGTTTAAATAAATAACTGACTTCTTGGTATTGATGACTGTTGTAATTTTCATTTCCAAATGCAATACATTCTTTCAGGCTCATCTGATACTTCTTGATTAAATTGCGTTATTCCTGGGATTACTAGTTTATACTACAATTCAAATACTTCTGATTATCATATTGGCGTCGCGATTGATCCTGTAATGGAACGGTTGGATATAAATTCAGGTTTTACTGCTTTTGAGGAGTACATGGAGAGGTTCGAAATCTGGGCTATGACCGAGGAAGACGATGAGGAATTTAATATTGTGGCCCATTTCCTTACATTCATAGGGAAAGAAACATACAGCCTTATAAAGATTTTGGCACTTCCAAACAAACCGATTTCACTCCCCTATGCAACTCTCAAGCAACTACTATTGGGTCATGTAAAGTATACAAATTCCGAATGCGGTAAGTGAGAAAAATCCGATAAAATGACTCGCCAGAACTTCAGGAATTCCACTTCTTTAATAAGTTGTCGCAGTTTGATGCGTAATCAAAGTTATTTAGATAATACTTCATTGAGCTGTGAAACAGTCCATGATGATGAGCACGAGTTTAGTAAATGCTTGTTCTGCGGCAAGTTTCACCCATGTAATTCATGTATATTTCGTAATTCTAAATGCTTTAAATGTGGTATAACTGGACATACTCCGTCAGTTTGTAATATCATGGTTCATTTCGCTGAAAGTAATGCTAAGATGGATGCTTCTAATGATCAGTTATCTTTATCTAGAAGAGGTTTAACGTTATATAACATTCCAGAGTTGAATGAAACTCAGAGTCATTGGAAGACGAAAATTCGCAACCAGCCAACTGATCAGATTTCTCATGTTATTGTACCAGATATGGTTTGTCGTGATAATTCACATACTTCTGGTGGAATTTCTTACAACTCTGAGAACAAAATGTTGAATTAGTCAAATCATGATCAAAAACCAAATTCAGTCATGGTAGATGCTGGATTCCCTGATGATCCATTATTCTCTAATGAAACTCTTAATCAATTTGAGGAAAATATTTCAGAGAAATCGAATTCTGATATCATATCAAGTGTCAGTGGTCCTCACAATCAATTTATCTCTAATGATATTCCTAATGAATGTGAAAAATATGTTCCGAATGAGTCGAATTCTAGTCACATTTCTGATGTTATTGTATCGGATGTTGGATATTCTCATGAACAATGTATGTTGAAGAGAATCCCTAGTCAGGGATATGATGAATCAAAGGGGATAGAAAAATTTACCGAAATAATCGGAGAACCAGTTTGCCCAGAAGTGAAGTTTGCACAGACAGAGAATCCAAATCAAGTCCAAGATAATCCTAATGAATATTAGGCAGATGAATGTTTTCTATTCGATTGTTTCGCAGGTAAATCAAGCCTAGTTAAATCACATGTGTTAATTACATATATCAATGCATATCCATCTGTGTATTCCAATATGAATAACAAAAAGAATATGTATCATGATTTTTATTCAAGTCAAAGTCACATGATGGAATAACTCAAATTATATATCAGTGTTTATCCCCAAATACTAACATACAGTAGTCGATGCGTGAGCTTTGAGAAGATATATATTGGCTAAAACATTATGACGTAAGGACCCAACATTATTTCGTGATGGAGTATATTGTTGGAAGGTCTGGTTGACTGTATTAAGAGACCATTGGCAGAAGTAGAAATAAATGAGTGTCGCCGGAACGGTGGAAACGAAGGATAGTGATGTGGATTGTGTCCACTTGCATTCACAGTTATGTATATTCGTTGACCATTTTCACCGAACATTCCACTCAATGATCCGTTTCTGTGTCCAGATAAATGCGGTGGAAACGAAGGATAGTGATGTGGATTGTGTCCACTTGCATTCACAGTTATGTATATTCGTTGACCATTTTCACCGAACATTCCACTCAATGATCCGTTTCTGTGTCCAGATAAATGCGGTGGAAACGAAGGATAGTGATGTGGATTGTGTCCACTTGCATTCACAGTTATGTATATTCGTTGACCATTTTCACCGAACATTCCACTCAATGATCCGTTTCTGTGTCCAGATAAATGCGGTGGAAACGAAGGATAGTGATGTGGATTGTGTCCACTTGCATTCACAGTTATGTATATTCGTTGACCATTTTCACCGAACATTCCACTCAATGATCCGTTTCTGTGTCCAGATAAATGCGGTGGAAACGAAGGATAGTGATGTGGATTGTGTCCACTTGCATTCACAGTTATGTATATTCGTTGACCATTTTCACCGAACATTCCACTCAATGATCCGTTTCTGTGTCCAGATAAATGCGGTGGAAACGAAGGATAGTGATGTGGATTGTGTCCACTTGCATTCACAGTTATGTATATTCGTTGACCATTTTCACCGAACAATCCACTCAATGATCCGTTTCTGTGTCCAGATAAATGCGGTGGAAACGAAGGATAGTGATGTGGATTGTGTCCACTTGCATTCACAGTTATGTATATTCGTTGACCATTTTCACCGAACATTCCACTCAATGATCCGTTTCTGTGTCCAGATAAATGCGGTGGAAACGAAGGATAGTGATGTGGATTGTGTCCACTTGCATTCACAGTTATGTATATTCGTTGACCATTTTCACCGAACATTCCACTCAATGATCCGTTTCTGTGTCCAGATAAATGCGGTGGAAACGAAGGATAGTGATGTGGATTGTGTCCACTTGCATTCACAGTTATGTATATTCGTTGACCATTTTCACCGAACATTCCACTCAATGATCCGTTTCTGTGTCCAGATAAATGCGGTGGAAACGAAGGATAGTGATGTGGATTGTGTCCACTTGCATTCACAGTTATGTATATTCGTTGACCATTTTCACCGAACATTCCACTCAATGATCCGTTTCTGTGTCCAGATAAATGCGGTGGAAACGAAGGATAGTGATGTGGATTGTGTCCACTTGCATTCACAGTTATGTATATTCGTTGACCATTTTCACCGAACATTCCACTCAATGATCCGTTTCTGTGTCCAGATAAATGCGGTGGAAACGAAGGATAGTGATGTGGATTGTGTCCACTTGCATTCACAGTTATGTATATTCGTTGACCATTTTCACCGAACATTCCACTCAATGATCCGTTTCTGTGTCCAGATAAATGCGGTGGAAACGAAGGATAGTGATGTGGATTGTGTCCACTTGCATTCACAGTTATGTATATTCGTTGACCATTTTCACCGAACATTCCACTCAATGATCCGTTTCTGTGTCCAGATAAATGCGGTGGAAACGAAGGATAGTGATGTGGATTGTGTCCACTTGCATTCACAGTTATGTATATTCGTTGACCATTTTCACCGAACATTCCACTCAATGATCCGTTTCTGTGTCCAGATAAATGCGGTGGAAACGAAGGATAGTGATGTGGATTGTGTCCACTTGCATTCACAGTTATGTATATTCGTTGACCATTTTCACCGAACATTCCACTCAATGATCCGTTTCTGTGTCCAGATAAATGCGGTGGAAACGAAGGATAGTGATGTGGATTGTGTCCACTTGCATTCACAGTTATGTATATTCGTTGACCATTTTCACCGAACATTCCACTCAATGATCCGTTTCTGTGTCCAGATAAATGCGGTGGAAACGAAGGATAGTGATGTGGATTGTGTCCACTTGCATTCACAGTTATGTATATTCGTTGACCATTTTCACCGAACATTCCACTCAATGATCCGTTTCTGTGTCCAGATAAATGCGGTGGAAACGAAGGATAGTGATGTGGATTGTGTCCACTTGCATTCACAGTTATGTATATTCGTTGACCATTTTCACCGAACAATCCACTCAATGATCCGTTTCTGTGTCCAGATAAATGCGGTGGAAACGAAGGATAGTGATGTGGATTGTGTCCACTTGCATTCACAGTTATGTATATTCGTTGACCATTTTCACCGAACATTCCACTCAATGATCCGTTTCTGTGTCCAGATAAATGCGGTGGAAACGAAGGATAGTGATGTGGATTGTGTCCACTTGCATTCACAGTTATGTATATTCGTTGACCATTTTCACCGAACATTCCACTCAATGATCCGTTTCTGTGTCCAGATAAATGCGGTGGAAACGAAGGATAGTGATGTGGATTGTGTCCACTTGCATTCACAGTTATGTATATTCGTTGACCATTTTCACCGAACAATCCACTCAATGATCCGTTTCTGTGTCCAGATAAATGCGGTGGAAACGAAGGATAGTGATGTGGATTGTGTCCACTTGCATTCACAGTTATGTATATTCGTTGACCATTTTCACCGAACATTCCACTCAATGATCCGTTTCTGTGTCCAGATAAATGCGGTGGAAACGAAGGATAGTGATGTGGATTGTGTCCACTTGCATTCACAGTTATGTATATTCGTTGACCATTTTCACCGAACATTCCACTCAATGATCCGTTTCTGTGTCCAGATAAATGCGGTGGAAACGAAGGATAGTGATGTGGATTGTGTCCACTTGCATTCACAGTTATGTATATTCGTTGACCATTTTCACCGAACATTCCACTCAATGATCCGTTTCTGTGTCCAGATAAATGCGGTGGAAACGAAGGATAGTGATGTGGATTGTGTCCACTTGCATTCACAGTTATGTATATTCGTTGACCATTTTCACCGAACATTCCACTCAATGATCCGTTTCTGTGTCCAGATAAATGCGGTGGAAACGAAGGATAGTGATGTGGATTGTGTCCACTTGCATTCACAGTTATGTATATTCGTTGACCATTTTCACCGAACATTCCACTCAATGATCCGTTTCTGTGTCCAGATAAATGCGGTGGAAACGAAGGATAGTGATGTGGATTGTGTCCACTTGCATTCACAGTTATGTATATTCGTTGACCATTTTCACCGAACATTCCACTCAATGATCCGTTTCTGTGTCCAGATAAATGCGGTGGAAACGAAGGATAGTGATGTGGATTGTGTCCACTTGCATTCACAGTTATGTATATTCGTTGACCATTTTCACCGAACATTCCACTCAATGATCCGTTTCTGTGTCCAGATAAATGCGGTGGAAACGAAGGATAGTGATGTGGATTGTGTCCACTTGCATTCACAGTTATGTATATTCGTTGACCATTTTCACCGAACATTCCACTCAATGATCCGTTTCTGTGTCCAGATAAATGCGGTGGAAACGAAGGATAGTGATGTGGATTGTGTCCACTTGCATTCACAGTTATGTATATTCGTTGACCATTTTCACCGAACATTCCACTCAATGATCCGTTTCTGTGTCCAGATAAATGCGGTGGAAACGAAGGATAGTGATGTGGATTGTGTCCACTTGCATTCACAGTTATGTATATTCGTTGACCATTTTCACCGAACATTCCACTCAATGATCCGTTTCTGTGTCCAGATAAATGCGGTGGAAACGAAGGATAGTGATGTGGATTGTGTCCACTTGCATTCACAGTTATGTATATTCGTTGACCATTTTCACCGAACATTCCACTCAATGATCCGTTTCTGTGTCCAGATAAATGCGGTGGAAACGAAGGATAGTGATGTGGATTGTGTCCACTTGCATTCACAGTTATGTATATTCGTTGACCATTTTCACCGAACATTCCACTCAATGATCCGTTTCTGTGTCCAGATAAATGCGGTGGAAACGAAGGAGAGTGATGTGGATTGTGTCCACTTGCATTCACAGTTATGTATATTCGTTGACCATTTTCACCGAACATTCCACTCAATGATCCGTTTCTGTGTCCAGATAAATGCGGTGGAAACGAAGGATAGTGATGTGGATTGTGTCCACTTGCATTCACAGTTATGTATATTCGTTGACCATTTTCACCGAACATTCCACTCAATGATCCGTTTCTGTGTCCAGATAAATGCGGTGGAAACGAAGGATAGTGATGTGGATTGTGTCCACTTGCATTCACAGTTATGTATATTCGTTGACCATTTTCACCGAACATTCCACTCAATGATCCGTTTCTGTGTCCAGATAAATGCGGTGGAAACGAAGGATAGTGATGTGGATTGTGTCCACTTGCATTCACAGTTATGTATATTCGTTGACCATTTTCACCGAACATTCCACTCAATGATCCGTTTCTGTGTCCAGATAAATGCGGTGGAAACGAAGGATAGTGATGTGGATTGTGTCCACTTGCATTCACAGTTATGTATATTCGTTGACCATTTTCACCGAACATTCCACTCAATGATCCGTTTCTGTGTCCAGATAAATGCGGTGGAAACGAAGGATAGTGATGTGGATTGTGTCCACTTGCATTCACAGTTATGTATATTCGTTGACCATTTTCACCGAACAATCCACTCACTGATCCGTTTCTGTGTCCAGATAAATGCGGTGGAAACGAAGGATAGTGATGTGGATTGTGTCCACTTGCATTCACAGTTATGTATATTCGTTGACCATTTTCACCGAACATTCCACTCAATGATCCGTTTCTGTGTCCAGATAAATGCGGTGGAAACGAAGGATAGTGATGTGGATTGTGTCCACTTGCATTCACAGTTATGTATATTCGTTGACCATTTTCACCGAACATTCCACTCAATGATCCGTTTCTGTGTCCAGATAAATGCGGTGGAAACGAAGGATAGTGATGTGGATTGTGTCCACTTGCATTCACAGTTATGTATATTCGTTGACCATTTTCACCGAACATTCCACTCAATGATCCGTTTCTGTGTCCAGATAAATGCGGTGGAAACGAAGGATAGTGATGTGGATTGTGTCCACTTGCATTCACAGTTATGTATATTCGTTGACCATTTTCACCGAACATTCCACTCAATGATCCGTTTCTGTGTCCAGATAAATGCGGTGGAAACGAAGGATAGTGATGTGGATTGTGTCCACTTGCATTCACAGTTATGTATATTCGTTGACCATTTTCACCGAACATTCCACTCAATGATCCGTTTCTGTGTCCAGATAAATGCGGTGGAAACGAAGGATAGTGATGTGGATTGTGTCCACTTGCATTCACAGTTATGTATATTCGTTGACCATTTTCACCGAACATTCCACTCAATGATCCGTTTCTGTGTCCAGATAAATGCGGTGGAAACGAAGGATAGTGATGTGGATTGTGTCCACTTGCATTCACAGTTATGTATATTCGTTGACCATTTTCACCGAACATTCCACTCAATGATCCGTTTCTGTGTCCAGATAAATGCGGTGGAAACGAAGGATAGTGATGTGGATTGTGTCCACTTGCATTCACAGTTATGTATATTCGTTGACCATTTTCACCGAACATTCCACTCAATGATCCGTTTCTGTGTCCAGATAAATGCGGTGGAAACGAAGGATAGTGATGTGGATTGTGTCCACTTGCATTCACAGTTATGTATATTCGTTGACCATTTTCACCGAACATTCCACTCAATGATCCGTTTCTGTGTCCAGATAAATGCGGTGGAAACGAAGGATAGTGATGTGGATTGTGTCCACTTGCATTCACAGTTATGTATATTCGTTGACCATTTTCACCGAACAATCCACTCAATGATCCGTTTCTTTGTCCAGATAAATGCGGTGGAAACGAAGGATAGTGATGTGGATTGTGTCCACTTGCATTCACAGTTATGTATATTCGTTGACCATTTTCACCGAACATTCCACTCAATGATCCGTTTCTGTGTCCAGATAAATGCGGTGGAAACGAAGGATAGTGATGTGGATTGTGTCCACTTGCATTCACAGTTATGTATATTCGTTGACCATTTTCACCGAACATTCCACTCAATGATCCGTTTCTGTGTCCAGATAAATGCGGTGGAAACGAAGGATAGTGATGTGGATTGTGTCCACTTGCATTCACAGTTATGTATATTCGTTGACCATTTTCACCGAACAATCCACTCAATGATCCGTTTCTGTGTCCAGATAAATGCGGTGGAAACGAAGGATAGTGATGTGGATTGTGTCCACTTGCATTCACAGTTATGTATATTCGTTGACCATTTTCACCGAACATTCCACTCAATGATCCGTTTCTGTGTCCAGATAAATGCGGTGGAAACGAAGGATAGTGATGTGGATTGTGTCCACTTGCATTCACAGTTATGTATATTCGTTGACCATTTTCACCGAACATTCCACTCAATGATCCGTTTCTGTGTCCAGATAAATGCGGTGGAAACGAAGGATAGTGATGTGGATTGTGTCCACTTGCATTCACAGTTATGTATATTCGTTGACCATTTTCACCGAACATTCCACTCAATGATCCGTTTCTGTGTCCAGATAAATGCGGTGGAAACGAAGGATAGTGATGTGGATTGTGTCCACTTGCATTCACAGTTATGTATATTCGTTGACCATTTTCACCGAACATTCCACTCAATGATCCGTTTCTGTGTCCAGATAAATGCGGTGGAAACGAAGGATAGTGATGTGGATTGTGTCCACTTGCATTCACAGTTATGTATATTCGTTGACCATTTTCACCGAACATTCCACTCAATGATCCGTTTCTGTGTCCAGATAAATGCGGTGGAAACGAAGGATAGTGATGTGGATTGTGTCCACTTGCATTCACAGTTATGTATATTCGTTGACCATTTTCACCGAACATTCCACTCAATGATCCGTTTCTGTGTCCAGATAAATGCGGTGGAAACGAAGGATAGTGATGTGGATTGTGTCCACTTGCATTCACAGTTATGTATATTCGTTGACCATTTTCACCGAACATTCCACTCAATGATCCGTTTCTGTGTCCAGATAAATGCGGTGGAAACGAAGGATAGTGATGTGGATTGTGTCCACTTGCATTCACAGTTATGTATATTCGTTGACCATTTTCACCGAACATTCCACTCAATGATCCGTTTCTGTGTCCAGATAAATGCGGTGGAAACGAAGGATAGTGATGTGGATTGTGTCCACTTGCATTCACAGTTATGTATATTCGTTGACCATTTTCACCGAACATTCCACTCAATGATCCGTTTCTGTGTCCAGATAAATGCGGTGGAAACGAAGGATAGTGATGTGGATTGTGTCCACTTGCATTCACAGTTATGTATATTCGTTGACCATTTTCACCGAACATTCCACTCAATGATCCGTTTCTGTGTCCAGATAAGTGCGGTGGAAACGAAGGATAGTGATGTGGATTGTGTCCACTTGCATTCACAGTTATGTATATTCGTTGACCATTTTCACCGAACATTCCACTCAATGATCCGTTTCTGTGTCCAGATAAATGCGGTGGAAACGAAGGATAGTGATGTGGATTGTGTCCACTTGCATTCACAGTTATGTATATTCGTTGACCATTTTCACCGAACATTCCACTCAATGATCCGTTTCTGTGTCCAGATAAATGCGGTGGAAACGAAGGATAGTGATGTGGATTGTGTCCACTTGCATTCACAGTTATGTATATTCGTTGACCATTTTCACCGAACATTCCACTCAATGATCCGTTTTTGTGTCCAGATAAATGCGGTGGAAACGAAGGATAGTGATGTGGATTGTGTCCACTTGCATTCACAGTTATGTATATTCGTTGACCATTTTCACCGAACATTCCACTCAATGATCCGTTTCTGTGTCCAGATAAATGCGGTGGAAACGAAGGATAGTGATGTGGATTGTGTCCACTTGCATTCACAGTTATGTATATTCGTTGACCATTTTCACCGAACATTCCACTCAATGATCCGTTTCTGTGTCCAGATAAATGCGGTGGAAACGAAGGATAGTGATGTGGATTGTGTCCACTTGCATTCACAGTTATGTATATTCGTTGACCATTTTCACCGAACAATCCACTCAATGATCCGTTTCTGTGTCCAGATAAATGCGGTGGAAACGAAGGATAGTGATGTGGATTGTGTCCACTTGCATTCACAGTTATGTATATTCGTTGACCATTTTCACCGAACATTCCACTCAATGATCCGTTTCTGTGTCCAGATAAATGCGGTGGAAACGAAGGATAGTGATGTGGATTGTGTCCACTTGCATTCACAGTTATGTATATTCGTTGACCATTTTCACCGAACATTCCACTCAATGATCCGTTTCTGTGTCCAGATAAATGCGGTGGAAACGAAGGATAGTGATGTGGATTGTGTCCACTTGCATTCACAGTTATGTATATTCGTTGACCATTTTCACCGAACATTCCACTCAATGATCCGTTTCTGTGTCCAGATAAATGCGGTGGAAACGAAGGATAGTGATGTGGATTGTGTCCACTTGCATTCACAGTTATGTATATTCGTTGACCATTTTCACCGAACATTCCACTCAATGATCCGTTTCTGTGTCCAGATAAATGCGGTGGAAACGAAGGATAGTGATGTGGATTGTGTCCACTTGCATTCACAGTTATGTATATTCGTTGACCATTTTCACCGAACATTCCACTCAATGATCCGTTTCTGTGTCCAGATAAATGCGGTGGAAACGAAGGATAGTGATGTGGATTGTGTCCACTTGCATTCACAGTTATGTATATTCGTTGACCATTTTCACCGAACATTCCACTCAATGATCCGTTTCTGTGTCCAGATAAATGCGGTGGAAACGAAGGATAGTGATGTGGATTGTGTCCACTTGCATTCACAGTTATGTATATTCGTTGACCATTTTCACCGAACATTCCACTCAATGATCCGTTTCTGTGTCCAGATAAATGCGGTGGAAACGAAGGATAGTGATGTGGATTGTGTCCACTTGCATTCACAGTTATGTATATTCGTTGACCATTTTCACCGAACATTCCACTCAATGCTCCGTTTCTGTGTCCAGATAAATGCGGTGGAAACGAAGGATAGTGATGTGGATTGTGTCCACTTGCATTCACAGTTATGTATATTCGTTGACCATTTTCACCGAACATTCCACTCAATGATCCGTTTCTGTGTCCAGATAAATGCGGTGGAAACGAAGGATAGTGATGTGGATTGTGTCCACTTGCATTCACAGTTATGTATATTCGTTGACCATTTTCACCGAACATTCCACTCAATGATCCGTTTCTGTGTCCAGATAAATGCGGTGGAAACGAAGGATAGTGATGTGGATTGTGTCCACTTGCATTCACAGTTATGTATATTCGTTGACCATTTTCACCGAACATTCCACTCAATGATCCGTTTCTGTGTCCAGATAAATGCGGTGGAAACGAAGGATAGTGATGTGGATTGTGTCCACTTGCATTCACAGTTATGTATATTCGTTGACCATTTTCACCGAACATTCCACTCAATGATCCGTTTCTGTGTCCAGATAAATGCGGTGGAAACGAAGGATAGTGATGTGGATTGTGTCCACTTGCATTCACAGTTATGTATATTCGTTGACCATTTTCACCGAACATTCCACTCAATGATCCGTTTCTGTGTCCAGATAAATGCGGTGGAAACGAAGGATAGTGATGTGGATTGTGTCCACTTGCATTCACAGTTATGTATATTCGTTGACCATTTCGATCAGCAAGCATCCGACTC